CCCCCCCTGATCAAAATATTCGTTTATCGTTGATGCAATTGTGTCGAGTGAAGATGCAAAGTCGCAAATTTGTAATAACAAAGAAGTAACGAAAGTATGGAATGTATGTGATTGGCATGTTTTTTTTGAATGTCTATCGATTTTGCTAGATCTAAAGGGAATAATAGCTGGCAGGAGTGTCCGAAGAAGAACATCGTTGAAACACCAACTCAAGAGATCAGGTATGCCATCTTTAATATCACTTTAATCATAGATCCTATTTTTCACTGAATTTTCAAATTTTCTTATCGAAATGATCACGTTAGCAAGTATTTACCTTTTTCATTTTTTTCAATACACGGTTGATATGAATTTGTTATGATAAAACGAAATATTTGCGACACAAATCATGTACTTTTGCACGATCGCTCCTTCTCTCCTACCAAGAGGAGATCAATGACTTAATTTTTTTAGTGTTACTACGAAAGACAAAATTGCATAAAATTGATAATCAAATTGTTACATTCATTCTAATACGTAGAGGGTGGATTGGTTTTTACTAAGAGAAAAGGTGCATCGCTCTACGATTGATGTGACGATTGAAAAATTCGATTTTTATACAATTTATGTCTTTACTTCGTAGTACACTTGAGAAAAAATTGCAACCATTTGAAGTATCACAAATACTTCTTTGTAATGTACTACTAACCGCAATTGCTGAAGTCCTTGTGGTTTACACGAGTACTTCTGCAGTCTTATTACGGTTTCGTAGATTACTTTGAAATTTTTCGACTACCTAATCGACTCCAGTGTTATCACGCTACTACATATGTATTTCCATATCATTGAGACTATGAAAAGACTCATAAGATATCAATGCTCGAATTACTTTATAATTACATCCGTGCGTTATCAATGCATTTTATAGATAAGGAAATGATTTAAAATCTTTTAGTTTTAAGGAATATATTACAGTCTAAAGGAACAAAGGACAATTGTGAACCATCGAAATTTTTCGCAAACTCTGCCTTTTTGTCTAAGCACTATATCCGCGTCAGCTTTGCCTCTGAATCTTTGACGCGCGTGTGACATGCGTGAATGAAAAGTCACATGCGTTTTCTCATTATAAGTGGCTCATTATAAGTGACAGTTATAATACTCTGTCAATTATTCCTCGTCGCTTGTGTATGGTTTTACTCCAATTTCATTTCTAGGCTTGTATAGAGATCATTCGATGTCGAAGCCAATTAGAAATGAAATCGTTACTTTGCTTTTAATACGTGGAACACGTTCAATTTAGTGAAACGTATTTTTTTGTTCTTATTATAGTCTCGAATAAATTGTGATTTTTTTATAACGTCCATTTTTTTGTTACAGTGTTCCAGAAACCAGCAATGACTCAGTCGAAGTTGCGCCGAAGCCCCTGGAGATGCCAAAACTTCCAAATTACACGATGGTCGACGATCTACTCTGTCCACCTGGTCGACAAAATAGACCGCCGAAAATAGCGATAATATTGAGAGGACCACCTGGTAGTGGAAAATCATTTGTGGCCAAACTTATAAAGGTAAGTCAGAGAAAAATAGTTTATCCGATTTTTATGATAAAGATATTTGTATTTTGTAGGATAAGGAAGTCGAACAGGGTGGATCGGCACCAAGAATTCTTAGTCTTGATGATTATTTCCTTGTTGAGAAGGAAATTGAGTCTAAAGATGATAATGGGAAGAAAGTCACAGTCAAGGTAAGGATTTTTATAATGGTCTAAGTTTTTCAATTGAATGAAAATAAATTCGTTATAACAATATTGTCCAATAGGAAATGGTTTACGAGTACGAGGAGGGAATGGAACAAAGTTATTTAGCGTCCCTTATAAAAGCGTTTAAGAAGAACGTCACTGATGGATTTTTTAACTTTATCATTCTTGACTGTATTAATGAGAAGATTTCTGATTATGAGGATATGTGGACTTTTGCTAAAACCAAAGGTTTCCGAGTGGGTATCTTTTTTCTTGATCTTTTTCTTATGCAAAGCAAATCATAATTTAACATTGATATTGCTGCAGGTATATGTGTGCGAAATGGAGATGGATGTACAGATTTGCTTAAAAAGAAATATCCATAATCGTACTGAGGATGAGATCAATAGAATTGTCGATTATTTTGAACCGACACCAAGTTACCATCAGAAGCTGGACGTAAATTCAATGTTACAGGAACAAGCTATCGAGGAGGTACGGTATTGTATAAAATAAACTCAAGACAACATTAGATTATTCTAATTCCTAATAATATCAATTGTGCGGTATATAGGTCCATATGGAGGACAGTCAAAACACGGAAGAAAACGCGAACCAAGCGAACGAGGATAGTCAAGATAGTCAAGAGGCAGTTGTAAGAAATATTTTACTGTCTTAAGGTCCTTCCGTGATAACATCCAATCCAAGATAAAATTCTGAATTTCTTTTATATATTAAACAACAATCTTCGTATATGCCAAAATTGACTATGATTTATAAGAAATCTAAAAATGTCAATTTCCACTGTACATACATTATATAGTCAACGTATAAAAATTAATAACTTAAAGATTCGTTATCTTCATCTCCATGTGATAGAATGTAATAACTTTTGGCTCGAATGTTGAAGAAAAATATTAAACATTTTTACAGACTGTTTAATTCGTGATTCCCCATTACGATTATCATCACCGGACCACCGTGACACACTTTATATTTCTATTCTTATAAAATAAATGCAACACACACTCTTCAACCAATTTCAGGGTGTCAGTAAGTGGGAGCGAATGGAAGCCGAAGATAAATTAGGTAAGTGAAAATTATTTTACAATAAAATTTAAGTTCTTTAACATTTTCTTTTCCAATACTACAGACAGATTGGATGGATTGGCCAAAAGGAAAAATGACGGTAAACCGCAAACGATGGAAGACTTTCTTCAAGTGCCAGATTATTATAACATGGAGGACACACCTGGAAAGAAACGAGTAAGCAAATAAGAAAACTACAGGATTCCTTAGGTACCAAAAAAAAATTATCAGTCAATTATTAATTTTCTATGTTTGTTCCAGGTACGATGGGCCGATCTGGAGGAGCGTAAGGAGCAGGAGAAGTTACGTGCAGTTGGATTTGTAGTTGGTCACACAAACTGGGATAGAATGATGGATCCAACAAAAGGGGGAAGCGCACTTACACGTACCAAGTACATATGACCCAAGTTTATTCCTAGATCCTCTAGGCAAAACTTTTAACAAAAAGGCATGTAGTTAAGAATGTATTGTTTTGCTATTAGTTTATTTCGACGATTGCCACCATTATTACGTATTTTTCTCCCTACGTATTTCCGGCAACGTAAAAAGGGATGTATCGTTTTTCTTTCCTGACACATAACTAGTGGCTCGTTTTTTAAATTACTTCCAACGCTTATACGGCTTGGTAAGTACAACCAAGATATTGGATAATTGTTATCACAAAATATCTATTGCTGCGACTTCAAATGCGTGCCGTTTTGCCCCATTTTGATATCACAACCCTGACTTTAATGTTGTGTCAATTGCATCACATTACTGTTCATGTTTATAAATCCATTCAATTTGCACAAAATGTACATTGCATCATATTGTTATATACATGTGGACTAGTATAGCAATTGGAGCGATTTTGCTTATCCTTATCTATTCCATTGTGCATTATGCAAACGTCTTTTTTCTATCCGGATTCGTTTACTCAAATTCAACGAGGCGATCCGAATACGAATAAGTTTGCATTTACATTGCAGATTTTTTCGCTTATCCTAAGGGCGACACAGTGAGAGAAGCAAGAAATCATCGCACCTGGATATTTTTGTTTTTAGAAATATCACTTTTTTAATCTGAATACATACAAAGAACTTTCTCTACTTATGTGAAAATGACTTGTAATTATTGTATAAATCGTTATTGCAACAAAGAACAAATCGGATTTTCAATGTATCCGCAGAGTGATCGCCGAAGTGCATTTTACGTACATCCAGTTGCATGAAGCGATACGTGATGCAAATTCGGCGTGCGATGAACAATATTATATATCTATAATTATCATTAACAAAACAACATAGATTATTTGATTCGGTAACACTAATTATTCAGTCCGTAAAATTTTACTGATGTTCTCCTTCTTGCAACTGTATTGTGGCGGACATTGACTTGCGCTTCCGTACTCTATAGCCTTTCGAAATTCTTCAATTGTTTTTTCGTACTGTTGATCCTGGAGAATTGACCTAAATACATTCAATTAAGATTATCAATAAGTGGTTTAAACTAAACACAACAGTTACTATATAGATCTTACTGCGGTATCAATTTCATCGTTTGCACAATCATCTCAGCAGCAGCCAAGTATTCTTTTGCTGTTTGTGGTACTTCACAAGCAGCCCTGTATAAACAAGTATCTCCAATTAAGTATCCCAGTGCAAGGGCAATCTCGCCTTCAGACACAACGGATTCTACTATGAAAAAAATATATATATTTTTCTATATCACATAAGATGCGTATAACTTTTAATAATTAATAATTGATACCCTCATTGATTTCGCGCCCCTTGTGTCCATGATTCCCCATATATCCAGCACCAAAGACAACAGCTTTCAGCACAAGCAGCAATAGCAAATTTGATAGGTTTAAATTAAGTACCTATAAAACGATGCACCATAAACAATTTATTAGTATTGTCAATGTTTATTCCCTGCGAATTATTTTTACAAATTCTCACCTGACTACTCGTGGTAGACCTTTCCATGAGTTCTTTGGTAATTTCTGCCAACATGGAACCGTAGAACTTACGATTTTCCTTTTGGCTCGTCGACACATCCTTGCTGTGTTCCTTTTCGAAATTTCGATTTTCCTTACTGCGTGCCAAGACTACCGATACTAGTAGTGCAATAGTGATTAAAATCTTTTTGTTTATGAACATCGTCGACCTTACTGTAAACGGGATTAATTTTCTCAAAAACGAAGCAGTTTATATCTTTAAGGCCGACAGTAACAATATGACGTTACTGCTGTCTAACAGTCTTTTATATTACTGTAGCTTTATCATCAAACCATGAAGCGCTAATTTAATTCATGTGTATCTAACGAGGCTGCTTGACATTTTCTCCATTGTAAACCGTCATGCTACTCGCGCAATGACTTGCGTTACTTGTTCTCTTTTAAATTATTATATTTGTCATGTGCACGAAAGGACTTTCTTCAATCGTGCCGGAAATAAGCGGTGAAAACGCATCGCATTAATATTTTCTTCACTACTCGCGTGAGTGACGACAAAGCACCGTGCAGATTTTCTTTTCAAAAATATTTGGACAAACACGTGCTCTGAAGTAAGCCCACGAACCATCTGATATATATGAATTTGTATCAAAGAAGAAAATTAATTTTACGGACGCGCTGTCTTGAAATTGGCAGAGCTAAGCGAGTGCGAATATTTTCTCTTGCTTGCATCAGAGAATTGAGATTTTCTATGAATCGTAACCCGATTTATTGACTTGATTCGAAGTTTGTTTGTTTTTCACTTTGCTTTGCCCACACACGTTCATACACCTCATATTTTGGGGATGATGATTTCATAACACATTTTCGAATAGTCTTTACAGGTGATGCCCAAAAAATGTATACTTGACTTATTGCAGAATCAATTTTTTCCCGCTTTTTAAATACTTGGTCTGTAGCAAACTTACTACAGTAAACTAATGCGGTTGCAATTCCTTGAAAAAGTTCCGGATGTACAGTGACATATGCATATATCGCAGCACTTCCCTTATAAAAATAGTACGTGCACAAAATTAATATTTTTTGCGACAAGTGCTTAAAACTACACCGTACAGGTCACGTGGGTCTGGGGATAAGCATATATACGCTTTTAGAGTACGATAGCATATATGAGCAAGTGATAGCTCCTTTGAAAGAATTTTTCAATAGGCATATCCTAGTTCAAAACAACCCCTTAAAAAGAGCGTCGAATAAGCGATGGGGGTTCGCATATCCCCTTAATTTCACGAAAAACATGGGGGTAGCCCTAGCTGAGCTTGCTCTTCAGTGCACTGTTAACCCTAGAGTGCCTGGTCACAGTATCTGGGACCGATGAACTCGTTATTCTCCAATGTCTCATTTTCACACCGCTGCTCTAGGGTTGAGTAAGGTTAATCTTGCGATTCCCATAAATTTCGCTCTGGGCGGTATAAGGGTTCAGGATATTGCGGATACAGGGTTCAAAAGAAGGCGAGCAATTTTTAAAAGTCGTTCGCATTTATTTGTAATGATACATGCAAGGCTAGCGATAGTCCGGAGAGTTTGACGTCCTCGTGCTTTCACTCTCACTCGCATCTTCCCACTTCACACTTTTCTCGACGTAAGGGACTCGGACTTTCCCACTCTTTCTTCGCACGCCACTCACTCGTTCCCTATATGGGATTCCCCGTATCGCGGGTTCTTACTCACTCAGACGCATTTCTTCTCACTCAATCATTCGCTCCCTTTCTTTTTCATACTGTTCGCGCAAACACCAATTCACCATATCATACCATCTGACATGCTATAAACACTCGTGCCCAGGGTGCTCGATTCTCTAGGTTATCTGTGAACGCAGTAACCCAGTGGAGGGTGCATGTGAAATGGACTGTGCGATCGATCGAGAGAAATCGAGTGCAGAAATCAGTTACTCCAAAAATACATGTTGCGCAAGACGCACGAGAGCGGAGGGTTACACATTAATTTAGTATAAAGAGACATTTAGGTGCGTGTGAAAAAAAATACATGCTTAATACAAATGCTGTTTTATTGGAAAGTATTGCTTGACCACATTACTACTATGTTACGTACGTAACGGTAATAGTTGATATGAAGCTGTAGCGAGATACAATGATTGTAATAATTTACATAAATGTTGCAAGTGCTTTAAGTAGTAAAATAATTCTTTCTAAAAAAAGACAGCTGTGCCCGTTTAACGTCCTTAGCGTCTAGGAGTAAAGCAGTTGGTTTTTCAACTGGCATTCATCAAAATCTTTAATGAGTCAACTTCGTTTTACGATATGGCTGGCAAATGCTCTTGACTTAGGTGCGGAAAATGTTTTAATTTCGACCAAATTATTTTTAAGGTTTTCTCGCTTTTTATGTCACCGCTTCACGCACGTGTGCACGGATAATAAGTGAACAATACCCTTAAAATAGACAATATATATATTCATCGAACGAGTACCAGGGAAGGGCTGGGAAGCCTTCGTAGATTTATCGTACGAATCGTAAAACGAGAATATCGGATACTCAGATGTCTGACATTTAACCCATTGGCTAAATCTTCCGTGAGGAATGATTTTGACCAAGGAGAAATCTGGGTCTCGGATTAGTACTAGTCCGAATAGGGGTATATTTATACATATACTCCAGGTGGTAAACGGTGGGTAGATACTATGGGCTATAGGTAATAAACGGGGGTCAGACTCAACATAGTAGACGGATAAATGAGTGGTTGAAAGCTCCTCCGCTTGCATAATAGATTAAAGACCAACCCACTCGTTGCATGCTCATATTTTTAACCAGTTAAGATCTAGACCCAAGCATAGCTCACAACTGTTGTTTACATGAGTAACTAGACCTAGGTCATTTGTTATGCCAATCGAAGTCCATAGGCTACGGTCTCAGGTACTTCATTATTCATCCGCATAGCTGTAACTGCTCCTTTAACCCTATATAAGCGATAGGGTCCGCACTACTTATGGAAAAATGCAGGTAACGCTGTTTTAAAATTCCACCCTCTTCGTGTAAGGGTTACGTATGTCCGTTGAACGTAGAGAGAAATAAATTCAAGAATTTCCAAGGGGTGGACGTGATGCGCTGAACTGGATTAATGCATGGTAAGAGGGTTATATTCCTACCTCCCTTTTTTATGCCAAATGATAAATAATTATATTAATAACACGAATTCTTTATGTATTTAATCTTTACACTGTTTCCCATAATCTGCAAATTAATTTAGGCTATTGGGATGTGGTCTGCTGAATAATTAAAAATTGTGTCAAACTGTGGAGTAAGTTATTCATTGTGTTTGTCATATTTCATGATCTTTATATGCATTAAAAAATCCTTGTTAAGAATTCTGCAAGATCCCAGGATCATTTATGGTACTTCCTTCTGGCATAGTGTGAAGACTTGGTTGCTGGTGTATTTGGGTTGATCATTCCGTTTCCATGTCTTTTTCCGTATGGTTTGACAGATCCTTCGCTGAAGGGTCCGAATTATAAATCCTTGGATATATATATCCAGCTATGTATTCCTTTTTGGGCCTTTTTCAATGAATTCTGCAGCTTCTTCGGTCGTATGTGATCAACTCAGAGAATTCATTTAAAGTATTTCTCAATGCATGTTCAGATATTGAAATATGCTATTGCCACAGCATAATAAAAAATATGACTTAGGAAAATGTATTAATTATTAGACAATTCATGTGAAACTTTATATTTTTTTTCCCCCCCTTTTTGGAGATGATTCAATATTTTTTGAGTTTTGTATTGATACTTGTCAGTGTAAAAGTGTAAAAAAAAAAGCAAGTATGGGCAAATTTTTTCTACTGGTACGTCTCAATATTCGCAGTATAGGACATTGCACAAGAGTATGCAACCTGGATAGAGGAAAAGGGGAAGATAAATGCAGATGCTATGGGAAGAGTATAGTGTTGGCTTCTGCAGCTTAATTTCATTTTCAAAAGTCTGGCAAAGGTATAGTTAGAGTCTCTTTCTCAAATACTGAATGATCTGGCGTGAATCTCAATTAACTGTATATCGATCGTAGTTTAGCTGTTTCACCTCGTAGATTTCAAAGTTCTGGCATCCTTCATCGTATGTTGCAGCGTTTCGGTACTTTTCATTGGAGTTTTCGAAGTTTCGCTGTTCCTCACTGTGGTTTCCAGAGTCTCGGTATTCAGTTCCTATCCAACGTGTCTTGAGATCATCCAAACTGTCTTCGTGATCGAGACTTTGACCATACCTTGGCCGAACTTTTGAAAACGAAAGGTGGCTTCAAAAGACTTACCCAAACTGCCCATATCAATAGCATACTCTTTTAATATGGCTATTTTGAAGTGTTGAATCGTGTCAACAACCGTATCAAGAAAAAGAATTTATTTGACGTCAGCTTTTTTCTGATACCAGAAGAACCGGGCAAATCCCAATATTCTCCAATAAAAAAAAAATCCAAATTTGACATTTGGCATTTTCTCTAAATTTCAGCTTAGCGACTCGATCGAAATCTTATAAACTGCATTGTGCCCACGTGCGCCCACATCCCATATTTTAAGATTTACGATTGCGTAAGACATTTTCGTATATTCCTCCCAGTGCTGTCCAAAAAAACGTCTAATAATCTTTTATTTTCATTGCAGAAAATCGACTATCTCTTGGTTTCTGAATACTTCATCTGTATCAAATTACTTATGATCTTTCACAGTCAGTAACACAGACAAATACGCAGCGGATTTCTTTAGAATCTAAAAAAAATCGTAATACGATTTTCAATTTTTTCCTATTCTTAACCCACTGATGCAAATCTTTTTTTTCTAGATCGGCCTTAGAAACAAAATTTCATGGCTAAAATCGTCATTTGCGTCAATGGGTCAATGTTTAACGCGTTTTCTTTGAGTTCCCCAGTTATTGCCTACCGCGGCGAATGTGACCATCGAAAACGAAGAGAATTTCCAGGCTGTTATTCGCATAGGACTGTTTGCTCTTAACATCACAAGCAACGACTCCCTTGCTTCTCTCTCTTCTAAGCTATACCATTGTGATTGGTAGGCCGCATAAGCCATATTCTCACTCCGTAAGTAATCATAATCATGTACTTAGGATAATATTGAAAATTTGAAATAAACAGTCTAACCTCGGTATGAAGTTTATCACCGATATAACACTAGATATAAAGATTAACCATAACGGAGAAGAGGAAACAAGAGAGAAAAACTCTTTTCATAGGAGAAAGTCTTCCTTCTTCATTGTCAAGTGTCTGAAAATATGTTTTATAATTGTATAAAAGTCCTACGCGTCATGGGTGTATCTTACCGTAAGTACTTGAAAGCCCTGAAAACAAAGCTGAACCGTAGAAGCAAACATTTGCACGAGAAGCATACGGTTAAATGATTTATCAATTGTATCAGCACACCTTTGAAACAGAAAAAAGATAAAACTATTTCGACCAATTTATATAAAACTTTGTTTCGCAATAAAATTGCCAACCTGTTCAAGTGGTTGTGCTTGCGTACAATGGTTGAAAGTTTTTTTATAAACGTTTCCTTGTACGTATCCATGTTTTCTAATACATTTTTCAAGTCGATTTGCAGATTCTTGTATTGGCTACATACGTTAAGTACGAGGATAGCCAATATGTTGTCAAGGGTCAATAGGTTGATAAGCCAAGTCAATTCGTAACTAGGACTGACTTGCGTGTTATAAGGAAAGTGAGATTGAAAAAGGAAACGTCGCGATGTATCCGTTCCGTTTATTATCTTTGTCTGATAATTCAAATATATTTGAAGAACAACGTAGCTGATGACCGTCATGTATATCAGAAAGGTAAAGACGAGGGATATAATTTTTGCAATTTTTCCATACTTCAGTAAGACTTCGCGTTTCCCTGGGTTATTTACATTTTTCCAATCCTCAGTAATGCAGGCGAGAACTGGTCGTAGAGCTTTTGATATTTTTGTTTCATTAATAAATGCTAATACACGCAGAATCGTTCACGAATATTGGACCGAATAAATTGCGATGGTCGCACCATCGATGGACAACCCCGTCTTTTTGATTTCGATGGTGCAGCCATTTTCGGATGGTGCAACATTCCTGAATAATCCGAAAAGGAGACATCATTGCTTTGAAAAGTGTAATTTACCTTTACTGTTGAATCGGAGTATTAAAAGCTTCATCAGAGCGGAAATCATTGGTAGGTTAGCCACACATAAATTATCGACGACGAGGTCCAGATCTCCCCAGACCATATCAAGCAACGTCGTCTGCGGGATGATGGTGAATGCAAGCATAAAAAATGCAGGAAACAGAAACTTGTATTTCCTCAATGATCTGCCTCCAAACAATTCCGGATCTGGCCAAATCCCAAGCTGACGTAGGCTAAAGCGATTCCATCTCAAGGTAATGTCTAGATTCTCAAAATCAGATCTTGATTCTTCTGGCTTATCCTCGTATTTAGTATATACGCTTTCTGTTAAGGAAGACATTTTATTGATGCACAGTGTGTTCTGAATTTAGTTTCTATTCAGGTATGACCCACGTAGAACAAAAGTTGTGCTCGCAGGTAACTGTGCTGACATACCAAATACTCAAACTAATTCTGTGAATGGATTTGCAACAGTGAAGACTTGTAAAAACTTCCAGCAATCCCGGTTTAAACAATACGTGTACGATGTGAATCTCTTTTTGCTACAATGAGTGCATAAAACGTGGTTGTATCGGAGTCACAGTCACTGAGTGTATAGGTCACGTGATTGTATCAGAAAACGGACATGTGCCTCCTTTATTGCATGACCATATAGAGCACGTGGAATTGACATATAACTCATATTTAAAGCAAGAGTGCACGTACGAGTGCATATACACTGCAAACCTAAGTGTATACATAACATAACATAACCTAACCTAACCTAACCTAACCTAAGTGTATACATATACAGCAAATTGTGTTATCCCATATCCTTTCAATGGTAGTCACCTTTTCCGCACTTGCAACCGTGTTATTCTTGTGGGAATAAGTGACTACGGTAGAAAGAATAGGGGAAAACGCACTTTGCTACACACTTGGATCTGCAGCTTATGCAAACGAAAATATCTGTATCCTCAATTGAATCACTCAACAGAGTAGTATCGAACGGCGAGAATCAAATTGAAAATATAAATAAGACACTGGTATTTCCAGATTATTCAAGCACTTTTGTTGTTAAATTAACACGAGCACGAAATCCCATTTTATTACGAAAGAAAAATATCACGTTACGCTTCGTATGCTTGTGTAACAAGTTAAATCTGCTTGTCTGAATATTATTGCACTGTCTGTACCTACCAGTTTCCATCACGAGGAACCGTCGATAACTGATGATGCCCCGCTGTTACGGCGCCCTTGAAAGAATTCTTCGGCGCGCATATTTCGTTGTAGAACAATCCCTCGAACCGAGCATCCAATGAACGATGGGGGTGGTTTCATGTTTTTCCTCCTTCAGCAGAGATGGGGATAGCCTATCTGCTGGTTGAACATGCTCCTCAGTGTATCATCCCAGCTGACGTGCTATAGACCCTCGTGCTCAGGGTGGTCGATTCTATAGATTGTCTGCGAACGCAGTAATCTAATGGAGGATGCATTTGAAATGAAACGTAACGTGACATACAAAATACTGATCGTGAGATTGAGCGATCGATCGAGAAGAGTCAAGTGCAGAAATCAATTACTCCAAGAACACATGGTGCGCAAGAGGGACGAGAACGCAGGGTTACATATTAATTTAATATAAAGAAACAATTAGTTGCGCGTGAAAAAAAAACAAGGTAATACTCAAATGCTGTTTTATTGAAAAATATTGCTTGACCACGTTACTACACTGTTACGTACACAATGGTAATAGTTGATATGAAGTTGCGGTGCGATATAACGATCGTTGCTATTAAAACTATTTACATGAATACACTAATTTAATTAGTAAAATAATTAGTGTCACGTCCTGCTGACGTACTTAGCGTCTGAGAATAGGACAAGTCGAAGGAGTCGTGGTCAAGGGTCATAGACTCCGGGTGCGGCTTGGTGGGAAGTGGGTGGTGGGTGGATGCTATAGACTGTGGGTGGTGGGTGATAGCTATAGACCGAGGGTGGCAAGTGGGCGTCGAACGTTACATAGTAGAGTGATATAAAAGAGTGCTTGGAAACACCTCCAGTTGCATAATTGATTAAACACCAGCCTAGCCGTTGCATGCTCATTTTTTAAATAATTCTTTTCCAGTTCCGGTCTAAGCTCAAGCCTATCGTTTGCATATTTAACTAGACCTAGGTCATTCGCTATGCCAATTCAAGTCCATATGCAACGTTCCTAGGTACTTTATTATTCATTCGCGCCGTAGCTGTTCTTTTTTATCACCCTGTATATGCGATAGGGTACGCGCTTCTTATGGAAAAAAGCACGTAACGCTGTTCTAAAATTCCACCCACTTTGTGTAAGGGTTACGTATATCGTTGAACGTAGAGAGAAATAAATTCAAGAATTTTCTAGGGGCTGACGTGGTGCAATGAACTGGATCAATGCGTGACAAGGAGGGGGGGGTATTTCCACCTCCCTTTTATATGCCAAATGATAATCGATTATATCGATAACGCGCATGACCTATGACGTTAACCTTTATATTTGACTTTTTTTACAATTTGCAAATTAATTTGAAGTATTGATGGACGGTCTGCCGAATAATGGAGATTTTTTACTGCACTGTGTAACAACTTTCCGCATGTTTTGGCATTGCGGTAATTTAATATCTTTTTATGCATTTGAGAAATCCCTGTTAGGTACTCTTCAGGATCACAGGATCATTTACGGTACTTCCTTCTGGTACGGTGTGAAGTCTAGGATGCTGCAGACTGATTCATATCATTCGGCAGATCCTTTGATGAGGAATACCAATTATGAATCCTTGGGTATATGTATGTGTATCCAACTATGTATTCCTTTCTAATCCTTTTTTTATTTATCCTGCAGCTTCTTCTGTCGCACGTGATCACCTCAGAGAGTTCATTTCAAGTATTTCTCAATGCATGTTCAGATAATGAAATGTGTAGTGTAATGTTCAGATAATGTTGCCGCAGTGTAATAAAAAATATTACTCAGGGAAATTCATTAGTTATAAGACAATTTATGTGAAAATTTGTATTTCTTTCCTTTCTAGAAATGAGCCAAAATTCATTTGAGTCTTGCAGTATTGCACGTCAGCGCTAAGACGTAAAAATGCAAGTATGGCGAAAGTCATGGGTTAATATGGGTGATTTTTGCTCCTGGCACGTGTCAAATTTCGCGGTATAGGACATTGCACAATTGTATGCAATCTGGACAGAGGAAAAGGGGAACATAAATGCAGATGCTATGGGAAGAGTATGGTGTTGGCTTCTGCAGCTTAATTTCATTTTCAAAAGTCTGGCAAAGGTATAGTTAGAGTCTCTTTCTCAAATACTGAATGATCTGGCGTGAATCTCAATGAACTGTATATCGATCGTAGTTTAGCTGTTTCACCTCGTAGATTTCAAAGTTTTGGCATCCTTCACCGTATGTTGTAGCGTTTGAGTACTTTTCATTGGAGTTTTCGAAGTTTCGCTGTTCCTCACTGTGGTTTCCAGAGTCTCGGTATTCAGTTCTTATCCAACGTGTCTTGAGATCATCAAAACTATCTTCGTGATCGAGACTTTGACCATACCTTGGCCAGACTTTTGAAAACGAAAGGTGGCTTCAAAAGACTTATCCAAACTGCCCATATCAATAACATACTCTTTTAATATGACTATTTTGCAAGTGTTGGATCGTGCCAACAATTGGAATTTGCCCATACTCTTCTCAGACTTTTGCCATACTTGCGTTCCCCATAATAAACACGATCAGGCTGTTACAAGGCATCCGTATCAGCATGTTCGTGAAATTTAATATACCCAATATGCATCATTCAAACACAAATTTTACATGCATCACAAATTTTATGTGCATTTTTATCTAAATCTGCCAAAGCTTAAAAAACGACCCTTTAGGGTAACAGAATTTTTGACTCTTTCAAACAAAGAAAATTTAAAAGTTTGTTAAATCATTAAATGTGCATTTTTACCCGTGGCTAAATTATTTTGTTGCGGCAATTAGTCTGACAGCAAAACGACAGAAAAAATTGTTTTTGGTACTCACCAAAATGGGGCTCCAACGCATAGATTTCAAGATGACTGACAGCTGATTATGGATGAGTGGCGTAGATAAAGATTCTCTTGTAATCGGTGTACTCCTTTGCCCCTGTTGTATCTATCTCACGTGTAAAAGAGTTCAGATGATCTACTGACGGAATGCTAATGCGCGAATGATTTATACGACATTATTACCCACATGGTGAGTGACAGTATTAATATTGTTTAGGGATGTTTTAAAAAAGATGCAGGGATTTGGTGATGTCAAAATATTTTATTAGTGTTCTACCAAGCAGTGTGTGGATACTTCAAATTTTATCGAACATTATTACAATTATCATTCGCTTATAGACATCAATATTGATATATAACCCAATAACGTCTTTAAAATCTGTAAACGAGATGCCATTATAATTATGCAGATCTTGCGTCAAAAGGAATTTACAATAGAACAAATGTTTCTGCGTAACAGATACTCTTTTGTATTGTTGGAAAATTTCTTACGGCAGCAAACAAACTGTGGGAATAATAACAAAAATTTGCAGCTGTCACAAACAACTGTTTTCTGGAACCGGATATTATGAACAGTAGGCATCTCGCATCTTTCGGCGATAAATTGTACCAACAACTATCATAAACAGTATCGCCAATAGCCTCGTTCTAAAAATAACAAAAAAAAAAAGAAAACAAAAAATATTGAAAGTGCTACTTCTTTTTTTTAAATATCCAAATCGCAACTTCACCTCAGAGCACAACAATTCGCTCACGTAACAGTATCCATAAAGACCAGCAAATGCCACAAAAATAGCACATATTAGAAACACTGTTTCGGCAATGCTACTTTGGTCATTTTGAAAAACCTAAGAATCAAACGAAATAACTTGTACGACGACAAAGACAACGAGAAGCAAAAAATGTCAAGCGCACTCACCCATATGAATCCAAAACCAAAGAAGCAACATTCCAGCATGCTAGCGGTCATTTGTACTAACAATGTCCAAGCATAAGAACTCGCAACTCTCTTGCTGAATCTTCGATTAAACAATTATTCGAAATTTTTCTATCGCGTCAATTTAACCCTTTGAACTAGACTGACCCCTCTCAGGCAATAAAATACATCGAAAATGGGCAAATGTCGAGTGCAAAGGGTTAATTAGTAAAAATTTCACTAACCCGATAAGTTCATTGTGCCTTTTCACGATCAGGCCAATCTTTTCCAAAAACTGATTTCCGTCATTCATCGTTGCTTCAGTCATTACGCTTTTCAATTCATTTCTTAGATTGGTAAATTGACAGCACAGGTGTAATACCGACATTGCCAAAAATCCGTCGATTACCGTATACGCTGTGCACGCCAGTGTAATCATAATGACCACAACGATGCAAGTCAATTCGAAAATTGGACTATTTTGAATATTGTATATAATAACAGTTTGGAAAAATGGTTCATTAATATAATCACTTATATTTTCCGCTCTTTGATATACTACAAATGGAATGGCTACGTTCACAAGAATTGAGGCGTAAGCCGCTATAGAAAATGGCACGTATATTATTTTTGCGATTGTCGCATATTTCATCATCAATGCTCTTTCCTGATCGCTTTTCGGTCTCATCCAGGCCGCCACAACAAGATCCACAATCGGTCGAACATCTTTAAATTTGTGTTAAGATATAATTTGAAATTGCAATTTTTTTTTAACAAAATTGTACCTTGTTTACTGAACCCAAAGATGAAACACTTGATCATTGACGTAGTAACTGGCACATTTAAGAGTACCAGATTTTTCATCATAAGATTCAGATCTGGCCATACCATTATTAGAGATATAATTTGCGGAGTGGATATGACAACTAATATTAGAAATGACACTATTAGAAATCCGTACTGTGATAGCCAGTTCATTTCATCCACAGAATTTGGCCAGAGCCCCACTACTTTTAGACTTATACGAATCCAATTTATCACGTATTTCAGATCTGAGGAAGCAATATGTTTTTTTAACATTTTCTAATCTTCTTAATCCTTTAATGTTTCAGGCTACAAAATAACTAGAACCGGGTATTGCCCAACCGCAATATTTTTTAACAAATGTCAATCATTGCTATTCCAAGTTTTAGGAAATAGAGCTAAAGTCCTAATTCAGAGAAAAATCAGACCGATGCACTGATGTATAGGTGTATTTCAATGTGCGCGTTCCCCATTGTAAATTTTCTTTAAAGCTACCCAAGCCGTAGAAATTTTAATGCGACATTAGAAGATTAAGTAATTTATTAATATTCTTTAAGACCGAGGAAATAAAATTTAATGAATAACCGCGATGAGCTTGCAAGGATGCTTCCATGTTACTTCGTATTGACTAAAGAAAGGATGCTTCGCCTGCTCCTCAGAGCCGTCCGAACCTTACTCAGCTGTACGCATGCTCTTGAAAAAGTAGAAAATCGCCATCTATGTGAGGTACGGCAAAATAATATATTGTAGCTTTATCGACAGTGCCTCGAATGACAATCGAAAACCTACTGTAGATCTGGAAGTGGGAAAAACTGAAGTATTTGTCACTTGCAAGTTGAAACTAGATTTTCGATTTAGACTCTCTTGGCAATGTCATATTTAGAATTGCTACACACGTGGGTACGATTTCAAATGTACTTCAAGCATAGATCATGCAAATAAAGAATTTGTTCCACTGTGTAAAAATTAAAATGATCAAACGGCAACTTTGTGAAATGATTTAAAAATATTTCACGTACTAACACACATTAATCAAAATAGAAAAAATGCTTGCACAATACCAATGAGCATTTACAGCAATATCTTATTCAAAGACTCAACAACTTTATTATCTTTAAATAAAACAAAAGTACTTCATCCAATGATATAATTTTTTAGCATATTTCTATTGATCAGCACATTTTTTATATTCTCTTTAAGTAGTAAAAATTAGGAAAAAAACGATTAACCTGAGATTATTGTGTCCCCTAATAAGGAAACTGAAAACTTTTAGAAATCTAGAACTTGAAAGTAGTTATTAATTTGATATGAAATTCATAGTATGTGCAGCCATCTATGACATGGGTGTCAGTTCGTGAGTGTTTATCGATTCTCATCAGTGACCTACTGAGGGAACAGTTCTTGGTCTATGTCCAGAGGTCTACGCTAGATCCAATGCTACATTCTGATATGTAAATTAAGAAATCAATGAATGCCTGTAGCTGAGCCTCGGACCCACTTTTAGCCAAAAATGGGTGATTAGACTTGAAAGTAATACATAAGAAATTATTGAGTAATAAATTTAAAAAATGTTTAAAAGTATTTACTTTTGAGTGCATTAACTAATATTGTATGTACAGGCGAAACTTTGGTGAACACTAACAAGGAAACCCTCCCAACCCGACCCCACCGATTTCATTAATTTTTTGATATGTTGCAGTACTCGACAATGATTTTCGGGAGTGAATTTCAAGGGTCGTTTTCATCCCTTTAAAGTGGATGTCAGCACAAAAAAAAATACGTGTCTCTTATTTTGTCGAGTACTGCAACATATCAAAAAATTAATGAAATCGGTGGGGTCGGGTTGGGAGGGTTTCCTTGTTAGTGTTCACCAAAGTTTCGCCTGTACATACAATATTAGTTAATGCACTCAAAAGTAAATACTTTTAAACATTTTTTAAATTTATTACCACGAGTTTGAAATAGGGTATATTCTTGAATATAATTTTTTTCCAAAATTTTTAATTGTCCACCGGCTCTTGCATTGTAGCTAATATCACTGAGAGATAACTCATTGATGTTTTTAGAATCTGAAAAACGGAATTAAGCCTCGCAAAAAGAAATAATTTTAAGCAAAATTACGCGATAGTTCTTACATTCCTAAGGCCAAGTACTCACATCAGTAAAAGTTGACATGGTGAAAGACCTGAATTTTCCAGCAGTTAATTTCATTGGACGAACTGTACGATCCATTATTAATATCACACTTCTTGCATCTATCGGTTCGCGAATATACCACAGGCACTCGTATGCTGCATTTCTTATCTTTTCGTTCTGTGCAGTAATTGAATTATGAGAAAAAAAATAATGTTGCAGAATAATATTTGGAAATATTACGTTCACCTCGTGTTGAAGTATTTCACCGAAATAACAATAAATGTATAACGGAATTAATGTGGCAAGAATAAAGAAAATTAAAAATACTATTTCCATGGTAGAAACTTCTGCATTCTGAACTTGCACTTTCTGCAATTAATATAAAACCTTTTCGATACAGCCAAACACAAAGAAAAGAAATTCTCACCATAATTAATTGAAAACATAGAAAGCACAGTAATGCCGCGAGTAAAGTCATTTGCGCGAGTAATATTATATTGAAATTATCATCGATCATAGAAGCAAACCTTAAAATATACAATTATTTTAATAAAATTATACAAAGTTTTCCTTTACATTTTTCTACTAAAAATTAAATTTGACTTATACTGACCTGTTCAGGTGCTCATGTCGTCGAACAATGATGCCAAGTTCCTTCATAAATTTAATGGAATCCTTTGGATGGACTTTCAGTGGTAAATCCCTTAGCAACGCTCGCAGTATCGTCGATCGTGCAGAAACGTGCATTATCAGTAACACAAGAAAATTGTCACATCCTATATAAATATTGATCACAATCACAGTAGCAACAATTTGCCCAATAAATATTAATTCAAAATTTGGACTTTTCAGCATGTATTTTGGAAAGTAGCTGGGGAAAAAAAATTCGAGACCACGATGCGTTTCGCATTCTGAAGTTTTTGTGATGTGAAATTGAATTTTGACGAGTACACGCAATAAAAATGTCAAGTATGAGAAAAGTATATTTGAAATGCAAAATCTTCTGACAAATTTCCCTTTTTTCAGCAAGATCCCTTTTGTTTCCTCGTTGGCATTAACAGAATTCATCCAATCTTCTTCCATGTACTTGAGGAGTTTTCCCAAAGCTTTAACACCACATTATTTCACATTATATCACAATGTATATTTCTTTTAACTGTAAGATACGGCAACAGTACCTTGTCTATTAAAATAGAGAATTATTATTTTTATTAAAGCACACGAGCATACAATTTCTCCAGTGGCTAATATCTGTATGACTAAATCAAAATCATCGATTCTCGTTACGAGTAATATAGTTTGCGGTAAATAGACAAAGACGAGAACTAATAATATTGATGAGATAATCTTGAATTTTAACACTTTATCTTTTTTAATGTTTTCAACGTCAGGCCAGAGACCAATTGGTGCTAAAACCAAACGATGGATATTCGTAACGAATTTCATATCTGTATTGCCCATTAAAGAGAAGAAATAGCTATTAATTATAGTACTGCCACTCGAATTTTGATACCATCACGTGAAATTAAATAAATCAGGAATCACAACCCACGATACGAATTCGATTTCAAGTGGGTACCCACCGCGACATTTATCCTTTTTAGTTTTCATCGTGACTGATACAAATGGTTCGAATGCACCTGAGGAACTAAAGATCCATGGAGTCTCCCTTGAACTGGAGGAAATTTCAACCCTGTGACGCATGCTCGCTGAAAAAGCTGAACTACCCCCACGCAGCAGGAGAGAGAAAATCTAAAGAATTCTACCATTGACTGAGAAGATTCTATTGCTCGGATGGTCACCATTTAGATTCAGAAGATACACCTGCCGCCATCTGTTCGATTAGCATCCAGTTAATGCGAGTTTTTCGATTACCACCCGTGACCTCCTGACGATTAGAATTCTAAATCGACATGACACTCTCTTACATTCTGAAATAAAGGCTAAGAAATCAATAAAACTGCAACTCAGAATCGAATCCAATGCTAGTCAAATGGTTTTTTCGCTTTGACATTTATGACAAAATCAGCTGCTTAGTTTTAAAATAAAACATGAGACCCCTTGGAGTGGCGATTAACAGGTGAATGTGTACTGTTGATTGCGGTAGGTGATATAATGTACATAATATTTTACCACCGACAAGAGTGCACGGCTGTACCATATGATACGTGTAATTATGCGGGTGTCATTTAAGTTTTCCATAAAGTGAAGTAGTAGAACTACCTTCGCCTAGTACAATACTTTAGAATAAACCATCATTTCTTGAGAAATTTTCTAATTGTCCTTCGGATCATTGATTGTAGCTAATAGCACTGAGAGATAACTCATTGATGTTTTTAAGATCTGAAAAAAGGAATTAAGCTTCACAATCAAACTAATTTTGGAAAAAATTATGTGACTAATACCTAAGTTTTCAAAGGCAAATACTCACAGCCGTGAAAGTCGACATTACGACGGGGCTGAATTTCCCAGCAGTTAACTGCACTGGACGAACTGTACGCGCCATTATTATAATCATTGTTCTTGCATCTCTTAGATCCAAGATATACCAAAGACACTCGTACGCGGTTCTTCTCGTCTCCTCATTCTGAACGATGATAAAATTGTACAAAAATATTCTTGAAAACTATTATATCGTAAAAAGTAAGCTCACCTGGGATTGAAGCATTTCACCGAAATAACAATAAATATACAGTTGAATTAATACGGGACAAATGTAGAAACAAAGAAATACCAATTCGATGATAGACAATTCCGCGTTCTTATCTTTCAATTTCTACAATTAATATAAAATTTTACGAATATCTTGGACATATTAGTAAGTTAGGAAAAAAAGAGCATGTTTCTCACCACAAGAAAGTGAAAACTTTGAAAGCACAGCAATACGGAGCACAGAACGATTTGTAATAGTAAAATCATATTGAAGATGTTATCAATTTTCGAAGCGAACCTTAAAATCTCTAATATTATTTTTCTTAAATTTAAAAACATTAAATTCATCTTTTACTAACCTGTTCAGGTGCTCGTGACGTCGGACGATTACTCCAAGTTCGCACATAAATGTGGAACTCGTAGTACCAACTTTGACAGGTAGATTCTTCAGGGATGATCGCAATATTGTAAATTGAGTAGAAACATGCATTATCAGCATCACAAGTAAACTGTCACTTCTGGAATACGCGCTGATTGCAATCATAATGGCCACAATTTGCCCAGCATATATTAATTCGAAACTTGGACTATTGAAAAGATAATTTGGCAAATAACTAGGAACGAATAAATCAAGACCAGGATATGTGTCGTTATCCGAGATTTTCGCGAAGTAAAAAAATATTTTGACTACTATATAAAGTAACATTGTTATGCAGATTGTAACGGAGTATGAGATACACATTTTTCTAACGAATATTGCGTTCTTCAACATGATCTCCCTTATTTCCTCGTTGGCGTAATCCACCAAATCTTCATTCATACTTTTGAGAAGTCTTCTCAAATCTTTAAGAATGCGTTACTTTATGCTTCACTCGTATTTTAACTATTTTTATTCGATTCAATGACATTATAAGTACCTTCTCTTTTAATATGTAGAATTATTATCTTTATTATGGCACAGGAGATTATAATTTTTCCAGTAGCTAATATCTGTATAACCAAATTCAAATCCCCAATGTTCATTAAGAGCAAAGCACTTTGGGGTAAATACAAAAATCCCAGAAGGAATAATATTGTGATGATACACTTCAGTTTTAAATGTTTACTAGCTTGACTATACTCCGTGTCAGGCCAAAAGCCAAAAAATTCTAAAGCCAAACGACTGAAGTCCGTTGCAAATTTCATATCTGTATTGCACATTGAATAAAACAATCAACGATTAATCATATTGTCTTCCAAATTCTAACACTTCGGCCCGCGATTCAAATCCAATTTCAAGTACCCACCGGAGTATTTATCTTTCGATTTTTTCAGCACGTCTCACTCGAATGGTTCAAGTGTTACTGATGAACTGAAAATCCTTCCTCTTCTGCGATAGGAGAAGCTAGCGCGCATACTCGTCATAAATAGTAAAACTATCTCCCCTATTGTAGAAAACGTGAACTCTCATTTGAGTTATTCTTTACTCAAAGAGTAATTTTTCTAGGATAGAATATGAAGGTAGTGCCATCTATTGAAAAGATGCGGTACCCTCTACAACAAGGTTAGTTTGGAAGGTAGCTTCAACTCTACTTTAAATCACTCTTCTCTGCTATGTCACCTAGCATCTTAATAGTATTGTTTTTGGCTGAATTTCTGGCAAAGATAATAGTTTTTTTACCAATATGAAACACATTGTATTTAGAAAAACATTTATTCGGGTTTGAATTGGTCGGAATTTTCTTCACCGACTGGGAGGTGGGTATCTGTTGGGTGCAAGCCGTGCACCGCGCCAGTTTCATAGGGCAAAATCAGTAGATAAGTCCAATCGTATCTGAATCAAACATAAAAAACTTCATATAAACCTAACAATTCCGTCAATCGATACACGCACGGTGTTCCACTTTACCCCCAGTATACATAAAATTAATGTAAAATACTATCAAAGAAGGTGTAATCAATGTACCTATTTATTCCAACATGAAGTTTACTTTTATCATGGTACTTATCAATAGAGTTTAAAAGTATAAGAGTACCACAGGTAAATTAATTTTCAAGAATTGTGAAGCATATATGATGTAGTCTAGTTTCAGAAACAGAACATTCATGCAATAGTCATATTCGTCCACAAGTCTCTGGGGTTTCAGCATCTCAGCTAAGACACTTAATTGTCTACTTAATTGATTTTTTAATACTTTTTTTTCAATAATTAATACGTATTGCGTATATTAAAATGTTTTTATTAATTATTTAATCAGTACAGCATAGATAATATGTCCTTAGTAAATATTCTTAATAACTTTTCTAAAAACTAACAAAACGTATTTCGCAAAGTTACATTCAATTCTCGATAATTTTCCGAGAAAGAATACACAAAGTCGTGAAATAGATTGTATACAAAACATACATATATGAAAATAAATATGAATTGATTTACTGCATTTCTGTGTACAACTTTTATGTCTAGTGATGAAGTTGATGATTTTATTGAAAAGGATATGACCCGCACTTGCCAGTTGAACCTGTCACACTGGTATCTGGTTAAATCAGTTTCAAATCAATCGAAAATGGAATCATGCGAAAGTTCAATGAAAATTGAAGCGTAACCGATATTCTGTTATGTAATTACTCGAGGGAATGTCCGTTTCCTTAAATTTTGATAAAAGATAGCAAAAATTAAATTAATAAATGCGTGCACATTAAATAGGATTATCGCAATGATTACTATGTACAAGTTTGGCGTGATTCTTAAAAACGACGGTCTCAAATTACGTCCAATTGCAAAAAAGAAAGAAAATGCAAAATTTCGAGACCTCTGCAGCAACCATCTCCTCGAAGATTGTCACTGGATTAAAAGAGGATCCTAGTAAAATTCAAAAAAATCCTCAGAAAAAAACATTTCCAGGCCTCGATTGAAAACATACGAAACTAGAACAATCGTGCCTCCTGACAGCCGCCATGACCTCTTCAAAGTGACTCGATACTTGTGCAGCAGCAATTGGTTGAATTCTGCAACAGAGAAAAGGTAAAAAAATTTAATCAAAAGTTTCGTCATTCCAGCATATATTCGTCCTTAGAATATTTCAAGTGGTCAAGGTGTCGGTTAAGAATTTCTTATTCACTGATTGCTGCGCAACTTTCATCCCACCTAAAGAAGAAAAGAAGTTTTCGCGCGAAGGCGTCGAACAATATAGCATGTAGGTATATTGTATACATAAATGTACTCATGGCATAGAAATGCAACTACGCAAGATCTACTACAGCACCTAATGCGCCGAGAATTCTTTACTAGGGACTTTCGTAAATGGGCAACCGGTCGCGTAGCTCACATGAGAATTACAAACGTAACGGCGTAAACAGACACGAAGGCAGCCAGTCTGGCTGGTTTCGTTTTCCACGGTAGAAAAGAGAAGCAAAGAAATCTTCTGTATACACAGTTTAAAAGCGGCCTGTCAACTTTTCTCTACTAGTTTTTTTATCTCGTGTTTCTCTTTTTTCTTCTTATTCTGTGTACACTCTTCGACGAGGAGGTATGCGACTAACCATAACGAACGACTCCAAGTGTCCAAACTGGGCGTCCAAGTGAAACTGTGCTAAGAGGTAAAAGTTGAATCAGTCAGTAGGACGTTAGTTCGCGCCGAGTGAAAGCTGGAAGAAAGTCATTGCACTATAGTTCAGTCTGAAGTGATTGGCTATAGTCTCTTATAGTATTTTAGTCATAGATAGAACGCGAGCAGAGATCGTTGACATATTTGGTACTTGGTGTGAGTGCGCTGGGATCATTGAAATTTCCCAAGAGAAATTAAAGGTTCTTAATGAAACTGGTTGATTTATACTTACAGTGATAGGAGAGATGCCATTTTCTTTTCCATGAACGTCGAAGCGTCAGGACCTCGTTCTATCATGGCGTCGCAAAATATCCTTTTTGCACATGGTGTATTGGTCCAGTCTCCAGATATATGTGCTACTTCGGCGACCTCGGCATTTTCTAAGTTCTGCAGTGCGTCGTCGAGTTTCTGGTCATTGCTTATACTTCTTTGCGTTCTTTTTTTGATCATTCCATTCTTTGACGAACTTCCGGTATCCTTTAAAAGATTGTCCACGATCCTCGCCACGTTCTCGACTGCGTTCCCGTCGTGCACTGTCATGTGGGGTTCTTTGTCTAGCATCTTCAGGGGCTTTGAATTGTCTTCTATCACTAGGATTGTTCCCTGATTTTTTGTAGAAGCCTGTGCATTTTTTTGTGGTAAAAGAAATTCTGATATGTCTATATTTCCTTTGGTTGGGACGTCGATCTCTACTATTTCTGCTATTGAGTCAGCACCCTTTCTCTGAAGTCGCTTACTCCTGGCCAAATTCTGCATATCAGCTTCAGCATTGAAGACGTCCAGGTATTCCAGACTTCGTTTTCGCCTATTTGTTTCAATGTAGTCGGTTTCCTCAACCACTGGTCTTGTCTGGCGATTTTCTACCCTGTCATTATCCTCAGTTTCCTCCAGGATCAAAAAGACGCCCGCATCCTCTTCTCGTGGTTGTAGCTGCTCCTTGGTATTAGGATCCATGAAGATAATCTGATTTTTACCATGTTCAAAATTATCAGACTGTACTTGCAACGAGCGTAAGTATTCTTGACGTCGTTCAGGATTGTTTTGAATCGATTCCAAGGCTCTTTTGTGTTCCAGATTCATATCATCGTCGCTGGAACGTTTCAGGACATCGACGTCCAGGTATCTACCTACAGCAACTGCGCCGATACCTAGAGCAGCTCCTGAAGCCACCAGACCTAGTGCAGGAATCAGTATAGAGGATCCGGAAGCGACTGTGCCCACTTTCTCCTGAGCCTCTTGACCCTTGGACAGACCCAAATTTTTGGATATTTTTTGAGTCGCCTCAACGAGTGGGTCAAAGACTGGTCGTGTTAACTGTGAAACCTTTTCGACTCCAGTGGAAAATTGGTTTCTTAAATTTTCGGATATCTTAATCCAAAATGGAAGTTCGTTTCGTTTTTTTAAACCATAAAAATGTTGATTTGGATAGTAGTTCTTTATCGTGTAGGAATCCACAAAATTTTTGTCATTTAAAACGTATTTTTTCTTTTGTCGTTGCTCAGTGAAAGAGTGCTGATTTTCAGGAAAGTTATCAGGTATCCGTTTCTCGTTTTTGACAATCTTAGCAGGCTGAACACCCAACTCAGGATGAGCGTACTGGAGCACCGGTGCGCGAACGCCAGACTTCAATGCTACTGGTGCGATTTTTTGACTTTCTGGTGTGTAAAGTTGAGAATTAGGGTAACTCGCTATATTTTCAATATTAAGCATTCTCTTCTGTATGTTTGAATTAAAATTTTCATTTTTGGTCTCGTAAACTTCAGCTTTTAGAGCCTCGTTCTGATAATTTCTCGGATCCCATTCAAAATATACATTTCTTTCCACGTTATCGACATTCCGACCATAACGTTTATTAACGTCGTTGAAAAAACGATCAAACCTGTGTTTCTCGACTAGATTGTCAGTTGAGAAAAATGTTGGACTTGGATCAGTGGTTATCGTAGTAGCACCATCAAGAATTAATTTATTATTAATGACCCTGGAATTCCTCCACGTTTGTATCTTGTCGATTGGCTCGTCTGGTACGCGCTTTCCATGTATAACAGGAGTGCCATCAGGATCCAATGTCATCGGTCTTCTCTTGGGTATTGATTTCACATTAATTTCTGATCGTATGATGACTTCCGGTGGTACGTTTTTGGCATCCCGATTTTTATAAAGATTGGCTCCTATATTCGTCCTCGTGAGAGGTCTCGGTTGATGTGGTAGAAAGGTATAGCGCGTACCCTGGTTGCCAACAATTTTATCAGGATTTAAATCATCAAATCCAAAAGTTCTTTCTTGACGATTTTCAGAATTTCGCGCTAAAATTAATCCTTGATTTTGATAAACAGGATTATCCATCCTGGCATAATTAGTTCTTTCCTCCGTGGTAATTTTTTTATCGCTCACAACCGGTCTCCAGTTTACATACTCTTCAGCGCTTTCCTCAGAATTTTTTAGGTCTCTTCCGGTATCCGTTAAAGGCGTCCATTTACTATAATCAATTTCCGTATCCCTATTATAATACTGCATTTCCGGTAGCGTCAATTTTCGAAAATTTTCGTCATTCTTCGTATCCCTCTCAGAACCAGCAAATTGACTTCTGATATGCTCGACCTGAGCCTCTTCCGACTTTTTAATATCATCCTTATTCCTTTGCATCTCAAAATTTCTATTGACGCCCAAAAATGACGTGCCGGAACTATTTTCACTTTTCTCAGCGTTTTTCTCCACATTTTTAAGATCATCCAATTCATTCTTCTCTCTTCTCTTCACGATGAGCGTCGCCATATTTCCTTCACTAGTGCGAACCTTGACCTCTTCAGTCTCACCAGGAAGGCTCCTCGAAACTTTAAGAACTGTCCTAGCATAACTAGGCTTTGGTACTTCATCACCAGACGACAGATTAATCCCAATCAGAAAGATGGCTAGCAGCGACACCTGAAAGTCAAAAAAAAAAGAAAAATCACATTAGCCTTCGCGTATACATCAATATATTAAAAATACCTAATTTTCATGTTTTTCAAGAACAAATTCGCACCATCGTCCCCCATTTCCAACGATGGCAAACGTACTTGCCTGAAACTTTTGCCAATACGCTTCTCCAAGTTTCTACATACACGCTTCAATTCTTCTACATACCATGCGTACCTATAGATATACACAAGCACGCACGCATCCGACTGATCACGCACTCGATATCTCCTTGCTGAAGTCCGCGTTTTGTCGGCTGTATGTACAGTCGGCACGAGCCGTTTCGCATGTAAAATGAGTTTCAAAAGGTTTTCGAAAGTTGGCCAAGCACACGCAGTCTTACAAGTTTGTATGCAGTTTTCTAATCCCGTCATATCGCCTTCCTGTAGATCCGTCACTTTACACGTCAATAATCGTCAAACTACATACTTGTAATCCTTACAGTAACAATTACCGGCACTGAATGTAAAATAGAATAATTCAATTTAATATACAAAGCTGTAAGACTACACTAGTCGATAGATTCAAATTTTTCACCGATGACTTGTACTTAATGATTTGTCTCTTGGAAATGATTTTATTCACTTACATCTGTAAATTCCATATCTATCTGTATCTTAATGTACCGTGAACGTAGACAATTCATAATGCAGTCAGTGACTGGAGAAACTTAATGGTTTATAGAGATTATAGAAATTACCGGTATTCCAGAGTGTCATCGGTTGAAATTAGAAAATCACAAAGCATCCAGCTGGTCTGTCTGGATACTTTCTATTATCAAGGGAATAATTATTCCTGTCAGAATGACAATAAAGGCTGGCACTGAGCCAACGTAAAACTTACTGACTGTAATAGTCATTCGAGAGATCATCATCAACAGTTTGGTATTACGTTATATCACGATTGTAATTATTAGTATTTTTTTAATGCTATTGGCAATTCTTAGACGTTGATTATACATATATATATAAGTTGATTTATATCCAACAGGAAGATTCGTGCGAAAGGACCGGACATCACGTGACGTGCTCTTCATCCGTGTCACACAATGTTTCCGCTCCAGAAAATCGTCTGCCGACATTAATTACGTGGCAATTAAGTCGATCTAGTTTTTCTAAGCAATTCTAGTGCCACGTCCAGAGACCCTCTTGCGATTGCGAGTGCGATTACAATTGCTATCAAGATTGTGCATGGTAACGGTCATTCGTATATGGAGCTCAATTGTCAGTGACACTATGGTGCAATTATGAAATATAAGCGAAAATTATATTTAATTAAATACTACTTTTCCACTTATTCTTCCACTAACTACAAAAATTTATGTAATTAGAAAAATTGCAAAAATATATTTGTATTGATCAATTCAAAAATATTGTATTTAAATACCTTGTGTCTTGTCATTTTGTAGCTTGATAATTTTCCTTGATATGCTTAGTGATAACGTTTATCTCAAACTTCACTGATAACGATTTTTTATACTCAAACCCAAAGTAACAAACACTGTGCGAAAAACGTGCTTTCCTTAAGGCTGCATCGCAAGTTCGCCGATCGCTGTCTTTTATCTTTTTATCGTCCCTTCGATATTTGCAAATCAGTCGATTCACCCCTAATCTGGTTTTATACTTCTGCACCTGTTGACTCCCGGGATATCCTCACGAGACTGACGGCAATCTGCTGGCGGCTTCTCATGTCGCTACAGACTACAGACTTCTCTCTGACCCACTTCTTCGCGTTCTGTCCATGGACACCTCGGCTACGTCCCACCACCCATGTGATTGCTCATATGAATGAATGACGTTCATCAATCTTTGGTCATCGTTGAGGTTGTCTAACTTTATTTGAAACAGTAGAAAATAAATTATAATTTTGAAGCTTTTACGGCTATAATTATTACAAGCATCCATGACTTCCGGATGATTGCCAATTTGAGATGGGCAATAAGGCGAAACAGCATCCACTAATAATTCATGAATTTTAATATCAGAAAATAAACATGCACATTTTTTATATATTTTATTAAACCAAAATCAGCCAAAAAATGTACAGATATTTTGCCTGAACTAAAAAAAAATATTAAAACGAATATCATTTATTAAAACATTCTTGAATATTGAATATCTCAAACTTTAAGGATGCTTTATTCTTCCTGAAAAGTGAACCAAAATCTAATACTATTTCCATCAAAAATTCGTTATACCCCTTGATCCATTTATACAGTGAAATTTTGTTTTATAGAAAACTCAAGTATCATGCCACTCGCTATCTTCGTCCAATTTCAAGTTCACGAACGGCAAGTCCGGAGGTTCGAAGCGACAAGACAGGAGTTCAGAGACCTTCAGTGAAAGTCCACCATCACCAATACACACCTGTAACCTCGTAACTAATGGAGAACGTGTAGCTCAGTCTGCCTGATTCGACTACTAACCCCAAATGGGATCAAGAAATTTCTTTGAGAGAGGAGAGTCGATCGAATTCTTAATAATGCTAACCACACCTGGCAACCATTTTTAGGATAAATCAGTAAATCAGTCAATTTGAAAAGGGAAATGAGTCTGTAAAACGTAAGAGCGATAATACCATAAGTCGAGAGCACGTGCATTGTTCCTAGTAGGTTTCGTGACTAATTTCCTTTCTCGTAGCTTAGAAAAAATAATACGGCTCTGTGCTTGTTGAAATTTTTAAATTTCATCCGCATTATTCACACGTCTACCCGATAACGTGCAAGTACGCGTTAAATATTGCATCAACGGCACCGTTCGATTTTATAATATCACAGACTAACATAACCTCACAGAGACTACCTGATTAGAAAAAAAATTCGTTGGCTCATCATCGCTGTCCTTAAACCACTATGAAAAAGATAATTATGTAAGTATCTTCAATTGTCCTGATGCTAATGCAGGACGCCTTCTGTGTGTCTTCCATACTATGTTCAAGTTATTATCTAACTCACTATACAAACTCGTTTTCCTTGACATACCAGAGACAAAGTATTTGCCAGTATTTATAAATTTCGCTTGGAACCAGTTTCGTACAACCTTGACTATCCAGCTGGTACAGTCGAGATTCGTACAAATATTTTTTATACGCGCCGGAAGTTTATTAAAAATGAAGATCACAATGAAATTGTCATCCTTAGATTTTTTTAATAAAACGAATAACCCTTTTTTCTTGTTTTTCAGTTTTTTCACTTATATCTTAATTCTGCGTCTCCTATCAAATAATTCACCTAAAATTCAGTCCTGCCAACTTATTGGCCGGAAATGAGATTTACGATCTTAAATTCAGCACAGTCTAGGTTACCAGGTACGATAATCACAGTCTCGCCTTAAATTCCTGAAGTGAAAACGCAAAGCTATCATTTGGTACAGTGAAAGATATACTACGGCATAATGTGCGCATGCGCGTGCAGTCTTCTCCGGAATTGATGATTGAGCTCCGGAAATGAGGTACGTCCGATGACAACTGGTAATTGGGCTAAATGCTAATGACGCTTATTTCTTCTGTAGATCAATGAAAAACCAGTTTGTGCCAATAATGAATTTTTCTGGTAAAGTCTGGTAAACTGGGACTTTCCACGATTATTGTTGTCTCTTTTTGTCTATCTTTCTCTTTCCTTTTCTTCAAACCAGACTTTCCAATGGCTCCTGACGATTATGAGGCCACAACTATACACGGAATACAGGTATATTGATACTGCTCATTGAGTAAAGTAAAATGAGTAAACTTCTACTTAAAAGGTGGAAAGACCTGAGCGATATAAAGAAACCGTGACGCGTTTTACTGGCTAACATTTTCTAATGGATGTTCAATGGTAATGATGTTCCTAGAATATATATATATATATATATATATCTCATATAATAGAAAAGACAAAACAATCCTTAAAGAAAGGTGCCGCTCATTTCTTTCCAGTGTGGATCCTTGTGCGGCCACTGATGTTTGACCCAATTATACCGTGTGACTACTTTCACTTGTAGCTTGGGACGAGCTATCGGTATAGAGAAGAAATTTTTGAACGCACACCCTTAAAGAAAGGTGCCGCTCATTTCTTTCCAGTGTGGATCCTTGTGCGGCCACTGATGTTTGACCCAATTATACCGTGTGACTACTTTCACTTGTAGCTTGGGACGAGCTATCGGTATAGAGAAGAAATTTTTGAACGCACACTCCCTTGTATTATAGCGATCGTCTCCAATTGGTTTTCGCTTTTTTTCTGACACTTTCACGTTGTGCATATACAAACAGTCGGCATTGGACACGTGTACCACAAATGGATGAAAATTTCTCAAGAGATAAATATTTAATTATGCGTACGATGATACGTGCGAGATTTTACGTAATTATTTGCCTTTTTCAAAATCATGCATACGTTAGGTACAGTGTTACATGAATTTACAAACTATTATATTGCAGTTCTTTTTCTTTACAGCTTCGAACAATTCACCAAGACCATTTTTCGTTGCGTCTTCTTCGGACATTCTAAAAATCCATTTTTATATAGTAGCATGAGAATTTTTACAGTATTGGATTTTTGACTTAAAATATTACCTAGTCGAAAAATTCCACAAGACGTTGAACAGCAAATTCGATTTTGGTTTACTGCCAGCCAAAATCATTTCGCATATTGATTTTTCCTCGCAGAAAATGTTATCTTCCATTCTTGCACTTTTGTGCTCAACTGGCATGCCCACGTTACGCAATTTTGATAATACGATGTTTGGCGAACTGAAACAATGATGTATATATGAATTTAACCGTTTTAACTTTGACGATAAAAGTATCAAAAATTGTCTTACGTTGTATTTCCAATTTGAACGACGTTTGGCGTCAGGGCTGCCAAAAGAAGTCCTAACGGTAGGAATGTTCCTATCAAATGAATGATCTTCTTCCATGGAGATTGACTGGGACAGAAATAGAATTTTATGAAAAATAGAAAAATTTATATATCGATATATATTGAATCTTTTGGAAATATCAAAACTTTCCAAATACCTTTTCAATTTCAATATTTTAACGTTTGGACGTCCATCCTCTATGTACTCAATACTCGTATCCTGGAAACTAACTGGTTCCTGATAAAACTTATATGGGAATCTATGTGCCTTGGTAAAAGTTGTTTCGTGTGGAGGAAACGTATGATATCCGACAGTTTCCGGTCTCTGAAGATTCTCGTTGTTGGAGTCATGAAAGCCGGGTGGATAATCGATAACATCCGGCTGAGAGTTGGTTTCTAAATTTGTAGGTGTTACGTATTCGTACCCATGAACCTCGGAGGAATATGGCGTGACGTAATTGGTAACACTGTGAAACTTGGAAGGTTTTCCAAAAGAAGTAGAAGAATATTGAAAATCGTCCGACTCGGGATACGTGGGTCTGTTTCCAGTGATTATGGGAATATTTGGTTTTTCAGAAATTAACGAGAGTGATGTAGGAAAAGGAGAATTTTGAAAATGGGCAGGAGCACTAAAAGTTATTTCAGATTTTATATTAGGTCGAAAATTGACATTTTGATTTTTTTCTATTGTTGCTTTCGCAAATTCAGGATAAGGATATTGATATTTATTCAGATTTTTTTTACGTGGTTCTGTCAGGTGCACTGCGCTGTCAATGTCACCATCCGAACTGATAAAATTTTCAAATTTTATGGCTTTCAAGTTATTAAACAAATTTGAATTTGCTATTCGATATTCTTCGATCTCACCCAGATGCAGACTCGGTCGAAATTCCTCTGTATTATTTTCCGAAAATTTCACTCGATTCGACAAATTTTTCGAACTCGTGTCATTGTCATTCTTCTCTTCAGCGGAGACATTAACCTGGACGACATTCTCGTCAGTAACGTTACCGACTGCAAACTGGTTCTCCAGTCTCACGAAGACGTCCTGCTCTCCGTGACTTTCATTGCTCTCGACGTTATCCTGACAGAAACTATCAGCAGCGAAAAGTCCAGCAATCAGCAGGAAAATTAGTTTCAGCATAAGAACCATCATAAATAATTTTGAAAAATCCTTCAAGATGAAAAACCTCCCGAAAAATACACTATTCAAATATAATAAACCGTATGGAGATGTTACCTCCGTAACAAAGTTCTCGAAACTAAACCGTGTTTAAGCCACTCTCATATCTTTATCCTACGAGCGGACAGCAGGGAGAAGTTTTTTATTTTTAAAAAGCGTGAAGATTTCCTTACCACATAAACGTCTGTCATAATTTTTTAATCGGTGCTCACTTCTAGCTGCCCCCCTCCCACCCCCATCCCACCGTCGCCACCATAGAAAAACACTCGGAGTACGCAGTCTTTAGTTCAGCCAGACACTTATGAATATCGTCGGAGCACGAAGGTGTCTCCAGAATGCCGACAATGAGTTTTCTAATGACAATAACCAAGAATAATAATAGCTAAGAAGAAAATTTTCAAAAAACGAACCACTTAAGACGTTACGCGGTAATGGAAAAATTGTGAAATTTCCTTACCCATCGAAATGATCAAGATAAAAAAATATTATAATCTCGAATTATCGATTTCTCGTCAGCTGCAAGTAATTCGAATGAACTGACATTATCGAGTACTTGAAATACTTGTTGAATGCATCAAATCGACAGATGGATACCGCTTGGTTAAAGCAGCGAAACGTAATAAGGTCAACGGTACCGGGAGACCCAGTGTTTTCCTAGAAAGTTCTTGTAGATCTTTTTCATATTCTCTAGATACACCAACACAAAGACGTCGCGACGTCCAGTTAATTGTGAGCATACAATTTTTTGAAAAATAACGCTCCTCGGTCACCATTAAAATGTTATACAAATTTTTGTTTAAACTTCCACCTTTTCTACGTAATCATTAAACGACGTTAAGTTTCCATAGTAATTCCTATTTAATGCGAGTTCCTATTCTTGAACTGACCGACAATGAAAGTAGCGTTTGCGGCGTCATGTATTTTTTGCAGTAATCTCATCACTGACCCGATTCTCGGATCCAGTAGGCCAACATGAGAAAACTTCATACAGAGAAAGACTCTTCTCGTATATCGTTAAGACTAGTGCGGGTACTTATAGGTAGCTTATAGTATCTCCACAGGTATAAAGTAGTAGCAGCGACGAAGAGGAAGTACCATAAAATCAAAATTACAACTATAGTCACATACGTTTCTGTATGGATGGAGGAATTTCTTTTTGTACCAATGGTCGGCACCGGCACTTTCTTAAGGAAGAGAGAAAATAGTGGAATATACGATTTGCAAAGAAAAGGGATCGACTGGGAACCAACAACGAGTATCTTAGTGCTCGAGATGATTTCTGGGCCGAGAAAGCGCTAAAATCGACCGAGATCCAGTACGGCCATTCCGGCGCGATTAGTCCGCGACTGTTTCACTGTAAAACCGTCTCAAATTGGCCAGTCACGTTGACTTTTTGTCATTCCACAGTTGTCGACCCTTACTCGTCCGGACTAACGATCGGTGCCAGCGCCTGTCAACGAATTATACAAAATTAAGAACAATGTGACGTCGATTGATAATCTTTGTCAAAATTCAGATTAACTGTATATACACGCACCATGATAATTGCGAGAATAATTAAATGGTGAAAGTAGGTTTTTAGTTAGGGAAAATATTTTACACTAGACAAAATCTGCGTCTGAGCCATTAAAAGTGACAAAGATAAAAAAATAAAATAAAACTAATTACGTGTCTTCCCTCCCCTATAAAGTGCTAAGCAGATATATTAACGAACTACAAAGTGTGAGATTGTCTCGAGGAGAGAAGCAATTAGGGCGTGACGAAGTTGCTTATTGTAGCAACTCTGGTGTCGCTGAGTTGAATCATATAAAATGATGGTATTCGAAAAGAGGATAAACTGGCTGTTGGTTATTTTTGTTAGAAAATTTTGAAAAATTTTCTTTACAAATTTTATCCATAATCTCGGCAGGCATGATCGGCCATTTACTTATCTTGGACGTATGCCTCGCTGAATCATTGTCCTTTTTGGGCCTCGTAAGTCTGTATTACAGAAGCAACATGCTGCGAACACGAGGGGACAGAGTAACCGAGAAAAGATGTAGAAAACGGGTAAATGAGAAATAAAGGAGATGCAAGGAAGGAGGAGAAGAGGGTACGTTCTCTTGGTGGTGGTCGACCGAGTGCAAGGTAAAATGGACCACTTCACGAAGTGGGGATCTGGATTAAAAGCAAACGAGGGCATCGAGTAAGGCCCAGAACTATCTCGGACCTTGAAGAGTTAAGGTCATTACTGCAGTAACGGGTTCTAACGCTTTTGTTTATGTAACTGGAATCGGAATCGCGCCGGCGCCATTGACGACGGTTAGTGACTGTGAATGTTGGGTGATAACTCAAAACCTATGAGATCTTACAATGCTCGATCATTGCTTTGAGTGTAAATCATATATTTTTTTTAATTAAAAATATATATTTTATTTTATACTATATTTTTGTGAGCAAACAGTGTATCGATATTAGATTTTTTTTTATTTTTTTTTTTTTGAAATTTTCCCTAAAAATTCATTTCATGTGACTGTGATCGAGTGAAGGAGGATTAAAGTTAGGAAGTGTTTGCAATGTGTAGATTCTATTATTTTAATTGTTAATTTATGATCTATAATACACATTACAGATGATCGTACCTGGAGGAATTGTATGGTTTATGATCGGTTTGCTATTGGATGGATCATTTGCCAATACAAGGTATCTCATCAAGATCAATTCCAATGCCTCGGATCTATTTAAGACGAAGCACGATAATCTCAGGATCGTTCAAGATCCAATTGCCATTACGAAAAGTCCTTTAGACCAGTCAAATACGGATTTTGAAAAAGATCAATCGCAACAGATTGATAGCGGGAAATTTGAAAGAAGACATTCTTTCGTTGAGTCATCAACTTTCAATCCTGATGTTCTCAATAAATTTCTTGAAGAGTATGCCACCAAGATCAAAAGTACTACTGACAAAAATTATAAGTATCCCTTTACTGTTGTCAAAGAACCAATTGATTCTGTGACTATGGAGACTCATGATTCAACCTCGGAATTGATAACTACTATTGATCACGAATCAAATAATTCGACCGAAAGTGGATCGAATTTAACACTGAATGAAGATCAGGTAACTGATAGTTTTATAGAGAATTATTATTATTACACTTGATTCGAATGCAATTCATATTGATTTTTTTTTTTCATTCAGCTGACTGGAGACTTGAATGATACTTGGAAGAGAAACAAGTACTGGTTAAATGATCATCATGATGATAGGAATGGTTGGGTCACACTGGACGCCATTCCTTGGTCGAAAAGTAAAATATCAAAATGGCAAGCTAATTTAAGTACGCAGAGACCATGGCCCGAGATGAAACCATGGGAGAAACCAAATGGTGGGAAACCATATGCCTCGGATTTTCCATCTAGACCTACATACGAGATCGAAAAACCATGGTAATTTTTGATTATAATAATAGCAGTGTTTTTAAGTGTGTAATTTTTATAAATTTTTATTTTTTTTTTCAGGTACGAAAAACCCAAACCACACTGGTCGGAAAACGCGGCCAATGATAAACCATGGTACAAACCGGAAAGACCGACAACACGGCCGTCATACTTTGACGATAATAAATTCAACGTTAATCCTAGTCAAGCACAAAAATGGCCACCAGAAATGCCATCCGATTCCTATAAACCGAGCACTGACATAATAACTGATGATAGACCATCGAACTTCCCAAATAGCTGGGACAGACCTCAGATATCGAAACCAGGCTACGCCTACGACAGATATTCCGAAATTAATCAAGGTGACGACAGGAATGATTGGAAAATCCATGATTACAATTTCCCATCAAAACAGGCCGAATTGAATGGACGACCACCTTATTATCCAGAATCAAATGGTTTCGATAGACCAAATTTTTCTCAATATAAATACACGACCGAACATCCGCCATCTCATCCATCCAGTGGTGACGGCCAATGGATTCTGTTATCAACCAATCGTGGATATTCGAAATCACGACAAAGATCAATCAAGATTGAAGCATTGAATGGAGAAGGAGTAAAGATCATAGAGCCTAGTAAAAAATTGACAAAGGCCGATGCTCCCGATCCAGCCATTCCCGTTATGACGTCAAAACGTCAAGTCAGATTGACTGTCTTGCCATCTATCAATGGTACCAACACTACCACTTCCCATGGTGGATTGCTCGAGGTTGAGAAAACTTTCAAGACCGTTGATCAAAGTCAGAAAGAATATGAGAAGCAAAAAGATCAGACTTCTTTTATTACCCGAAAACCAGTAAGAAACAACTTGGTGAGACAACCGTCAAATTCGGCAGTTCTGGCAGCAGTTGGAGCTGGCATGTTACCGGCTACAATGGCCATGGTGATACCCATGATGTTGGGTCGCAAGAGAAGATCCTTAGGAAGACTTTTTACTGAGAACAGCATACAAAATTCTTATAACCTTGATAATGTCGCCTTCAAGGTGAACAACCAAAGAACGAAATTACTCAGAATGTAAACGAGATAGATTGGGTTTAGGAAGTGACAAAACTGGTTTTCAAAATTCTGGAAATCAGTCAGATCTTTCATGATCGTGGAAACGCCTTGATCAATGAAAATACTCATTGTTCAGTATGATTGTCGTATGTTTTTGTACTTTGCTTCCACTTTTATTCATCTAATTTTCATCGTTTTAATTTTATTTATTTATAAGTTTGATGTTATTTATTTTATTATCGATTCGTCCTTCTTCGTGTAGTTTAAGTAGACTGACAACGTAGTATTAGCCATGTATCGCGTGGCCTTGAACTCTTGCGATCTCTTCCTCATTGAAAATAATAAAAAGGTATGCATGAAATTATAAGTGAGGTAATATTATATGCGTGTATTTTCGCTTGTCCAAGAATCCTTATAATTTATTTACATTAAAGAATATCGCATTATATTATATGTACTTATATTTATATACTTTACAATAAATTATTATGTTTTTTTTTTCGCTAGTCGAATATTTTTTTAGACTCAACCAAAATATAGAAAATGTAACAGTATCTGAATTACTATAGCATTTTCTATATTTGATATTTTTATTTAATACTACCTTAATACTAAAATCATACTGTATATTAATAGCCAATACGAAGTCATTGCAATATGCTCAGTAGCAAAAATAAAAGTGACGTGAATACCTAAGAGAGCAATATCATAAAAATTTTTCAAATTCTAATGGAAACGGGACGTAATGTAGCGTTCCAAGATTTTGAAAAATGATGGACCACAGAATGCACTTGACCATCATTCAAATTAATCGTGAATGTTCAAGTGCATTCGCAATAGTTATCGAGTTCAATTTTTCAGTTCTTCAGATCTAAAACTGAAGCATATACCATTCGAAGAGAGGCATTATTATGAATTTTACCTATTTACTCCTCTCCGTTAATCCTTTTCTGAACATGACCCAAGTATCTAGCAAAACCCTCACTAGCATGTTTCAGTATTGTTAAACCAAGTCGAAATTTGATCTCAGCGATCCTCTTCACAAAGCCGAAGACAGTGTAGCCCTCTTCATGTTCGTTTTCACTTTTTTCCGTTGTAATATCATCCGATGGTTCCACAGTTGTATCTTCATTATCCTTCACGTCTTCTTCATCCTCTTCACTGTCTTCAGTAAATTTATACGTTGTACTTTCATACTTGCTTGTTGACGAAGCCTGTGTGCTCTCTTCTCTCGAAGCCTCCATACTGGTAGTGTCGGCCCTCTTTTCTGCTGGCGTTGAAGTTGTCGCTTCATCTTGCAACTTCGACGCAGCTTCAATCTTCTCGGTGTGATCATGTTTCTCGTGACTCTTCAACTTCTCATCATGTTTCTTCTTCTCAGCTTTTACGTGCTCATTGATCTTGTGAAGCACTTCTTTGTCCTTGTGCTTCTTCTCGGCTTCACTTCCTGGTATAACAGAGTCTAATATATCAAGAATTTCATTACTCAAATTCTCCTCGTTCTCCATTTCCTTCTCTTCCATTTCCATTTCGCTCTTTGACGGAATAATCTGAATAACGGATTCCCTTGTTTTTCTCGATAGCTTCATATTTTGAAGATCTGCAGATCTCTTCACTTTCAACGCTCTAGGACCATGTTCTACTGCCACTGCAGTGGGTGATATCTGTATCTCTTCGTATGGACCCTCAACTCTTAATGCTTGGGCTTCGGGTTGCGCAAAATTTTGTGGAAGATTCACAGGGTTTTTTGGGAAATTATAATTTTGAGCAATATTCTGTTCAAATGTCGTTTGAACATTTTCCTTGTCGCGATGATTCGAATTCGTTTGGTCCCCGGCCTTCTTCTCAAATGTTGAGTACTCCTTGGGTACATTACCAACAACAAATTGTGGATTCCCTGTGGCGTCGTTGGTCGCAGCGAACTCTTGCTTCTGTCGGTCGTAGTAGTTTGACGTTGTCGGTACGTCAGGATACTTGAATTCCGTATTACGATACTTGAGGTCATAAGCATTCTCAATGGGTCCATAAGAAGGAGCCACAGAAGTCGGATACCTCTGGTCAGTGTTTTTGGTGGCCTTTGGGTCCACATAAGGCCCATCATAATGCTGATACCGATAATAATTATTCTCATAATCCTTGATACCTCCGAACTTCGAATCATGATTCGTCATACCCTGCAGAACTTTTGAAAATACTTCCTCCTCGTTCTGGCCATAATTTCCGCCATACTCGTCCAGATTATACTTATAATTAGGCTCTACATCGTAATTACGTCGTGTTATGACACCGCCAAATGGATAAAGGAAATATGAGGCTAATCCAAGACCCAAACCTACCAAAGACATTACCCCAAAACTGGGCATGACTTCTCTACTAAGAAAATTATATATTTGTGTACTAATGGGTTTCTGTAATGGCTTTTTTGTTTTCTTTGTCGCATTCGCCAAATTGGTCTCTGGCTCTACCTTAGATTCTTGAATGGAATTCTCAATGACATTCGACTCTGTAGAAATTTCATATGATTCTGCCAACGTCGTCGAAGCAGAGGTAGTGGACGTTGATAAAGTTGTCGAAGTTAAAGGTTTTCGCCTTCTGACCTTATTCTTCTTACGTTTATTAGAACTATGTCTAGGTCTCTTTGTGGTACTTGTAGTTCCAACTTCAGTAGAACTTTCCATATGAACCTTAGTCAATTCTGGATTGAAATCAAACTTCAAATCGATCTGCGAATTATTCAGAACCTCCTGAACTTGTTCGTTAGTCTCCTGTGTCTTTGAAATCTTCTTTGTATCCTTATTGACTTTATCGACCTTTTCAACTTTTTCAATATTCAATACCGGCGTGTTCACCTTTATCGGCTCAATCTCAATCGTGGTTGTTTCATCTACTGGTTTCTTTAGCTGAACCTTAAGCACGTTATTGACCTTAGATCCTTCAGTTTTTATTTTCATCGGTACTTCAACGAGGTCGGATCCGGTAAAGTTGGACGCTGTATGCTGTATCTTGGGAGTAATTGTTGCTGGTGGTATGGTAGTGCTTTTTTGCATTTCAGTGAGAACGGAAGCCTTTATCTTATTAATGAACATCGGTCGTTCAGGTTTAGACGTGGAAATCATTTGAACTGGTCGGAAAGTAACTTTTTCAATTTTAGGACTGGACGTGTTGTCAGTCTTGACAGATGCCGGGTTCTGTGTGGTTGTTCTGCTTGGTTGTTTATTGGGTTTGCTGAAGTTGGGCCTCATGATCTTTGTACTCGATGGTCTCGGAGTGGTACTGCTTCCATAACCAATTGATACTTTTGTTTTAACTGTCGTGCGACTAGGAATATTTACTTTCTTGGTTGTAGTTATTCTTGGTGTCGTGATGCTCTCAATTTTGTCAGTAGGAATTCTACTTCTGGTTGTTGTTGTTGTCGTAATTTGCTTATCCACTTTTTCAGTACTCGGCATTATTCTATCCGGTCTCGGTATTGCTGTTGTTCTTCTTGTACTGGCAGGAACAACTTTGCTTGTTGTTTGTGAATTCTTCTCAGATGTTGTTTGTGCTTGAACTTTTTCTATAGTTGCTGTTGGTTTGGGTTCAATTTTTGAGGATTGCTCTACCTTTTGTATCGTAGCTGTAGACTTTATAATAGGCTGAGGTTGAGATTCGGGTTTTTTCTCAATTTTCTTTTCCACTTCCTGTTCTGTCTTTGGGGTGGTTGATGGAGGGTTTAATAGAATCCAAGTGGAAATTCCACCGGAAGTCGTTGGAACGTTTTTAGTCACTGTTGTTTCCCTTATGCCACTTAATTCCTTTTCTAGTTCCTCTTCGGTAATTGCCATTGCTTGTCCCGGATGGCCACTTTCAAAATATCCGAATTTTGAATTAACTGGTCTGCCAAAGCTCACACCCATAGACTCCAAATTGCTTATTTCAGAATTTATTTCCTTTATTAACGAACTGCTCTCTTCTGGCTTCTCCTTGCTCACAATGTTTTCTGTTTTCTTGACTTTTTCAGACTTTCCAACTGATAAAAGTTTTGAGGGGCCATCGTTAACAGTTTTAGATTCGACATTTGTGTTTGATTCGTCAGGATTTGTTACGTTGAGCAACTGTGTGGCCACGGTCCTCAGCGACTGGTCCATATCTTGAAGATCTTTGAATTCTCTGTTGCCATTGCTTGTCTGACCACTGAAAGTATACATAATAATTTGAAATATAGTCTATCGCTGAGTTAAAAATCACTAGGATTTTTATAGAAAATTCAAAATAGAGTGTAACTATTTTTTCGAGATAATTTCTCATATTTTTGGAACTTCTAAAGAACCTAAAGAGATTTCTTGGCCTATTTAACTATTGTTTTACTATTCCTCGAGGGACAGAAATTGATTAAAAACCGTATTGAAAAAAAAAACAGGCCATTAAGAATACATAAAGACATTTATTATAAAAAATAATATATTAATCATACAAATTTAGTCACTTAGACGCAGTGGTGTAGTTAAGAATGTTAGTTTAAATCCATAGATCCATTTAAACGTATAATACAAAAATATTTAAAAAAATTTTCATTAACACTTCTACCAAAAAGCAGGACTATCAGTAACAATACTTAAATAATTTTTCTTATCAGTTAAACACATGGGATTATAAGGAACAAGGTAAATTATTATACTAATAAATTTTATTTCACAAATAAACATGTCGAACCTACATTCTAGCCTTTGGAGAATCTGCATTGCTGTTGCTGCTGAACCGAATCCAGAACTAAAAAAGTACCTGACGCGCTAGAGTATCTTTTTACCTTATCTCTTCCGCTTCCTTCGCCTACTTTTCCACTCGTTCCAATTCCTATACTTGTGAATCGATTGCTTAACGACCTCCTCAAGATTAGGTCTAAACTTAATAGTAACGTGATCGGAAGCTCGACCAAAATCAAAAACAGATGGAAACGCCCAAGGAAAGAACGCCGCCGCGGCGCCAATAGCCCCAGCCGCCATTACAGCGAACGGCGCCATAGCAAAACTGAACAGTCCATAATTCAACGGATTAAGGAACGTGAAGTATGTGAAAAACGAGGTCATAGTATCAGCCAAACTTAAAGATCCTAAACCAAAATCATCATCGTCATCGTCATCATCGTCATCAGCTAGAGAACCTCCTACTAGGGTACTTCCGCCCTGGGAACCACCTAGACCCCCTGTTAAACCTGATACCTGATTTGGAATTGTAGAAAGAACACTGCCGACATTTGGCAATCCCGGAAGTGATCCTGAAGATGATCCTATGCCTGCAGCATCCGATTGTGCTGCCGATTGACCTGGACCAGTAACAGCTGGTGATACTTGACTTCCTACATCGTTTCCTACAGACCCTGCAACCGGTACCATGCCGTTTCCGGCAGGACTCGTTGGCTCATCCAAAGACTCAGTTTCTGGGCTCACATCCTGGACTGCAGGAACGTCGCTCAAAGGACTTTCATTTTCTATATTAATTTCTGTTCCTTGGAAAACTTCAAACGTCGATATCTGGTCAGGAATACTTTCTGTTTCCTGAATTTCATCATTTTGAACTTTATCGGTTTCGGAATAATCATTTTCAAATTGTGGATATACGGAAGGAACCGATACACTGTAATCGTTAGTATTCCACGTACCAGGATAAACTGAAGAACTTTCATCGATGGAATTGTCATATTTGTCAGTTGGATAATTAGATATGGTACCAGCATTAGAATTTTGAGGTTTATCATTTTTAACGGATGTCAAAGTGCTCGGTTGGTTACCGGATTTTATAATATTTGTATTGAGCACGTGAGAATTAATTACAATATTCAAATCTGTGCAACCCTCTTTGGTCTCTAAGGTATTATTAACCTTTGTATAGGAATTTATCATAATCGTAGGACACCTTACGTTTTCAGTATCGATTACCGACGAATCATTCGTTTCCGGTTTTTCTAGATCCTCATCATTCATGAACATTATATGAACATTTTGTGGATTTGCCGAATTCTGTACGTCACTCGAATTCTTATTATTCTGTGGCACCTTATTTCCAGTTACAGTGACATTAGGCTTTTTGGATCCAGTGTTCAAAATATGAATAACCGTGTTTTGTGTTACTTGAGAAGATGTATTTAAAGTTGGTTTACCTAATAATACTGGATTGTTGGCAGTGCTACCAACCATATCTTGTAAAATTGGGATAAAGTGTGAACCATTTCCTATGTACGAATCCTGATAATTTTGGATACCGTAGGAATTATGATTTTCTGATAAACCTTCATCATCATCTTCATCCTCAAAGTAAGAGGTAGGACTATGATAATCTATATGATGATCTGGTTTTTGAGAATCACCATAAATCTGGTTGACAGGCACTTGCTCGACAGGCTTAGAAGAGATACTTGATACCGGGGATTCGAAAACCGATTCGTACTGGCTCACTACAGGTCTTTCAGTTTTATCCAGGTCTACATGATTCTGATTGACCGTCAAAGCTGGTATCTGTAACCATTGTACTATATCCTGCTGATCCGGTTCCGGTACTGGTTTAGGTGATGGTTCAGGATCATAAACCGTTATCACACCCGGTATATGTACCGACGAAGGTACTTTGGGCGGTAATGAATTTTGAAAAATTATAATAGGTGGCTTCCTTTTCTCATTCGATTCTGGTCTCTTTTGAATATTATGAAAATCCGATAAGTTCTCTTCGCTTAACGTGGAATACTCAGAATTTGTTACGTCCTCGGGATACGATGTATATTTCTCATAATTAAACAGATCTTCGACATTCTGAAGACTTTGACTCGGCCAGTTCTTCAGTTCAAGCAACGAAACCGGTTTCGAGTTCGATAACAGCTTCACTCGGGTTATGGTACTATTATTATTTTTAGAATCTAGAACAATTTTAGTATGTGGATTGAACAAGGACGAATTTAAATTTAACCTTACACCCTTACCTTCGGATATTGAATTACCAAGTTTCACTTTACTAGAAATATTCATAACATCTTGGAAATCACTCACCTGCCCTGGTTTCGTTATATTATCTTTTAACAAAGAATCCTTCAAATCATTAGTCTGATTTCGAGAAACGATAACTTTAACTTTTTTCACAACATCATTTATCATATTCTTCACGTTCCTGGGTAATCCGGAAAAAATATTTTCCTTTTGAATACTGTTCAAAGAATCCTTGGGACTTTTGTACCTGTTATCAGCAGTTACCCTCGCATCGAAGCCATGGCTGATGCTAGCTTTATTATTATCATAATAATAATTATCATAATTTTGGCTTTTTCCCAAAATCCTCATATACCTGTTATTCCCCCTGACGGTTTGACTCGCTGAAATATTTTTTTCTTCCAATGGCAACCGCTCTTCCCCTTTCTCTTGTGCTCTTGATTCCTGTGATCCTGTTGCTACTGCAAAGGATACAAAGTAGCATTAACGATCGGCTACGTTTTTATGTTTTCGCATTTCTAAACAAAGTGTAGTCATTATATAATAGATTTATTGTAACTATTAACGTAAGTGAACCCATGCATGAACTAAATTATCGGTTAACGGTATTATACATAGGTTTCGTAATTACATGACTAATTATGCATGTCGATTCTTCCTAGTTAACAGCAAAACTCGGGATTTATTATACGTTAAAAATTATAATTTATCTTTCTGACGGGACTCACCGTCTTTCTGTGGTCTAGCATCGCAGTATCCTGACAGAAACAGGATCACTAGGATACCTAGAGGTTTTAGCCGCATTTTTTCACTGAAACAAAATAAAACAGAAAAATCATTATTTAATCCAGAAACATATCACTGATATTTGATTTCTTATATTCATCTGAGAAATAAGACTAAGAACTCTTTTCGGTTCAAAATTGACAAAGAATATATTCATGATTCGAATGGCTGATACGAACGAATGGCAATGACCATCTTATTACAGACATAATGGCTTCCTTTCCTCGAGAACATGACAAATAAAAACGCAAAAATGACGAAAGTCGTCCCAATTTCTAAAAGCCTTGCACACAAAAAATTCACTCCTACAATACCCTGTGGAAACAGACGCGATAACCTCGGTTAAGTGATTCCAAAGTCTATCCAAAAACCAACAAATGACGCAATTTCTCGCTTAACTCTCGCATGATGCGAATTCTTTATTGTCTCTTTACGCACCAAGGTCTCTATTGAGCCCTCTTTTGTATTCCGACTCAGCGTCGCTATCGTTTGACGTTCGATGCTCGCGGAATGCGAATAGAAAAATTAAAAAAAATCAGTAGGAACACACGATACCATACATTGTCAAAAATATCAATAGAAAAAATTTTTTTTTTTTAAATTTACAAGAAAAATAATCGTACTACAAATCACGACTGTCCCACCATTATTCTTCGTAAAAAAATTACTAACAATTTTTGAAAAATCATAATTTTTTATAAATGCTATAATGATCAATATCATTCTTATAAAACATTCCAACACCTTAAATCATCAGACCGCCTTTTTACCGTTGCATTTTTTCTTATTCCTTTACATTCGTGTCCACTAACGGTACTAAGCGGTTTAAGTCGACATGTTGTTTTGCATGTGTCACGCATCTTCTGGATATCACATATGTACATAGGTGAATATCCAGATACGCTAAGCAAGCGTTCGGAATGTACCTAGCTGTAAAGGACAAGCAGTACCGTATTTCTATCTGCAGGATAACAAGATCCTTTTCCAGGACGTTGATCGCGTGTAATATTAAATTCGTGTTTATAATTAAGCTCTAGGTAAATGATTGCGAGATTTAAAATACTAAGAAAACGCATGAACTCGATGCCTAGTCTGTGACTAATTATGGCCATCAATATGGCGTTTACGGTTTTGTGCGTATGTAATAAAAAAAGGAAGTGTGAAAGAACCAGACGTTTCCAGAAGACTGATCATGCGTATTAAAAACAACTGATATTATACTGGATAATAATTGTTTTACATTGCTGTTCCTTCGGATAAATTAATAATCCGTATACAGTAAACATTCGAATATGATAATTATACATCTAGGTTAATTATACTAAATAATTAGGCAGGATATCGTTCCGGGTTAGATTTCGAGTCATCTACGTGACGTGAGTATGAAAATTTAGATTGACGTATGCAAAGACATAAAAGCTCATAATTAAACACTTCGTGAATTACAATAAGACCTTTCTGTGTTGTAGGAAAATTTTTGATACCCTGACGAGTAGAAAATTCACACAAAAAATAGTCTACGTAATATTACAATCCTGCATGACTCACCTATTGTTTATCCACGAGAATCAACCAGCATTTATACACTTAGTACACTAATTAAAACGCGTTGATCACGCTTCTTTGAAATTTCGAAATCACGAGAGTGTAGACTTACGAAGACTTCGAAAGGGAAAACGATATTTTTCGTAAGAAAATGCCTCTGTCAAAACAAAAAACGCGCACTGTACCCTAACCCTAAATAAGTTTAAAACGTCAACCTATACAAAAATCTATAGACACTTATTACAACTCAAGCAAAAAATTATATTAGAGAACAACTTTTAACACTTGTAAAGAAGAAACTTATCGAAACACGTCGCGAAGCAAGTGCCCAGGAAAGACTTCGAGCAAAGAAGAGGATGATCTTCCGACTGCACGGCTCACTGAATGCTTATGGTACCTTTGTACGTTCCTCCACGAGGTCCGAGTCCAAACCGTTACTCCGAGTAGCTCCATTCTCGAGTTGAATAACCTTTACTATGTACGTATGCTAAGTGCCGGCCACCTTTACCTTGTCCCGTGGAGGAGGTAGAAGTGGGTGAGTTGTAAGGACGAAAAAAACAAACGAGTCCCTGAACCAGTCTTTGGTATGTTGTCGTAGGCAAGTTCTTACTGATTGAACGGTGGCTGAATGACCGACGATTCTAGAAAAAAAAAAAAGCATAAGATCCTGGATAATCAGACGATTAAAATAAAGGATAAAAATAACTAGTATATAATAATGATTTGTTCTTAGAGGAAATTGTAGCAGTGATCGAGAATTTTCCATAATAGATTTTATATGGCGTTTCTAATGCGGTAAATAAAAAAGCTACGCACTGCACTAGAAATCTACTTATAGCTGTTGTTTCTACCGGGTTCTTAACAATGCATAACTTTCGGCGGAGTGCAGTGCCGAAAAAAAGACATTTGTAACGACACGAGGTTATCCCGTTTAACGACCGAATCTAGTGTTTCAGAATTCTGTGCGCGTTATGTGGGACATAGCGGAACTTCTTATTGCCACCTTTATAGGTAACTACAGGTTATGTCCTGTTCCATCGTTCGTTGCGCATTAGCCATATCCTGATTTAGGTCCAACGTAAGCTTGAAGGATGTTATAATAAATAAGGTAAGAGTACAAGATAGAAAGTAATAAAATGATTGAGAGAAATAATAAATACGGAAATGTTCTATTTAATCGTAACGATGCAACCAACTCTAACCTGTTTTTTGAAACGACTGACACATCACGCTGACAGTGCTTAGACAAATTTTACTTCTTCTAAAAACCCTATTCCTCGTCAATATTATGTCTGTAAGTGGTGTGCAAGTTGTTTATTAGTTTCTGAAGAGAACTGTATCCGGTTGATCACGAAAGAGGCGGAACTGTTGACTGGTCTGATAATATCGCCGGTGAGACAATGGCAGACGTAAGAAGAATTAGATTTGTGTTTTGGAGGTTAACGGTCTGCGAGTAACCTAGCTAGGAAATATTCCCGTTGAGACAACGCAACTAACAACTGCTGACCTGCTTAATAATTATGGCAGTGTTCAACACAACTACTTGGTAACTATAGGCCTGTTGGATAATCAATGCTTATGAATAAGTTAGTAGAGATTTGCACGGTTTGCAAGCAGCTGCAACGGATTTCCATATTATATTACTTAGTTGCATACGGACAATATTTCCGTTATGCATTATTTAAGTAGAAAGGGAAGCGTTTTGCCGAGTTGACAGTGACACCATACTGATGCCAATTACCTGACGGCGACTTGAATGAAAACGAGTGGCACCTATTTACTCACGAGAAAGGTGAGAACTTCTTTTACCGCCATTAACACCAGGGAAATGCAGTCTTTGTAAACAAATGATTTACAAGAGCACGTGCGTGATCGTTGAATTTTTGTAATTTTTAATAATCTTACCCCCTTCATTTATAACGGGATGCTAGGACACAAAAAATTTTCGTTCTCCAACCTTCACTCCTGGTTCCTAGAAAAAGAATGCGGTTTAGTACTTTTTCTTTGGGTTGAATTTATTCGCGTTTTTACATGATATTCGGGATACGTTTCGGTAATAAGCATGAAGATTTTCTTGTACCTCGTGTTTTACGTACTATTCAATATTAGGGATATTCTTTCTCTTCATGTTCCAGGTCAATTGTCTTCTCGCTTATTGAAATTCTTGTTCGATCCTCGTGTACAAAGCCGTGTACCGATACTGGAATTAGTATACCGGAATTTTTCTGATAGTTACAGTTGGTAACCGGTTAACGAAATTCCCTTTCCTCCTCGTTAGTAATGAACTATGGAGAAAGTCGTATGTTTAATCAACGTCAGATTAATTCCTTTTTTTAAATTCTCTTAATTCCTTCGGATTCACGTGGAAAACCTTTTTTTTACACTTCATAGAAACGTGTCGTAAAATAAGTGGCTATTCTTCCGATGGTCGTTGATCGTTGCGGTTTATAAAATTATAGTGCTTTTATACGCACCGTTACATTCACGCGAATAAGATTTCACGATTCGTCAAATACTCCCAGGGGAGTTCTTTTCTTCCGGTCTCGTTACAAGAGATCCCCGCAGCTTTAAACAGAAGTGAATGGCGTATAAATGCGATATGCCTTATGGTCAATTACGCGCTTCGATTTTGAAGCGGCTCGAAATGTCTTGACGTTACGTTTTGTTGCCGTCGGCAAATTTGCGATGAATTTTTTTAAAAATATCCTCAAGACAAAGAGAATCGGACAAACAACTAAATCACAAGACGATTATTGTATTTCTTGTGGCGATCGTCAAGTGCAGAATTAAATAAAGTTTGTCTTCCTCGAAGAGGGGAGGCTTTCCCTAATTTGTAACTTGCCACACTTATTTCTTCTTTTGTTTTCTTAGCACAAGTAGCCCTCTTTTGTATCCATGTAATTGAAGACTCGCGTGCTGCACCTTTTGAGAATCCCAAAAAAATTGACCGTTACCTTCGCGTGGTTCGTAAACTTTGAAAATTACTTTTTAATCTCAGATACCGAACGACTCTTCCCCGTCTCTTGCGTGGGTCTGTTTTTCGAGTGGTAATTTTCAAATTGCGTATAAATTTGATCCCCGTGCTATGTGGACTTCTATTCAGCTGTTCTTCAAAGGACCAACTGTTAGGATCCTCTGTCTGACAATGAGTCTTAGCAGATGTTGGAATTGAACTGAAGCTGGATGCTCAGGACGCCCCCAATGTAGCTCGCTTTCCCATGCCTTACCATCAAACATTTAATAGTGGGGGTTTAATTCCTTCTTTCGTATTTGAGTCCCGGTATCACAGACTCTACCACAGCCATCCGGGAATCCACTTTTCCCACGCACCGAGACACTTCATTATGGAATTGCGACTAGGCTTCCAAGTGAAAAGTCATGTTTTTTTTTTTCAAAACGATCATTTCGTCCAAGAGGGATGAAATCCAGAGACCCCTGTGGCGTTCATTAAATATTAATGAAAATAACGTTGACAAGTAACAATAATTAATCTTGGTTCTGATATAGATTCCATCAAAATAATATTCAATTATCGTTTATTTAATTACTGCAGATACAAAGTCAAAACAAATTTGAGTGCTGTCACCAAAAATTCTACGTTAAGCATTAAATGTTTCTTCGCGTGCGACTCAGGATAACTGAAGTAACCTCGCTCCATTTTAGGAAAAACTTATGTACTGGCGCATAAATAAATGTACATATACTATATATATATACGTGAATACACAGGAGATAATTAGAAAGAACAATTATGATTACGGTACATTTGCACGTGCGTACTGAATCTTCGCATAAGACGTACAACTGTGCACAGAGTGACGCCAGTTAAATAAGTGCCTAACTGTGTTTTTCTTTAATTCATGCAGATAAAAAGATCTGCCGAATATCCAAGAGAAACAAAGAGGACCACAATACATATATACAAATTTGTTTGTCAGTTAAGTGACGCACCTTGACGTCGCTAAGCATCACGCATTGTGTGACCGTAATTAAATACATGTCAGGAGCTGTTTAAGGAACTCTGACCAATCTCGTAATATAAAACAAAAGAAAAACAATCAAATCCAGCACCATCGAGAATATTCAGTTAAAAGTAAGTAATTGAAAAAATTAAATCACATTTCTTTTTATCTCATATTCATTTTGTTCTCTTATTATCCTTATGCCTTTTTCTGTGCAGATGATTCTGAAGCAAAAACACAGTACGCTGGTAGTTCTTCCAAATTGGTCCAGATAACATCTTAAAATTCTACTGACTAAAGAAACGAAAGGATACATCATGTACATCCTTTCGCGTGCTGAGCAGAACGTCAAGCACCTTCAGAAGTCATTCGAGGCACATTCGATCCCCGGATGATGGTAGAGTTTAAGAAGAAATCAACGTTAACGGGATGAGCTCAGCTGACTTCCGTTCCAGAACTTTACCGAATATTCATTGTCTAGGACTCATTAGGGATTCGTGAAACGACCCCTTTTTCGCTCTACTTTACGTTTTCGCATGGGCCACTATTTCCGCTTACTCTTTGCTGGTAATTGCTTTGCTATGTCGATTCCGGTTAAGGAAAAAACGTATGTTAAACAGTTGCCATGTAAAGGATATGCGTTAAGAGGATCAAACATACATCCAGAAATTGTTAGAACAGTAAATTAAGAGACGACAGGAAGCATTCGGCCCCATTTTACAAATTTTACCTTAATTTTGGCAATTTAAACAATGGATCGTATATCATCAGTGGGAGAATATATGACTACGATTAATATGCCTTAACTTCCTTTATTTACACACAAATATATTATATCACTGTTATCATTATACTTTTCGAGATTTACACAAATAATAACTACAAACTTATCGTCTCTAAAACCAGTTAATAGTCATCGAAGTTCTTTGAAACAACTTTAAGAGAAGGTCATGGTGAACGTAGATGATTTTTCTCAGTTAATTGTAATCATTTCACATATCGTAATAACAAACCAATATGTCATCAATTCAAATCAGTACCTTTTTATGTATATTGTGTGTCTTACTTTAATTAGTATTTTGACATGCCAATCCCATTTATAATACTAAAACTCTTCTCATTATAGAATTGTAATGCGGAAGTCTTTTCTTTTCCGTTATGTCTTAATCAGATTGAGCCTAATTGATTCAAGGTATAAAATAAAAAATGCAACCCTCTTGTCAATCTTTCCCATGGATTTTTTTTATAGCTCAAAGGCCAATAGAAGTTTATGACCCGTTGGGTCTTTTTTTCGCGATAGGTTAACGATAAAAAAAAATTTCTTGTTTTTTGCCAAGTTCAAATGTTACGTCGCAAGACCTCAGCTGGACAGGACGAAAATTATTCAACATAATCGTAATACTAATCATAACCAAATTTGAAGCAAAACAGTCTAGCAAAATAGGCAAATCGTTAATATAAATTTAAAGCCAGGAAAGTCTAATTGTACGAATAGCAAAACAAAATATTAGCGAATTTAAAAAAAGTCTTTTGCTCGGTAACAACGTGTTTTCTTTAGAGTTAAAGACAATGGGAAAACGAAAAACAATAGAAAACGTGCACAAATACGTGAAATTTTTAACAGGTTCGATTATGGCATCCTAGAATTAATCAAAGTTTTAAATTTCGTAGTTCATAGAAAATATTTCATCATTATATACAGAGCGGCCAAGTGATTTGCTCCTGTCGAGAACGATCGGGATGACCGAATGTCATTATAATTTTAAGGACATGTTAATTTTCTATATATACGAACTTAACACAAATGTTGCATTACGCATTGTGTCTCGTGTAGCAATACTGAGCACACAATGAAAATATATGTAGATACATATACAAACAGATATTTCTATAGACGCAGAGTAATCATCTAGAAAATTCCCAAACCCAATCAATAACGTTTAATAATATTCAATACAGTAATTTTGCAAAATGAAAATTATACAACTTTACTTTGATCATACAAAAGAATTAAAAAAATTTATAAAATTCTTTTTAATTTCTTACATTCATTTTAATTATGCGTACACTTTTTGTCCGCCTGCCATAAGAAAATGGCGGTCAGTAAGAAAGGACAGGCCTAAAATTAAAAAAAAATGACGTCGAGAACTAGCAGCTGATCACTCTGTATACGATTTATCCTTTTTTAGTCATGTAAATATTAATTAATAATAGTTTATACAAAGATTTTACGCAAGTGCCTTATTACATTATGCAGTCGCGCTATAAAAAGCAGTCGGACGTTCTAGGACTAGTGATGCATAATCGTATTCTGCTTAACGAATCACTTACACGAAAATCTTTCGAAATGCATAATAAAATTCTATGTATAGTCAATATTATTATAATAATAGTAGTGTCTTTGCATATCCTTAATATATAAATACCAAGTATATGTATACAATGCTTCTCTACGCTATTACCAATGGTTCATCGTCGGAGAATCCACGAATTACAGGGCTGTCCTCCTCATCTGTTAGATAATAAAGTAACAACATCAATTTAAAGTTAAACAAACTTCAATGTCTAAGAAACTAGACGTGTAAAAATGTAAGACGTACCTAGGCCATCAGCAGTTCCTGGGAAAGTAGCCTGTCCCCTCCTGGTATCATAATGACTATTGGCAAATTGCGTAAAGCTATTCGACAACCTTCTATGCCTGATAACGAAGTATCCAAGAACAACACTCAGCGCTACTATCAGTAGGAAAATTGGAATAGCAAAAGAGACGATATTGGATGTGTTCATTGTTACCGGCCACGCGACTGTATTAGACAAAGAAAAAAATCTTACTTAAATGTCACTTTTGACTTAGCAATAATTAGATGCATCATTCACTTCTTCTCCACTTACCCGGTGGACTCTTGATGCTAACAATCTCGCTAAGTCCACTTCGATATCCTTCGCCAGTTACTAACCGTACAGCGAACGAATAAATCACGTCGGTTTTGGCATTTTCATAAATATAAGATGGATGATCACTTTGGAATATTTTAGCAGTCGTTTCGTTGACAGTTCTCGAATCTTCTGATACGAGAATATCATAATGGCGTGAATGTTCAGTAGTGTTTCTAGGTTCTTGCCAGAAGATTATATATTCTTGTTTCTCCCCCTCAAATAATACCTCCAGCTGATGAGGTGCTGGTAACGGAGGAGCTTCATATATCACTGGTTGACTTGGTATAGCATTATCTACATCAGTAGCTATTACTATGCTATATTTGGCACCGTACTGTATGGGGGAGAATGTAGTTTTCATAGCTGTTTCATTGGTAGGAGCTAATGTTACCGTAGTCACATTATTGTACGTCAGTTCGGTGATTGTAATCTAAAAGCAAAAGATAGATGATTATATATGTTATTTTTAAGTTACTGTTACTGCTAGTAACCGGTGTAGGATTTAAAAAAAAATCTTTACCGTGTAACTAATTGGTTCATCCATTGTCGGACAGCTGGAACTCCAAGAGACTATTATCATATCGATCTTTTCTGTCGAATGTGTAACTCGTAGTCTTTTGGGTGGTGCCCGGGTATTGAAATGTGTAACTACTGTTATTGGTTGACTCAAAGGACCAGCACCATATTCACCAACAACACCAACAGCAAACACGTAAGATTCACAAGCTTCCAAATCTCGTATAGCCGTGGTCAGATTAGTTGTAACACTTTTGGCTTCTATATTTAAAAAAAAAAAATGTTGTAGTCTTTCCATACAAAATGGATACTTTGACACTAAATTGTAGTAGGAACTTACCTTTAAAGAGTTCTTGCATGTTGAGTGCATAGTATATGCCGTATTTCCATTTAATTTTAGATTTAGGTGGATTCCAGCTGAGCTTCACGGTAGTACCATGTGCTTTAATTAATTTAGCATCCAGATTCGATACGGATGGTAATGGCGTGTCTTTAGTAGCAGCTTCGACCATCACGAATTTTCCAATGTAATTCTTGCGGAAAGCATTCACCTCGAATTTGTATTTTGTACCGGGAGCTAAGTTCTTTACAACAAATGAATTTGTGAGGGACAATTCAGTTTTCAAGGATGGATAAGGCGTTGGTGCTCTTGCTGTTATATGATATCCATCGACGTCCTTAATTTTCCTCCAGGATAGAGAGACTGTATGGTTAGTAGTTTCAGTAACTACCAAGTCTTGGATATCGTCAATATTCGCAGAACCATCAAACAGTAAATTAGCCACGTTCGAGGAAGCCGACTCATATTCCCTATTCTTAGCGATAACCCAGAATGAGTAATTCGTATCAGCCTCAAATGCAATATCTACAATAAAGGAGGTCTTCTGAAGAGTGTAATGCATTGGTGGTATTGGTGGCGTGATGAAAAGTTCATATCCAGTGATAGGTCCATTTGGATGCAGGGGTGGCCTCCAAGAAACTTCAACTTTAGTTCCATTTCGCTGACTGGCATTCACGTTCCAAGGAGGAGATGGGATACCCTCGCCCGTCATAACATTAAGATATTGGGCTGGCGGGACAACGATATCCTGGCCCTTTAGTTTAACGTAGACAGTGAGATTATAATGAGTGTAAGGTTGAAGATCATTGAACTGATATTCACTGTCATCAATCCAATCAGATGCATTTTTCCATTTAGCATCAGATTCAACGCGTGCGATAGATGGTAGAAATTGGAAGTTAATATTAGTTGGCATAGGCATCCACCAAAAGAAATAGAGACTCGTCGCATTGATGGAGCCTGCATCAACACCCATATGAAGAACCTGGTAAACTCTCGAGTTATTCTTGCTACAGTCTTTCTCATCAAATCCGTCGACGCAGTCCTTTTTACCATCGCAATAGGAAGTCCGGGGGAAGCAGCGTGTACCATCGTCGCATGGGATATAACCTGGAGAACAGGATGGTGTAGTTGGTGGACTTGGGTGATCCTCCTTATGGCATCCTAACTCGTCGCTACGATCAGGACACTCTGCCACGTCGTTGCAGATGTTGCTGAGTGGTACGCAAGAACCATCTGTGCGGCACATGAATTGATCTTCTCGACAACCTCGAGGAAGAACAGAATCACAATGTAGTTCATCTTCGCCATTGGAACAATCCTTGGTACCGTCGCAAATCCAAGCGTCTTCGATGCATTCACTGTTATCGCACATGAATTGATTATCGCGACATACGTTGGGTTGTTCCGTAGTGATAGGTACATCAGTTGGTACATCAAGATTGCCACAGCCGATTTCATCGGAATCGTCTCCACAGTCATCGACACTGTCGCACTTCCACCAATAGGGCACGCACTTTTTATTATTGCACATGAACATCCAGTCGTTACAAAAATTCATTGGCGTTGTGGGGGGCAGTGGTGTAGGTGAGGATACATGAGTACAGTTCACTTCATCAGATCCATCCAGGCAATCCTTATCCCCATCGCAGTGCCAAGTTCCATAAATACATCGGTGGTGCGTACCATTACTCGAGCCACAAGAGAATTGCCATGGTTCGCACTTAATATTATCACAGTTAACCTCATCACTTCCATCCATACAGTCAGGCTCGCTGTCGCAAACCCAACTTCTGGGAATACAAGTCTGATTCTTACCACAGACGAATTCGTCAGACTTGCAAGTACTAGGATGCACCATTGGGCAGTCTTTCTCATCAGAATTATCATGGCAATCATCTTCTCCGTCGCATCTCCATCTATGTGATATGCACCGCTGATTCTTGCACATGAACTGCGACTCGGTGCAATTCATATAGGTGCACTTTTCCTCGTCCTTGCCGTCTCTGCAGTCTCTATCGAGATCGCAAACCCAGTATCTGGGGATGCACTTGTTACCGTCACACTGGAAGTTGCCAGGGCTGCACGTAGTCTTGTGGCAGTCAGCCTCGTCGGAATTATCACCACAATCATTCTCGCCATCACATCGCCATAGTTCCGCAATGCAAATACCGTTTGAGCATGAGAATTGATTGGCAGCACACGTGTGTGCCATCTGGGGACACGTCGAGTTCGCATAGGGCTTAATGCCACCGGGGCAAGTGCATTTGTTATCAGGACCCATTTCCATACCGTCCGGGCAAAGACAGACGTAGTTATTGTTCGGAGCGCCAAGACAAATATGAGAGCAGCTATTATTACTTGCACACTTATTCGTACCGGTCTGCACACTGTGGGCGAAGACTTTCAGATCCATCAATCCAGGGAGTACTCCAATAATGCTGGTAATGCTGACACCGTGATCCTTATCAGCTACGAATATCATAGATTGTTTCCAGTCATCCCAGTACATATTGTCCTTGAATACAGCTACAGCAAACGGATGGGAAACCCTATCATCGCCCATAATAACTTTCTTAAACCGTTTTCCTTCAAAATCCGATGAGCCAATGTAATCTTCCCTCGCATCTACCCAGTAGATCCGTTCAGCTATATGATCAATAGTGATTCCTGTGAACAAAAATGTAAAATAAGAATTTGCTTACAGCTTGTACTTTTGTCTTGATTGCGAAATTTTCTAACTTGTTACTCACCGTTTGGCCATTCCACTGTAGGTTTAGTAAACAATCGTTTGACGTTAGTACCGTCTAAATTGGCACGAGATACTGAAGCATCACCAGGTGCCCAATCTGTCCAGAACATATACCCCAGCATAGGATGAACAGCTATGCCTCTAGGTTTCTTTAGCATTTGTGGTCCTAAGATGGTCCTACGCATTCGTCCCATATTTGACACGTCTGTCTTGATTATTTCAATTTTCATTTTAACGCCATCCACAAAGTAGAGAACATTTGAGACCCAATCCAAAGCCATTCCTTCGATAGAACTCAGATCAGTCTCCACTAGAATTTCAGGATGACTCTTTCCATCTTTAAGACACTGTCTTCCAATGGTGTCATTAACGATATCAGCCCAGTACAGGCAATTGTTCCTCATGTCAAATTCGATAGCAATAACATTTTTTAAGCCATGAACAGCAAAAGGTTCTAATTTCTTTTGTTTCAGATCGATACGTGAAATATGTTCTCGTTGAGCAACCAATAAGAATTCTGGAATTTCCTCCATTGGGCATGGAATCTAAAATAAATTGTATTAATGACATTTATTGCAATTATAAAATGAATATTCAGAAATATATTTCACTATAGAGAGTCGTACCTCGTCAGGTTCAAAATTCTTTTCCAATCCGCCAAAACATTCGTCATCGGGTATTTTGAAGTATCCTTTAGTGCGATTGTAAAATTGGCCAGGTTTGCAAGTACTTGGTACTGCATAAGGATCATAGTGCGTCATGCTCTTATTGCGAATACAGTGATAAGGATTGCCAGTTCGCACAAAACCAGTATCACACTGATAATCATTAGCATCGCACAGACAGGGATTCAGTATAATAGGTCGATCATAATTCGCATTTATGTAACAATTAACGCGTGCTGCTCTTCTCTGATAAACCTCTTTACGACCTAACACACATGGCATGGTGTATTCACCGCTACTCTCGCTGCTAGATGGCGACCAGAACTTAAAGTCATCCGCCTGACAGTCTCTTTCGAATACATTTTTCAAATCTACTTTAACTATTAGCCACTGATGATATCCATTAGTCGATCCAAACATAGTGAAGACAGTTGTATTCTCCCCAGGCTCTGTCATGAGACCATATACACGTAGAACTTCAGAACTGAATGGAGAAGTCTGCCAGGTGTCACCCTCGTCAGTAGAATAATAAATAAAATTAGTTTCATCACGTGATTTAAAATATTTGACGGCTACCAAAACACCACCGTGATCACCCAAATTAAAGAAATAATAATCCCGCATCACTTGCTTCCAAGTAAGACCAGCATCTCTGGAGACGTACAATGCAGGATGACCTTTGAGACTTGTTCCTATCACTCCAGTTGCCATTATAATACCAGGTGCCGATTTGGAACTCATTATCGATACCGATCTCGTTGCCGGGTACAACTGACTGAACTTTTGACTTAAGTGCAATGAGCAATTCCCAGTGCAAGGTATGTAAAAGCCTTCGAGGTTTGCCGTAGGTGCTTTAATAGGGTTCCATGTGACTCCATGATCAAATGTTATCAAAGATATTAGATTTTCTGGACCAATTAATTCCACTTTTGGTATTTCCTTTACTTGCGATGCAATATATATCCCACGTAAGCCTTCTACCTTATAGAAATCAGTGAAAGCTTCGTCTGCGACCTCGCTAAAAATTTAAATACATATAACTATATTACTATTTTATCTCTCTAGTGTGATAATAACATTGTTGAAGTAAAAACTGTCTTACCTTAGCCAACTATCTTTCCATGTATTATTAGGGAAAAACGTGAGTATTCTTTCCAGGGACAATGTGAACGTCGCTGTCTTGTCGTCGATTGTTTCGGATACATAGAGATTGACGATAGTCTCACTATGCGAAACAGCAATGAAAACCCGATTGTGAGACACGTCAGCAATGTGATAGTCTCGACGATTCAATTCAGAATTAAACTCGGCCTTCACAAACGACTGATTCTTGTACGATATGTAGAGATCCAAGTTGTTCTATGAAAAGCAAATAATAATATTATTGAATAGGAAAACCCATTCATGTAATTATTAATGGTAGAGCAATAAACTACATGCAATATAACTTATCCTAACAAACAAATTTCATCTTACACCAGTAGTTTTTATCGTTGCAAACATATAATCTCCCTTAATCTGAAAGTCTTCGACATGGCCGATAATAAAGTTATAGCTTGTAACATGTTGAGATATTTCCACAGCTAATACAGTATTAACACCAGTTGGCTCGATACGTTCAATCAGTAGCTTTCTCGGCATCGTCGACGTCCAGAAGAAGGCTTTCACGAATTGCTGGAAAATACTCCAGGTCTTTCCCATATCCATCGTTAGCCATAACTATGAACAAAATATATTCACTTTAATATATGAGGTATCGCCTAACAATCATGATTAAAATAATGTATAACCTACCTTCCGCGTTCGATTGACTTTATCCAGTATCAAAAAGATGTTAGGATTCTCTTCGTGAAATGAAATTTCACTAGGTTGAAAGGGTAACTTGACTCGAGTGATATTTTTGCCATTATCAGTTGTGATGAAGATCAAATTGTTCCCAATATCAGCAAAGACACACTGTACAAAAGTTATTAAATTTTACTAGTAGTTATATACATGTTCTTATAAATTGGATGAAAACAAAGGAAGCCAGTGATATATGAAGATTTGTAATGTAATGCAGTTACGAAAAAGATATAGGTTTCCCAGAAGCTTACAGGCTTCTGCTTTCTATTTTACCATCTTCTATTTGCTTCCACATACATTCATAGGACAACCAGAAAAATAAGCGTGAGATAAAATACATTCTGGACGATAAGAAATTAATGATGAAGCAGTAACTTTATATGACAAAGAACGCTCGTTCATTCCATAAGAGTTATCAATCAGTAAGATAATAACAAATGAATCATCTGTTTTCCCAGATGAAGATTATCTACTGGTAATGCCAACAGCTTACGCAGCAAACACTCCAAGGATATAAATATCAATGTATAAATTAAAGCTGACTATTACTCTAATAAACATCACCAATTATTGACTAAGAAAATTAAAAAATTCCGTAAGTGAACAAACTAATCAAAATACAACACCCATTTATAATTGTTCAAATAAACTAAACCGTGTTTCTCTATGGCTCGAAGAGAGCCTTTAATTAGCATCATACAGATTGTTCATTACAGTGATATAGTAGTGTTGTCAAAGTACAAACCGATAACAAAATCCCAGAAAAAACTGGTAATAAACATAATGAATCGCAAATGAAAAGAAAAATATCGAAAACAAAAATAATAGAAGCCCAACCGTATAAAACTGACCTAGTCAATCTCATCTAATGAATAACATTCATCATGCAACATTTTCAGATACAGAATCACCCGCCTTAGAGATGAAAGACAACTCACGTGGGTATTGAACTTCGGATGGTTGTAGAATTTATCCAAAGATGCGTATGGTGCATCAGGCTCGTCAGATATTTTGAACAAATCAGTCTTGTTCTCGAAGCTATCGCCATAATCGTAACTGATATAAACAGCACTGGGATTGGTCGTTGTCTGAAACCTCGGTTGCATCCGCGACAACGGCGTTGTGCTGTCTCTTGCCAAGCATATTATAACATTGGAGCCCTCACCCACCCAATGTACCATCAACTGTTGATGAGCATCCTTGAGGGCATTAACCTGCAACACAAAGATATGATTAGTTACTCCATCTGCATAGAAAAAGAATTTTGATTCAACGTATCAAGGGTGAATAACGCATGAATGGCAATGGCAAATGTTGCTTTATAAGATGAACAGCACGAGAACTATGCAGGAACTGTCTAATGTTATACATATATCAATGCAGTTTGAAGCGGTTTTATCAGCGATAGTCGTGGGTATCATCAATTATCTTTTTATCATATACCCTCCTTCAATTCGCTTAATCGCTGTGGTCAAAAAAGATAAGACGTTTCATACCAAGAGACAAACAATTTGTATATTATTATTGCTAAAATAAAGGAGGAAAGTTTGACCAAATGGTTCCAAAAACGTATTAATACTGGGCAAATCTATAAGCTCGTAAAACGAAGAGTCTCCGGATGATAAGATAGACTGGCTTAGTTTGATTTGTCAGGCTCCGACTGATCCGTTGAAGTCTTAAAGTGTATTGCGTCTGTGAAGGATGATGCAGAAAAATTCGATTTACATGGATCAATTACTACGTGTCAATGTGAGATTGGTAGAAAACAAAAAAAAAGCAGCAACAGTAATATAAATATGGGATACCCCGAGATTTTACTTATAAAAATGATTCAGTCTTCTGTTTCCGAGATACTGTGCTAAAATGACTAGTCAGTTTTTGCGATTAGAAGCTGCATGTATGTACAACAAGTTAGTTACCGTATTTCATTTGGCAAATGATGTATGCATGCATACGTATATGTATGTATAGGTCTAGACTTATTCAGCACTAGTGCATCGACAGAAATTAACTCTATTTGATTTTTTTCTCTGCCAACTTCAGTTAATAAATTAGACATGAATAACCCTACCAATTATAAATGTTTGACGTGTGTCCTATGTATTATATATTAATTACACATACACCCATGTATCATTATCTATGCCCACATCCCGTGATGAATTCATGACTAATTTTTACGCGATATTATATATCGTAAATGATTTAATGAGCATGACAATAGCTAACCAGAAAATTTGCTTATATATTCTATTACATTTTTTAATGGAAATTTTTATGTACTTAGGGTGTGAGTCCAGAGCTTCCCATTGTCCGGTAATGAGTTTAATGTAGCTGCTGAATTTGATTGACATTGATCCAATGATAATCACATATGGGAAAATGATAGGAGAATCCAGGGACGTCTCCGTGGAGCAATCAAGATAAATGAGACAAATTGGCAAATGAAAATAGAAAGAGCACAACGTCCAGTGGCCAATTACGTTATTGGGATGGTGAAACTTTTAAACGGCTCTTCATGTGAGAGGTAGTCGTGGATAATCGATGCAGCTTCAGCTGCGATTCTTTTTTGCAACGTGTACATACATATCTCGCAGAGCCGAGTGAACAAATTATGGATGAAGATGTTCGAAGCATCGTCCCTGAGAAAATAATGAATCAATTATAGGTCGTGTGAAGATATTTTACTTGCCATCAAATAAAGAGTGCAAATAATATCACTGATAAAAATTGCCACGTGATCCTGATAACGAGCGACCCACGGGACCGTATCATACTTCTCTTCTCATCAATGTTTTATCAGTATAGATACATTGTTATTGACCAATGATTTCACACGGATAAGACATAAAAAAACTGTCTCCGAAATAAGGAATTATTTATACGTCAACATGAATTTTGATAATTACGTCGCAGTCGTAGAAGTCAATATCGTAGACTTGAACAATAAATTTTACCGACCTACTTTTTAACCCTTAATTTCTAGAACATTCGATGACACTTTTTCTAAAGAATGCGGGCATGTAAATGTTTTCGTACATGAAATACAGTAAATTGCGTTATATTTGGTAAATTGCCAGGCACTAATGCCAAATTAAAAAAAATGAAAAATAAAAAAGAGAAAACATTGCCTTGACGCAAATAAAACCAGCGGATGACAGTAATGTATTCGTTGAAATGAGAATAACGCAAGTTCTGGCACAATTTAACCTATTAAACATTCCACACCCGGAAACCAGTGTTAAAGCTAGAACCCATCAAGGGATCGGTACCCTGGAAGTGGAATATTCTGTGAAATATATACGAGGAAACCAAATACGAAACAGTTATAGACCTTTGCATGTCAATAACACAGAGGAACGTGACACATAATTGTTTTCCTTTCTGAACTAACTAATCTACAGTTGGAAGACGCTGTTAGCTCTTTAGATATCTAATCTACTGCACAGCCTTATATTACGCATGTTTATATACATATACCTGAATTTACGCAGTCCAATGTACATATTATTAAGAATCAAGTAAATTTTTTTTACAAGTGGATACACCGCTCGTAGAGAATATTAAGACGTCAACGGACTAACGCGAGTCTTAAGTTTCAATATCAATATTTTTGTTTGCAATAATTGTGGCTGTTATCAGTATAAAAAATGAATCTTTTACGAAACCTAAATACCAATTTTTATTAAAATATATGGGAAGTCGTTGCACTGACCTTGGTAGTAATGTTTGGTGTAGTCTTCGTTGTAGGAGCATCCCTTCGAGTACGTTCAAATGACGTCTCCTCGTCATCGAAAGTTTGCGGCCTGTTGATAATTATAGGCGTCCGACGATTGGAAGTAGCGTCTTCCGAAGAAATATGAAGATTATTTGCTCTGTCACCGAACCTCTCACCATAATTATAATTAATTAGGAGAAACAGATGTAAAATCAAGGTAAAGTGGTAAAAGACCGATGTCACCCGGGCGGCCATCTTGTCTAGACTGACTTTTTTTAATGATCAACATAAATGGCTGAGGGAAACAAGATGCACAACTTCACTGGGAAATATATTCTTCTCTTAGTAACTGATGCGCTTGCGCTATGTACCGTGTACTGGGTATTAGTTCGTCTTCGAATGTAGAGTGCGCTGCGTTCGTTCTATGATTCTCATTGGCTGTTGATTATCTAGTTCATTGAGAAGATTAATTTTAACCAATCCTAAACCATCTTTTTGTCTCTCTTAACATAACTGTGAACTCGAATTATGATTAATTACATGGTCAACCATATCGCAGTGCTAATTTATTACTAGATTGAATATCTTGCTTAATTTTTAAACAATATAGTTGGTGCGTAGATTTTGGCGCAAACCAAGAACTCAAATTTTAAGAACTATTGATTACAAATAAAAAGTTGCTCCGAAAATCCCTTCTAGAAAATGCATTCTTGTTATGTAATATTATGATGAAGTAAGACTGCATGTTACGAATAATATAATTTCCAAATACATGATGGTACTTTGAAAAATTATAAATGTACTTGGTAGTGATCTATTTGAAATTGATGGTTATATTTTATAATATTAACGTCGAAAAAATTTTGGCACATATGAATATTTATACTTTTATGCCAGAAGAGCCTTTATTGTCATGAATAATTTTACGTTATCTTATCAAGTTATCAGTCACTTCATTTCTTAGATGCATACGAGATAAAATGTGAAAGTAATGAGACATAATATTAATCAGCAATGACAAACTAGTAAATAAGAATCGTAGTAAAAGTGAAGCTTCGATAGAGGCAATGAATAAACGTTTTTAATGAAGACCCCCAGACGTAATAATAAAAGTATATTAGATAATGGGTTTCATTTCCTGATGGCTCCGGCAGCCCCTACTCTCTGTCACCAGACCCATTTAATCCCACACTTCTGATCTGCTCACGCTACCACTAGTATCTATAAGTTGTACAAGAGAGAGTCCATTATGATGGGAAGAATTCTCGTAATTACTGGGAAATTTGTAGTAGTTGATGGCTCATACCTCTGGAATTAAATTTAGCCCTTTGAATGTATATAACTTACAAATGGTAGGAGCTATTATGATGAAACAGCCCCTGTGTTTATTCTATTTTTTAAAAGGAATTTTAAAATGAATTTATTTGAAAACTATTTAATTAATGGAATACGCAGAATTATGGTCAGTCATCCATACCTTAAATGATTCTATAATGTAACCGAAAAATAATTTGAAAATCCTGACAATGACGTTTTTCAAATTAAATGCATAAAATCGACGGTATAATAATATTAGAACATTTTGGCATTCCGAAACGTTTGTGAATTTTAGAAATTCCAAATAATATATAAACCGTCTCGTTCGAGACGTCTGAAGGAGAAAAATATGTTTTCAAGGCGTTTTGAAATGGAGACTATGAAATTCTTGAAAACCACACGCTATTATCAGGAACGTCATCTCACACTATTTCAGGAACGTTACCTTTGTAAAGGTTATACTACACAAACGTCTCTCAATATTGTTTAATCGTTTATTCAATAATGATAATATTCCTTCCCAAGCAGTCATTAAATCCGAATCCTGCTCTCGCTCGACAAATTCAAAGTAAAGTCCATCGTCTAATATAAAGGCATTGTATTATTATTATTATTATTATTATTATTATTATTATTATTATTATTATTATTATTATTATTATTATTATTATTATTATTATTATTATTATTATTATTATTATTATTATTATTATTATTATTATTATTATTATTATTATTATTATTATTATTATTATTATTATTATTATTATTATTATTATTATTATACCGTATTATACGGAAGGATCACATCAAACGTGTCTTCATTCCATTGGGTATTATCAAGCCCATCAGTCATCAATACGTAATATCCAAAAAGAAGCACTTACAAAGTGTCACACATAGATGTAAATGCGCCATGTTTGTTGGCAAGTGTCGAGAGTGTATTATTGCATGTGTAATTTCATCGATTAAAAAAGCTACAAAAGATCATGTTAAAGTGGGCATAGTACTAAAATTAATTTATGCTTATTCTTCGCAGCAATTTAGTGTGGTTAAAACAATTTTTCAATGTCTTTCTCTCTCTCTCTCTCTCTCTCTCTCTCTCTCTCTCTCGTTCTTTCTCACTCTGCATCCGGATCTGGACATTCATGTATTATGTTCAAATGATCTTTGAAACGCGCTGTAGACGCATTCATCCTGCTCTACGACTATGAGTAATGTACAGGTTACTCAATGGGAGTAATATACATATATCTATATATAGTCACTGATTGGCAGAGAATATTATACAATAATAATTGATATACGATGATTTGTATATGTCCTTCCATTGAAATATCGCGTATACCTCTGAGGAGGGATGTGGCTTTCAATGATTTTTATAACTAAAACGATGCATATAGGATGACTTTCGAATTAAATACCAAGCCAGAGCGAGGGTTCGTTTTCAAATACATTGAAAAAGCAGGCTTCTAGCGTAATGCTAACGATACAGTTATGTAATGATTCGCGAAACCCGATTTGTAATTTTCTATTCCTGCCAAAGAAGTTTTTGCCTTCTCCCGTTGCCGAGACTGCCATGCTTTTCTTCCTCTTCTACAAATATCAACTCGTCGATGCTCAGAAGTAAATGTTTCCACTGGGTATAATTTATCACAGAAGGAATTTAGTTGTGAGCATGGAAGAGCATTATTCCTCATTTGCCTTTTAAATTGGAAGGTAATACTGTATGATGCATTGGTTGTTGGAGGCTAATTATTTTTTTAGACTATACAATATAGCGCCTGCGCACAGGTGAGACTAAACTTATTTGACAGAAATAGTCGGTGGCTATTACTCCTGCAATTATTATATATTATCTATAACTATTAATAATTTTCATTTCATATAACTTATTTATCCTCTTTATTAATTTTTTTATATTTATATATTTATATAAAAAAACACAGAGCGACATTATATCAGTTTGTAATTCAGTTTAGCGACGCGACTCAGCGTTTTTTGTAGTTCTAACGAAAACCAAAAACAATTAAGAAATAAAGGACTTGGTGTGAATGTCGCAAATTTTCCTTCATTTCTTTTCTCCGTCAACCAAATACTCGTTGCATGAGCTTTAGACTTATTCTTTGCTCTTTTTTTTTTACTTTCAACGTAGAGATCAAGATTCTCATCGCGAGCGTCTTGTTAATTTTGTATATACAAGTCCCTCGTGCATATATTCCATTCTTTATTTGTATTCAAATGATATAAATCGATGACACTTTAAGGTGACCTTACGAATCAACTTTTTTAGGAAATTTTAAGTGATATTGATTGTTGCTGCTGCTGCGTGTGTATCGATACAAGTCGCGTTCGCTCAAAGAGCAAAGAAAAGGAAAGTACGAGAAAATCTCTTAAATAGAAAGCATCGTAGCCTCAAAGCTGCCTATTGAAGATCGGGATAGTCGATATTTTTCTTTGTCTCTCTTTCGCGTGAAATCTCAAAGTGTGGATCTTACATACTAAGAGGGGCGAAAAAAAACAAAAGCAAAGAAAAATTAAACAAAATGAACTCGGATAAATATTATAAAAGTAACAATTAGGAAAATAATATAGTTCGTATGCTACGTCACTTGCACAGGTCCATATCGGGCGCGACCAAGTTTTGCGACTCTCGAAAAAAAATTTCACGCCAGGCTTATACTGCAATGCGCATGCGCGAATGTGTCGGTAAGGACAATTTATCTTTTATTTATTTATTACTTCATTTTTCTTGCTTGCTTTTATCGTTTTAGTCAAACAAGAAATCGGGAGCGTATTTTAGCTCATTTGTCCAATTTGATAAAACCGTGTAAGTTTGCAAAGGTCTAAAGAATTAAATAGTTACTCTTATCGTTTTCGAAGAATTATATTATAGTTGGGATCGTATAGGAGGAAACTCTCTTTAATTATTACAGCGTTTAATATTCTCTCGAGTGTGATCTCGGCTCGTTCATTATTATATTCTTCGACGTCATTTCTCTCTTTCTCTCTCTCTCTTAGATTCATGGTATCCTTAACGTTTGTTAAAAGCTATTTCATTAGATTAGATCGTCCCAAATTAGCGTAGTCCTTAATAAAATACACACGCAGTATATATGGCAGTCGTTAAAACGCAAACCCGATAGTCTGCACGGAACAAATGAAATACAGAATACCTGTACAATACAATGTTTGAATTGGTCGTTATATAGTAAATAAAAAAGGATGCATACAATCTGTCGTAAAGCATCGTAATGAAATTCAATATTGAGATAACAAGAGAAAAAATTCATTCGACGCAAGACAAATTGAGTACTTGGACAGTAACATGAATACAATGACGCGAAAACTTGTATACGAAAAAAAAGTTACAGAATACAAAATAAATTGTTTCAACGAATGAAATCCCTTTGGAATCGTCTGTTACAATGTTGAAACCCGACAATTATATTGCCTATAAAGTGGCCGTACTTCACGCAAGCTCTTATGAAAATTATTTAAAGTTCAACAGACAATCGCAAGAAACATCCTTGGGTTGTCGAAAAATTATAGTAAAAATTTCGACGACGCTGACTTGGGACGGCGAGTGTAAACGCCTTGGTACTATTTATCTTATCGATAGTGCAAGACTTTCTAAAATTTAGACGATTTCATTATGACGGGATATCCAAGGGAAAATCTCCGAGAATCCAATTGACACGTTGCTCGCCAATGACGTTCGTTATGTTTCGCGCCATAATTTAAAATTCAAAAACACGTCAATGGATTTTCGTTAACTCCCATTGGTCCCCCTTTATTATTTCAGGCTAAATGACACCATCTTCTAAATCTCTTGATCAGTGATTAGCCTTGATTTAATCATGTAGATCGACGAAACATTACTTTTTTTTTTCTTTTGCTTTGTTTTTCTTTAACTTCTTGTTGCGCTGGCGCATACTGGCGGCTTACCATCACTTCACTGCTCCAACTTAGCTGTAAAATTCGCAAAGCAAAAAGAAAAATACATTAGATCATTTGTAAGCATCAATAGAACTGATGTGCCGGCGTGACTACACAACATACGTAAAGTCACCTAATCAGAGTAGAGTGGGTCCAGTGACGTCACTGTCCAAACGTGCAGAAACGCTAGTGAGACTGTACCTAGTCTATTTGTATATCGTGTCCTCGCGTATCACCGTTCTTATCGGATACGTTGTATTATACGACAAAGTCAAGGAAACTCTTGTATACTTTCTAAGAAGCACCTTCGTATTTGTGCAATAACGTTAAACTCGAGTGCATTCATTTGACTGTCCGAGTCTAAACTATTTGGATTGGCGCTTTCAACGCCTGTCTCATTTATCAGCGTCATCTCTTGCTAATCAAAATTATCCAAAATACAATAATTTATGTGTCACCGTACCGTGATCTGAGTAACATTCTCTGGTATATTTCTATTTTTTGATAATAATGATTCAGCCCTCGATTCAGTTTTTTTTTCTAACATCTAATCACTGGTACTGAGAAATATTTCTTCTGAATATTTAAAGACATCCTTGAATCGTGCCAATGATTCGTATGATCACAAAGTACAGAGTCCAAAGTACGATGTCTTTAAATAGCAGCAGCAAAAGCATGACAAATAAATGATCATGTGATGAGATGCGGTGATAAGAAATAATGATTTAAAACTATATATATATATATATATATGTATGTTACTGCAATGTAAGCTAACATCGATACACAGTACCTCTTGACATCTACATACCAATACGAACCAACCAAATCTCTTTGTACTGAAACGAAAGAAACTTAAGCAAACAAGCACCTAGTGTTCAGCCGATTGTGCAGCTATTGTACGGCTGATACAGACTTCTGTGTTCCATACGTATCATATCATATCGCCTTTAGAATTTACTTTGTGTCTCAGAGTAACGTAAACAACACGACCACTCATGTCAATAAATTGTATACTGTACAACAAAGCTACAATCGAGCCGTTCAATTTTAGAATTTTATTTTTTATTTTAGTGCCAAAGCACTTGTTTCATACTTAACTTTTGATATTTAAAATAAGTTTCCATTTTTTTTTTAATTAATCAATTTGGCAAATGAGTGGCACAACTATACTTGACGAAATGCTGCAGTTTTCTGTTTTTTAATTTCTTTTTTTAAATTTACTGATAGACAATTCTACATACGAAACACACGAAGCTGCGAGTGCCGCGCACGGTTCTCCAATTTTCAGGAGTACACTTTACGTCATTCCGCATTCACAATTGGAAGAACATTCCTCTCGTAATCTTCAAGAAACTAATAACGACAACTTAAAGATCAACCAAAAGGATAATCGTAAGGACGAAAGGAGGAAAAAAAATATATTAATAATAAATAAGTGGTATGATTATCTCTTAAATCGTGCAATAGTACGACGTTAACGATCTAGGATAATTGTGCGACTCACCGCGTCTAAATGTTGTTCCAATTGTGTACTGTTTTCTTTACGTTCATTGGTTTCGCTTTCTACTTTTTGGCTTTTCTAAAATATGATAAATGCAATGTGATCGAATGCGTGTGCCTTGCTAGCGCTGTCGATATGATTCGTTGAATTGTACCGGGAGAGGACCTCGGATTTAAATTTTCTGGATACGTTTGTACATTATCTTTCAAGCTCTCCGAGGTCATCACCCGACGTAATGATGATGACTACACTCTCTCTCTTTCTCTCTCGTAATCAATTTCACTATCATTCTGTCATACAATCACACAATCATTTCCTATCGCTCAATATGATTATAACATGATACTGCTCAGAGCCTTAAACTATGAAACGCTCTATATACCAGTGAATAAAAATAACTCTCTGACCGATCGATAAAAATCCTCGAATATCTTCACAGCCAATAAATAAGATGAAGAATGTTTGTAATACATTCCTCATGTGGATTTTATTGATAGATTTCTTTACTTATAATCCAACGATTTCAGCCATCGATCGTTTTCATCTTCGAGAAGCGTATAGATCCAGTGCTGGAAAAAAATAATTTGTATAGAAATAGGATTTTTATAACGGACTCACTTTTTCTTGAGAGTGAAGAAACTACGCCGCTTGGTCTCGGCTTGCGTAGGTGCTGGCAAAGTATGTGCCCTGGATGTGCCCGCACCCGAAGTACCCTGTGCGGCCTGATTTAAAGCTGAAACCCACTCTAGCATTTCTGCGTCATCTTTGGCCTGGAACAGGAAGTCGGCTCCGCTTTGCGACCTGTATGCAAACGGAGAAATAAATTATTAATAAAAAAAACCCTAATCCATTCTTTATAATCTTCTATAACATTGATATTCTTTACGTACTTCACTCGGAAGACGTGTTTCTTCTTGGTGTAATCGCTTGCCACGATGACAGTAGCTCCTCGAAGATCAAGTGGAGGTTCACCCTTGTAAGGTTGATCAGGCGCAGATTTGTACGACTTCTGATCTTTGTATGCGACAAGACTTTGTCCGCGTACAACCATGTAGACTTTGTCCCAGGATCGATTGCTAGCCTTCTTCGTCGTGTTTTCCCATTCGTGCTTTCGCACCAGGGTACCCTCGAATTCGTCATCGCTTGGACTTCTTTGTTCTGTGAAGTAGAAAATAACATTAATCAGATACATAAAGATAGTAAAATTATTGTATATTATGTTGCCATTACAAATTATTAAATTATAGAACACGCAGAATGAGACAATAAAGACATAAACCTGCATCAGGCCGATTTGCTTATACATATATGTATGTATATATATATATATATATCAATTAATAAATTAATAATTAAATATATGACTGGATTAATAAACATGGCGAATTAGTATATTCTATGAGATTTTCTAGTGACTAAATGAACAACGTTCTCGTACTGTGGATTATATCTGAAATTTATTATCGAAATGATTAGAAGGAAATTCTTATAATGATGGTCAGCAAGGTACCCCTCTCCTTATTCTTTCAGCATGTGCAGAACCTACGGTAACAAGTTGCTTGGAAGTCAAATAAGTAGAGTTTAATGATTACTGAAGTGGTTGCTATCGGCATTAAACATCTTTCCCTCTCATCCAATCTTCAAATCGACTGCCTTTCATTATGATTATTTGCTCGCTTGACTTACCAGAGACACTATGTTCATCATCGCTCACACCGCTGCGGTCTAAGCTTGGCGATTTGGCTGATTTTTTCCAGCGGAAACTTCGGAATGGCGATTTGCTGCGACTGCGCTCCTTACTGCGTCTTAATGTACCGGATTCCGAGCCGCTTCCACCCTTCGGAGCTTGATAGTTTACACAACACACAGGTTTTTCTTTTTAATTGATCATTCGTTACTTACTCGTTATTCTTGCCTTTACGGCATGTTGTAGGGTACTTCAAAGAAACCCTCCTGTCTATCATTTTCAATATTCACGTATTTAACAATACAATATATAAAAAAATTCAACCTTTACTGCTACGGAGTGCTCCTACAAGATCTTTTTACAAAATGCTCTCATGCGGCATGCTTCATGCAATAACTATGATATTCAAAAGGAGCTACGGGAAGCTCGTTGGAAAGTTTACAGATAAACTGAACATCAAAAAGTATCTTACCACGGTAGAGTGTAAAACAGACAATTGACAGTTTGATATTTTTTGTGCATTTGACAGTCATACTAATAAATTTTAGTTCTGTCAACGAATGAAAAATATAATTTAATCGTATGTTACAATTAAAATGTGCGAAATATCGAATTGTTGTGAAACCGAGTCAAGAAAAAATCTCGTTACTGAACAAAGACAATCTATACCATCTCTATTAGAACCAGCACCATACTGGTCCAGTTCAGCAGTTGTTCACACAAAGATTGAGGAAATATCATTAAATGATTACAAAGGAAAGTATTTGATATTACTTTTCTACCCTCAAGATTTTACGTTCGTATGTCCCACAGAACTGATACAGTTCAGTGAACGAATAAAGGAATTCCGTAGTCTCGGTACGTATTGACAAGCCTGAATATTATTTTACTGAAATTCAATCATTTTTGTTATCACAAAAGATAGCGAAGTTGTGGCAGTATCCACAGATTCTATATATACGCATTATGTGTGGATAACCACGCCACGAAAACAGGGTGGTTTGGGTCAGATGAATATTCCATTTCTATCTGATAAAAGTCACAAGATCTCCAGAGATTACGGAGTTCTAAATGAGAATACTGGGACAGCACTGAGAGCATTATTTGTCATTGACGACAAGCAGATCATTCGCCAAGTTAGTCTTAATGACTGTATGGTGGCCAGGTCTGTGGATGAAGCTTTGCGTCTTATTCAAGCTTCTCAATTCGTTGACCAATATGGTGACGTTTGTCCAGTTGGACCAAAAATACCCAGAAAAAAATCTGTCCCGGATCCGAAAAAATACGAGGAATATTTCAATACGTAATAATTGATAATTCATGTCAACTGATATCCTATATAATGAGAATTTCAAGTGAGACTCATTAAATTTCTTCCCTTCGTATGATTGGGATCAAATTTTCTTTTTATCATACACTTACTTGTTGGAGTAGACGGGATGGAAACTGGAGATTTCGGAGTTGTCGGTGTAACGGGTTGTGATGATGCCACTTCCGGCGACGACAATCGTGCAGGCTTCTGAACATGCACTACACCACACCAATTACAAAATCATGCTAATGTACAAAAATTAATTGATCTACTTAATAAGTAATGCGCCAAATATATGTGTGAGATTGATATGCGCTTATGCAATTATAACTATCATTAAATATGTAACTTTTGTTATTCTTAAAAAAAAAGGAATAGCATTTTTCAAGATTTGAAAAAGAATTAGTGTATTATTTTGCCTTGGTTGTTGGTTGTCATTGAAATGTTAATAGAAATACTAAGCAAGTAAGTTAGGAAGAACAGTCATTTAATGAAATGAATAATCTACCACTTCGTGGAATGTCTACGAACCTCTGTGAGGATCAAAACTTTGGGACGAAGACACAATAATTTGTTTCGAAGCAGTACAAGTTGTGTTCAAACATTTAAATAGTAAATAAAAACAAGTATGTCAACAGATAAAGCGACAAATTTTAATAAAATTTTTAGCAGAATCCCAAATTATATTATCAACATGCCACCTTACCTTTTTATAGACAGAGAGGCACAGAATTTAAAAAATAGATTTGGCAATATTTAGAGCTTAGGCACCATATGGATAAACGTAGGACACTGCTTGCACTTACCTAGCGCTTAAGAGAATTATTTTTTAAGGACAGTAAAACAGTCTCTAGAAACAGAAATTACAGCAACTGGGAACTGCGACGAAGTGGTCTAATAATTGTCACTTAACATGAGTAACTGGACGAGCTTAGAATTTTGAAACAAAAGAAAACGACACAGTAATATTACTTTCATTGCATACAATATTTTGTTAGACAATAGCTACATTCTAAGATCGTACAGTTCCCCTACAAAGGTTATTCTCAAGCGGACAAACAATCCTGACCATTTTGATTATTCCCCTAATAAGTATGTGTAAAAGTTGTCAGATAATATATGACGAGAGTAGGCATCACCAGGGTGTAGATTAACGCCATCACCTGCTTTTATAGGAAACACGTTAACGGAAGCAAGTACAGACACTAGAGAATATCAAATCATAGACAAAGGAGAGATCATGATTGCGATAGATGCAGTGTGGCTGTAATGTGCTGAAAGGTTTAAGGTTGTTAATTAGGCGTAAATTAAGTGCAGAGTTGATTAATAATAGATCTTAGGTACTACTATCAATATGTAGACATTACTTATAGATGATATTCCTTCACCAGCAGATACTAAATTCGTCTGTAATGAAGTATACTCGTACTACGACGACAATGTTGTACTATTCTTTTTAAATGGCAGCAGCGTTGAATATTACATGTCGTGGCCGTACGAATATTATGTTACATTTAACCAATATGGAGAGCCGTTTGATGGGACAGATTTTCAGAGACACTCACCTTCCTTGGGCTTTTCTTGGGGTTGCGGCGTTCGTGTGGAAGCCTTGCGTAGTGCCACTGTGGTTCGTGCATTCCGTGCCGCATTTTTGGGGTGCATTCAGGATAATTTTAAGGTCAAACGGATATTAATTACAGGAAGGATCGGTTATGGGTCGGGTACAGAAAGAAGGCAAAAATAAACGTGCTGTTAGCAATGTCATGCTAAGTCAGAAGAGAATACTATCATGAGATCAGAAAGTTAGAGAAGAAGATACAAACAGAACAAAAATAATTTCAATCTTTCTGAACTCGTGATACAGATTGATTAAGTATTACAGTGAAGCTTTTCGAAAGTATCTAGCAGAGTCTTGGCTGCCTTTTAGGATAAATACTGATAAGTAAAAAATTTGTAGTTGTAAAAAAAGTAGAAAATGAAACACAGCCTCAAATATTAAGAGCTATAGTACGTATCAATTAAAATAATCCAATTAATAATATCGCGTTTCTATATGCGGCACGCCAAATGATAATTTTGATTTTACTGTGCCGTACTCTGCCGTGCATTCAAACACTGTTTTTACGGGCACATTGCCATCAAACAAAGTTTATTTCTGTCGTACCGTGAGAATCGTCTTCTGCTCCATGCTCTCCGCTCGGTGACCCATCGGCTTCGACCCTACAATAGAACAATTAAATAATAGACGCAATATTTAAATGCATGTCTAGTAAATTAGAGAATATTGAAAATAAATTATTTCCGTACTTTTCACTCGGTGGTTCGTCTGGACTAGTAACTGGAGTTGCCCTGGCGAGTCTTGCAGCTTCTGCTGCTGCTGCTTCCTCTCTTTTACGCCTCTCTTCTTCTTCTCTTTCCTGTTCTCGTCTCTTTAACTCCTTCAGTTCGAACTATAATGGAATAAGTGTTAATAATAACTGTATTTTTAATGTTTAGGTGGGCGCATGCTACTTACGTTTCCCTCACCAGTTTCCAAGGAGAGATTTTCTACAGTAGGAATTGGAATTAAGGGAGTTATCGATCTGTTCACATCTAAACCTTTAGATATATCCAATTTATTTACAATTTTTTGTTCCGATAGACTCTTTGGTAGCTCTAAGATTACTTGTTCCTCTTGTTCACACTTTGGTAAAGTCGAATAGTGAGGTAAAAATTTAGTTTTAGGATTGCTATAGACAGCACGCTCAGCCATGATAAATTTCATATTAGGATCTAGAGTTCTACTTTTTAGAGAAGTCTGTGTCAGGTCATCTGTTAGTTCTCGGATCTGGTGATGCAATTTTCGGATATTATGTATAGAATTTTCCAAATCCAAACTTCCTTCCTTAGCTAGACAAAATATATTATCGTACATGTCTGTATTTTCATCATAGATATTTTGGTTACTGTGATTATGCTCCTGCTCCACAAACTCCTCAACATCTGGTTCACATTCAGTCTTTATGAAGTCTGAGACCAATGGAAACTTTGTCTCTTTCTTAGAATGCACGCTATTGATTTTTATATTTTGGCTATTAGAATTAAGACTATCAGATTTAATAAATGACTTCTGAGGTTCAGTACCATCAGCTGAGAAATATTCTTCAGTTGATTCATAATATGAACACTTTGGAAGCAATGGATTTTCAATTTTTGGACTATCTCGTCTACGAGCAGCAATAGTATTTATTCGTCTCAAAGTCTTTACGTCACATGGAAGTATAATCTCCTCTTCGAAAACAGAAATTTCGTCATCGCAAGGTGTAATAGGGGCACTGACGTTAGAGCCCTGAGAACTTCTAACGCTATTCTTCCAATCGAAATCCCAGAGGAATGATTTGTATTGCGTCGATTTGTTACCTTTATCGTTTACGTAAACCGGATAATTAATTCGCGTTCCGGTAGTTGTGAACTCTCGCCTATAGCGACGGGCGGGTTTATAAAAACGCTCCGAGTCAAGTATAATTTCGCGTACTACAGTTCCTTGCGGACGGATATACCTTTTTGGTTTAGTGATCGAGATCGAGGATTTTGGAGGATACTCTGGGACGAAGGTAAGGGTAGGATTGAATTCCGACACCGGCATGCCCATCACGAACTCACTACCAAGCACCTTCTCAGGCTACAAGGACATAAAGGTAAAGAAGCCGAACGTGCAACACATGAAAAAAAATTAGACATCGATCAGTGAGAGCTAATGAATTGAGGCAATTACGTGGTTTTGGCTACACTTCTTTAGTCACATTGTAAAAGATGATAAAGCCTACTAACGACTGACTATTAGACACGGAAATATGTCTACTATTAGTGGAATGATTTTTTAATGACCTCTTGGATGAATCACAATGATTTTTTTACTACTACGAGTCGTGCTACATGAAGTCATCATACACCATGCACATTTATCACAATTATTTACCGTAGCTACATTGGTATTTATGTAAGGACTTACGGTAGTGAGTCTTTCCAAGGCACTGAACCTCTCTTCCTGTGCAGCTGCGGATTTCTCAAACGCCTCGTGTTTCTTGATCAGATTTTCAACTTCGTCGATAGTATGCTGTACGGAATAAACCATTTATAATTTAGGATATCCCATAATTTTCACCTGGCAGCACACTTGTCACGACTGTGCTACAATATGTGTACTTACACCAAGCTCTTGACTCATTAGGTATGGTTCTTGGGCTATTAACCACGCTTCCGCCACTGCGGCATCCCTGGCAAACTGATACACCTCCAATACTGAAATAAAATTCAACAAATAAGGATCAGTCAAATGTAATTATTTTAATTGTACACCGTATAAAATATTTTATAAAAACTTACTGAGTTGCAAGTTCTCCCAACGTTCCACCCAGCGGTGTAACAAAGCATTCCTGTGATCAGTCAGAGCGGACAGCTTCTCCTTGATCTGTGCGCTGGCATAATGATCCCTGGCTAATAAATCTTTGCCAAGATCGATGCAGGCCATCAGATTGTCCTCCCTCGTATCAATCTCGGCCTTGAGGCTCTGGTGATTGTTCATCAGCAATTCAACACCGGATACATCACGTGGTTTCTCAGACGTGTTCATTTGTCGTACAACATCGTCCATCCAGATCATCAACGTCCTGACCATGTTAAAGAACCGGAACAGATCGCCAGTGTCTTCAAGTTTGGCTTTTCTGCCTTCACAGAGCGACTGAAGATTATTCCAGGCAGCGACAACTTCTGCTTCACGATTCGTGATCTCTTTAGCCTTATCGCCGGCGTAGCTTGCCTGTAATTTCGCAGATTCCTCTTGAATCTGAGCTACCTGACTCTGAAGAGTGGATAGATCCTGTATGAAGTTAGCATGCTTCCTCTGAAGAGCGGAAACAGAACCAGCATCGCGTCCTAGTTCATCAGACATGGCGTTTTGTTTCTCAAGAATTCGACCAAGGACATCCTTGCAATCGTGGAAGAATTTGTGCAGCTCCCGACTGGCAGCTAACATCTGAGTACGCGTCTCAATTAATTCGAGGAGATCCTGCCAGACCTCATTCAAACCATCCTTCCATTCAGCAATAGTTGCTGCATCAGAATGTCCTGTTGCTATCAGTGAATCAGCAATTCCATTTACAGCTGCGACTCTTTCTGATCCTATCGCTTCGGTATCACGAGCGAATTCCTTAAATCTCTCCCAGAGAAGTGTAACGTGATCATAATCCTGACCCAATTCATGGCTACCAGCTACCAATTCCCTTTCAGCTATCCACTGTTCAAGATCATCCACTTCCCTGTTCAACATGAACAGTTGAAGAGCCTCATCTAATTTAGCACGACGTTCACCAGCTAGATCTTTCAATCCTGCGTACAGCTTATCGACCTGTGATTGTTTGACTGCAATCTGATCAGCTAAAGGATGTTGATCATTTATCAGCTGTCTAGCAGTTTCGCCAAGTTGACGAATGGTATCTGCATAATCCTCAACAGCATTCTCCAAAGACTCATGTTTCTTCATTAGATTCTGTGCAGAAATCTCATCCTTACCACGATCTTCAACCATCATGTACAATTCCTGTTCACTCATCCAAGATTCAGCTTCAGTAGCGTCGAAGAAGTATTGCTGTGCCTTCTCGTTCTGTAGCAATTGTTTGTTTCTATCGTCGACGGCATCCTTAAGCTCGCGCCATTTTTCTGACAGGTCCGAGATGAGCTTGGTGAATTCAGAACTTGCCTCGTGTCCTTCATCGATCAATTTCTGACCGTTCTTACAAACGGAATTGATCCTAGGCTCATGGTTCTCAATCTCGGTACGCAACGACTGATTCTTCTTCTTAAGCATATGAACATTAAACAGTGAATTTCCATATTCTGAACTGGTAGCCTGTGGCATTTTCTCAGCAATCCACAACTTCTCATCCTCGACATCGCGTCTGAATTGGAAAGCCTCCTTCTTCTTCTCCAAATGAGTTTGACGATCGATCAGTGGTGCCTTCAGCTGGGCGAATCTCTGTGCCACCTTCTCCTTCTTACACTTGATCTCCTCCATTTTATCGTCTGGTACAGTACGCTGAAGATGCTCAGCCTGCTTGTCCAATTCGGTGACCTGGCGTGCTTTGACGGCCATCTGAGTTTCAATCATTTGTTGCTTTTGCATAAGAATATTGACGGAAGCCAAATCAGTACCGGTGTCAGTGCTCTCAATTTGTTTTTCCAGTTCATTCATCCAAGAGTCAATGTCATCGCAGGTTTGATGAATGAGAACTTCCCGGTTAGCATCGAAAAGTCGTTCACCCTTGTCGTGAGTAGTTGTTTCCAGTTCTTCGAATTGATCGCCCAACTCAACAACTTTAGGTGTGATAATATCAGCCAATTCAGGTTTCTGTTGTATGAGTTCATCGGCAGCTTGTTGTAATTGTTGAAGACGATCCTTGTTACTGGCAATTTCAGCCTCAAAGGCCTGGTGACGAGTCCACTTGCTATGTACAGTTTTAGCGCTTCTGTAAGTCTCATCCTGGGCAGTGATGTGTTTCTCCTGTACCCATTCGCCAAGTTCCTCGCAATCTTGCAGGAACATCTGCAGTTGCAGTTGATCCTTCAGTTTGTCCATTAGCTGATTAGCTTTTTCGCGGTTGATGTTTCTACGCTTGTTTATATTCTCAGCCTTCTTCTTCACCTTGTCAGCGGCGAAGTGACCCTCATTTATCAATCTTGCAGCGAACTGTGTCACAGAGTTGATCTTTTCGTCGTTGGCATCCATGGTGGTCATGAATGCTTCATGACGTTTTATCATATTCTCAGCTTGTTCAAGGTTAGTAGGTGTCTCGTCCTTAGCCAAGATATGCTCTTGTTGTGAAAGCAATACTTCGGCTTGGCGTGCGTCCCGATCGAATACTTGAAGATTCAAAGAGTTCGACAACAAGTTCTGACGGTTCGCCCACATCTGGTGCAATTCCTCCCAGCCCATTTTCAAAGCATTCAATCTTTCCCTAAGGAACATGTACTGAGTATCGCCATCGCCTGCTTCACTGGTCAATCTCTCACCGTACTCCATCATCTTCTGATAATCTTCAGTATAATTGTCAATCTCCTCCTTGATATTTTGATGTTGGGTCAGGAGCTTCTCAGCATCAGCCAAACTCGTAGGTGTGTCTTCGCTAGCGACATCAGTTTGCGTTTTGGTAAGCCATGTCTGGAAATGATCCAGGTCACGAAGGAATCTATGGAGATCACCAGCTTCCTCCAATTTCGCATCGCGTTCCTTGAGCATCTGAGTAAGCTGCTCCCAGATAGTACGTATCTGCGTGATCCTCTCACGGATAACAGCTGCCTCTTCAGGATGTTCCTGCTCAATAATCTGTGCCTCCTTTTCAAGGGCATCCAGCTTAGCTTGTATAGCTGCCAGATCACGTTCCATTCCACTGAGTCTACGCTGAAGTGTCATGACACCAGTGAGGTCCATCTCCAGGCTATCGGTTTGTTGAAGGATACGTTTCTTGTCCTCAATCCAGGATACAGTCTCGCGGCACTCAATATGGAACGTCTGCACACCATGTGCGGAGTTGAGCTCTTCGCGTCTTCCTTCAGCTTTTTCGCGAAGTTCAGCCCATTGCTGGTTCAGTTGGTTCTGACGAGTAACTATCTGCTCAGAATTAGGATGTTCTACATGCAACAATTGTCTAGCCAGTTGGTTAACCACTGCCACACGTGACGCGTTAGCATTCATTTCCTTGTCGAAACCGTCGTAACGGTGCTTCATGATCTCGACATCTTCAATATCCTTAGCGGGAACCATGGTATCCAGCATCCTGTTCTTCTCACCAATCCATTGTTCGACGCCATCGGATTCACTAAAGAGTTTGTAGAGAGACAAAGCGTCGAGAAGTCGCTGCTTTCGCAATTTAGCAAGCTCCAGGAGTTCCTTGTACCTGGAGTCAATAGAGGCGAGCCTCTCAAGGACTTCTGGAGATTTGGCATCCTGTTCGCCCAATTGAGATGCCTGTTGATGAAGTTGCTCGATGGTGGTAGCATAGTTCTTAAGCTCATCCGTAACGTCCTTGTGCTTTTTCAATAAGGATTGTACGTTAGCTTCGTCCCTACCGACATCTTCAGACGATACGAGACGCAGAGTATCCAGCATCCAGATGTCAATATCATCTGCATCAGCGAACAGCTGATGATAATCCACAGCCTCTTCCAGCCGCTTACGTCTAAATGCAGCAAGGTCCAAAAGATGATTCCACATTCCCAGGATCTCCTGTAGCCTCTCTTGGATACGGTCAGAACCAAAGTGCTGCTGACCTACCAACTCATCACCAACAGCAGCGACAGACATGAGTTGTGGTTCATGAGATTGTATTTCATTCTCCAAAGCTTTGTGTTTTGATAACAAAAGATTAATGGTGGTCAAATCGTGACCAATATCGCTGGTGGAGACGATCTGTTCTTTCTCTTTGATCCAGTTCTCCTCGTCGGCCATGTCCCAATAGAACTGCCACAGCTTTCGGGATTCCTCAAGCCTGGCACGACGTTCAACGGCGAGACGAACAAGCTCAGCATAAGCATCCTCAAGCTGTTGTACTCTCTCCACGATGATAGTAGGATCGCAAGGACGATATCCTTCACCCTGTTCCAGAAACCTTTGACTTTGCTGTACGACTGCCTTAACCCTCTCACCCAGGACATTAATATCAGCTTCGACGAGCGAGTGCTTCTGCAGAAGATCCTCAACCCCCATCAAATGCTTGCCATAATCATCGGTGAGTAGTCTCAACTTAATCTCTTCCATACTGTCTAGGATGTAGAGCATCTCCTGGAAGTTCTGTTGCAGCTGAAGTGACATTTCAAGTCTCACCCTCCTAGCGCGTAACAATTCCAGCAAGTAATTCCATAATCTAAGAACATTGTCCTTACGAGCGTTGATCCTCTCAATGTCATGATAGTTCTCAGCCTCGAGTTCCTGAGAGACAGCCATGACCGCCTGAACACGTTCTTCATAGGCAAAGATATCGGTCTCAATGGCCTCGTGTTTCTTCGCAGCAGCTTCGACAGCTGCCAAATCGAAGCCAAAGTTATCCTGAGACACCAATCGCTGATTCTCGGACAACCAAGTTTCACGCATGCTAGCTTTTCTGTTAAATCTCGCTGCCAATTGTTCAAGCTTCTCCTGGCGTATCAACTCCTCGCGCAGGGCCAATTCGCGCTCGTGCTCGGCCTTTTCCAATCGCTCCCAAGCTTTGTTGATATCAGAGATCATTTTACCCTCTTTAGGTGTATACGGCTTCTGATTATTCGCACGCATCTTCGACTGAAGGGTAAAGAGCAACACCTCCAGATTACCCTTCTCCACGAATTTCGGAGGCTTCTCCACAGTGCGGTAGTTCGAGAATTGCGATAGCTGCGACTGCACCCCGACCAGGGAATTGGCAAAATGTCTGTCACCAAGGGCTTCAATAGTCGCTTCGATCCAGCGTAAGAGGTCGCTGGTCAGACTCTCATATTCATGTATCATGCGATCATTCTCCATAGCAATTCCAACGACCTTACCGATCCTCTTACCCTGTACAGTCTCCTGCTTCATCTTCGAGAAATAATGATAGTATGTAACCACATAGGTGATGATGGACTTCTCGTCAGGATGGTCTACGAAGATGTCCTCAGCATCCAGAAGCTTGGTGAGACCAAGTTTGTCTTCCGCGACATTAAAAGCATTATTTAGATTATAAATGGCATTGGATTTGGAGAGTTTATCGAACTGGATCAAGTCAGGACGATGCTTGTGAATGATGGCATTAAAGGCCAAACCGTCGCGCCAGGATGTTGAGAAATTCCTAACATTGACATTATGATATCCAGCTGTCTTCATCTGACACCAAAGTAACAGCGCATCCTTGGCTGATTTAGTTTCTTGGTTATCCGTCTCTTCAATTGTGATGTCTTGAATTTGGAAACGCAGGATAATGGTCCAAATCAAGCCCAAACTCAATCTAGGGTTGCCGTCGACGATGTCGTGTGAGCCCATATTTTCCAGATGGACTCGTTGCTCCCTCAGGAACTGCAGTGCCTTGTCAACATTCTCCAGGCAATGGATACGCATCTTTCCCTTCGTCGGCCGTGGCAACCGTTCTCCGGAGAGTATCTCCAGCAGCTTTATCAGCATCTTTCCATCTCGAAGATCTACGTAGAGATCCCCGATGCGACAGGAGCATCGTACAAGGTGCGAGTTCACCCATTTTTGAAACGTCTTCTTCTGCACGGACTCACGTTCACCTAAATAAAGTAAATCAAGACTCTGGATAAAATTCTATTACTTCAATAATTCTTACCTATTTCTACTTGTAGATACTATCAATCTCTGATAAATCCCCAGCCTCTTTACCAAGGCATTCTTACCTCTGAGGTCAATAACGACCTTGTCGAAATACTCCTCTAAAGAATCACTAATTGATATTCGCTCACTCATATCTCATAAAAACCAAGTAAGAGTATTCACAAATTGTATTTCTAACAGGAACGTGTTTTCCGTAACTTTGAAAAAAAATAATCTCTACAAATTTTAACGGTATACAGTTAAGATCTTTTTCAGAGATTTTTCTACCTCCCCAATAACACTCCTATTATCGTATCTTGTACCAAGGCAGTAGGGCTAAAAACCACAAGTACAGGCAGGCACACTCTCAGTTTTGGTCGACGAATCGCATCCAAGGAGAAATCAAGATACTGAGCAACTGACAACGCCCTATCAGATAAGTTACAAAGAAACGATCACTATCATATACCTATATTTTACCAGCTAACGGATTAATAAAAGAGAACATTCAGATACAAAACGTTAATAAATTGCTAAGCACTGCTATTTCCAATAAACGGATAAGTCTCACACGCCCAGAACAGAATTCCATTAGAAGTGTTTAACCGTCCGATGGGAAACACTTGTTGTATTGTATTTGAAAAATAAATTGTCGTAACAAACGCCGAAGTAAATAGTACAGCACATTCAGTGGATGTTGAGCAAATAAATTTCTGGTAACTACTGAAGAAATCCTGTAAGGACCGAACGAACGTGGTTTCAGGCGACCATGAATGATAAAATCCTTATCAGAGGATGTAGCAGTGGTTTTCTCTGTGAATATATCAGACGCGATACAATTAACCAAAGCTGCATTATTTACTCGTTAATCAGAAAAAAAACTAATTACTACAGGCTGATTAGCGTCCTTGAAAGATCCATTCTTGAACTGACTGTACCAAGTGCAATGTTGCTCGCCATTCAGAACTATCGTTATCTCCCTTCGTCTGGTGCATTTCGTAATACTAAAATATAAAACATCTAAATTGCATTAAATCTACGTAACGAACGTACCAGCCAACGCCTTGATGCGCGAGCGCTCGAAAAGTCTTGAACTCGAGTTTCCTCCGTCATATTCGTACTCGTCGACAATCTCTTGTTGAAGCGTAGGGTCCCATCCCCCACGAACCACCGAGATGTCGGTCGTCATTTTGTCAATCGGACCAACAGCTCACTTCACCCTTACCCTTAACAAAGGGCGCTTCTGAAACAGAAAAAATAGAGATATTTACAAATATTTCCAAACTACAAATAAAAATTCGGTTACGTAGGACATAATTGTTTCCCAGTCTGGCCCAGAGGTGCATTAAGGTACTAATTATCAGTGGAACATGGCATTAAGCTTTTTGGGTTAAGAAGACACTTTTCTCATCGAGTGTTTCACGATGCGTGGGATCCCTGAGGACATCAAAGGCTTACGTCACGCTGGATGATGTCACACGGACAAAATATACGCTCGCGCAATGCGCTGGAGTAGCAAATAATCAAAGTTACAGGTGAATGCTGTTATGACTACTGGTACTCATTTCTTTTTTCGTGCAACGGACACAAAAATAGGAAAAAATAAGGATCTACTAATATATTTGTCCGGCGATGATATTCATAATAATAATAGGTAATCACGGGTTCAGCAGGCATACAAAAATTATAAGATTTTTGGTTCAAAAGTGAACGAGTCAATATGTAAGATAATCTCGATACTCGAGCCAAAAATCATTCCATTCAACCTTACGAAAATGAAGATATTGAATTTTTTAATTTTTCATTCTTATAGGCTGAGTATACCTATACAGTCGAAATTAACAAAGATTTTTTTGTATATATCACAAACTATACGTTAAATAATGGTCAAATTTTTACATAGATAAAGATTTAGTTGTTGTCTGATAAAAAAAAAATTCAACATTTTCTCTTGGATTTGTGAATATATTCACTTCGGGAACCCACAATCGCATCGATTACTCCATAAATTGTTGATAATACCTCATAATAAGCATTAAAGCTACAGATGCAATAGTATGCACGTTACTCAGTATCCAAAGAGTCAAACGAAGATCAAATACCGTTATAAAGTACCAGAGAGTTCTTTCAATCTCTCTAGGTATCACGCCACTATGTATAGTTCAGAATTATTGTACATTACGTACTAACTACTGGTCACACAGTAAATAGTCACGTACTAACTAATCTCAAGGAAAACGAGCGTAAGCTAATACGGCATCAGTAGTCCAAGCGATATATAGGTATATTCCAAGCTTTTTCGTTCATCGCTGAAAATGGAGAGAAACGTGCAACTCGTTTCTAAAATCTCTTTGAGAGCTAAAAGATACAGTATGGTAAACAGGATCTTGATTTCGCAATACATAGTCTCGACCCCGACCAAAGAGATATACATACAACAATACGATACTGGTCGGTACAGTCTAACAATACTTTCTGAGGTAGATCATATTCTAATAGCTAAAAACACCATTTACCAGCATAAAAACAGCCCAATTTACATGGTACTGTTGTTTTACTAGGAATATGCTTGAATATTTCGGAAGGTAAGGGTAGCCGTTTTCAACTGCCTGGATACATATATTTAAATTCAGAGTCAAACTTCCCACTGGGAATTGATACCCACGACAGTACATAGAAACATTCATGCGGCACGTATCCGGGATTCAGTGACGATATTATTTGTGTTCGTCAATAATAGAGTAAACATGAGAATTGCATATGCAACGAGTGACCCATATAATTAAAAAGTATAGAAAACGACGAGAGGCATAGAAATTAAAGTACAAAAAAAAATGATCTCGTTCTAAAAATCATTTTTATCAACATCACGGTCATGTCTCGCGACCGATTTTTAACAATATGAATGAATGAATGAATGACATTCCCAAGTGTCTACCGGCCACTTACGGCGAATTAAGTGCAATTACGCAAGTGGCGTCATACTTTATGTAGTGCACGGTCGGGTGTACACGTACCGCATACTCTGGCACACGCTTAGATCCACATAAATAGTGGGCGTATAAAAATGAATCACAAAGTGAATGACACGAACGCGTTAAAAGGGGTAGTCATATCATAATAGAAGGTTAAGTTTTCAGAGCGTCTGGTAGAGCTTAGAAAATATGTTTCTTTACTATAAAGATGGAATATCTGTACCTAGAGTGACTGCTCTATTGACTATAGTATACGGATACGACAAGGGTTCATCATAATACAGCGAATCATTAACATTCGATTGAGCGACCACCTAGTGAGGATAAAAGCCTCATTCTCCCTACTGGTAAACCCTCGTTACAGAGAATGCCCTACGTCACAATATTGTGTGTTCCAGTTATACGTAATACAGATATACACATATTTTAAGCAACCTACAGTTGAGCTAGTGTAGAAGGTTAATTACAAAAAAAATTTGTGACAACTCTCCAAAAAAATATATGTACAGGACATCAGCGTTCTCTTCTATCGCCAAGGTAAGACGGGCCACACGTATACAGAGTTACTATTGATTTTCCGCTGCAGTCACCCTGGCGCCGGTATCCACGTTTATTTAGAATGCTTGTATAATGGTCGTAACGCCAGGGTGCACTTGTATGATACATGAAGAATATATTAATTAAGGAGACTTTGATTAAAAGATTTTAACTTATTGTATATGGTATTTACGTATAGCTAGTGGAACGCATGTCTGGCAACGTTACGAGAGTGAGGTTCATGACTCTCAATAGAGGACTTTCACCTGTATTAAAAGGAGCCGAATAGAGAGGAGAAGGTACTTTGACACAAAATCGGAGCGTGAAGGTTCGTTAACAGTGGCAGGGGTCGTCAGTGTAGGAATTCGTGGAACGAGCAGGATGACCTTCTTGGCAGTGTTGACCACGTTAGTCCAGGGCGCGGCCGAGTCATTTTGGCATGATGCTTCGCATGTTTCACGATGAGGCAAATATGATGAATCCGGGAGCCGTGGAAGTAATGGATTTAGTAAGTGGACGAGTGGCAATTGTTACCAAAGGAGCTGAGTATCTGTGAAATTAGATATACTGTGTATATGCATGGCTGAATGGTTGCATTGTAGATACAAGAGGCACCCTTTTACCTTTGTAAAAGATACATCAAATTTCCTGTATGGAATGAAGATCCATTTCCGTCTGTTGACTCAGTTTCTAAGCTTATTTTTTTGCCTTCAAAAAGAATTCAGACGTTTGATTGTGCAATCTGGTATTGCGTCAAACCTATCGGTTTTATCTGCATAGTACTGATCATGTTATCAAACACCTTTATCCTATTAAACATTGTCCGATCCAAAGGAGATACAAAGAAAAATTGTATTATAGTTAAGAGTCCCTATTGGCTAATTAAGAATATCAGTAAAAGTATCTTTTTAAAATCCTATAAAGCAGAGGAGCAGATTGTCTCTTCTATATTACGTGAGTTACGTGCGATGGATTAGATCGAAGCCATTTTGTCATCCACTAACGCTGTGTGTGTCTACCTATATGGGTACTACGTCACATCCGCATTTGCGTTAATCTAACACTGCTGACCGGGTTTGCCAGCCGTCATTTACCTCGACGGTGATTGTTTGGCGTTTAATAACAAATTTCCCCTAATACGGCGAGAAGTTAAGGATCATGTTTGGAGGTTAAGAATTGCCAGGATCATCGAGCATTTGTCTCATATAATCCAGCGTACTCAAAATTCAACGATCTCAAGGGTATATGGATCATTCAGGAATCTGTAACAGGATAAGCAAATATTTAAGTACAAAGGTTGGTAATGTAGACCGCACAAAAGGGGTGTGTGACCATGCGTGATGTTTTTATAGAAGGTGCGTCCTCGACTAGTCGTGTAAAACTAGGTCAGACAGGGTAAGGCAGACCAGGACAATGAAAATCTAGGAGACTTTGGTTTTTCATTTCTTTTTTCTTATGGCATTGCTACAAGCGAAGATAAAAAAAAGGGAAAACAAGATACGGAAAAGCAAATGGTAGGGAGTGCCGCTGACAGTTAGTATACCAAGAAGCGTGGCATACCAAAAGTTCAAGTGGGCGATCTAAATATAAAGTCCACGACTTCCTTTCCATGCTGAAGACTGAGCTCTTCCAATGAAGCACCGAATACATATTGGCAACAATAGCGCAAAATTCCAATGAATTATAATCACAACTTCTACAAAGAAAACGGTAGCACGTACATTTGTTCTAAAATATAAATAATCTTTTCAATCGTTACACCATCCTTTTCAATGATTACAAATACGTCAAGCATTCCAGAGCAAATCAAAGACACTATTCTTTGATACTCCTGTTATCAATACCTCACTGCCGATATCGTTTCTCTTATCTTTCCCTGCGACCCGCCTTGCTCGTATCAGCTAAATGAGCCATCCCTAGCAATATGAATAAAGTATACTGGGGCTATACTTAACGGAATAGTCGACCGCAGGATACTATTTAGTAATTGGACACGATATCGCTAGCAAACAGGATATGCTACTTTTAAACCTTAAAAAAAGGGAATCTAACCTAAAAAAAAAAAGAAAATACTGCATTACATAGCTGGCGGTATTATTGTCATCGACAGAATAGCCTCTTACATTTGTGATGCGTGTATATACTATAACCGTCACGCACTGAGAACACGAATTTACGCATCGACGCACTATTCTCGTTAGTGGACACAGACGGTTGCAATTTATTGCACGTCGTACTAGACATACACCCAGCCAACATTCCCAAGAGCCACTACGGAAGGGTCCTTCTTTTCCGTTCCTGACACTTGCCTCAGGGTGTTAACTTATTCCGTAGACGTACACGCCCACGCGGACCGACACTGACGTAACAGTAAACACAACACCTGAGAGAATATTTATAAATGATACCTCAGTAAGGAACCTATTGCATTAGCGTATCACTCAAGGAAGTACAGTTATATAGTCTTAGTCACAAAGGAAGTATTACTGGAGGTAGAATAGACATGGCAGAAGGAAGAGTAATGGCCGTGGCACCGGCGCATAAAACAGAACCAACCTGAAGTCATAGGAAATTAATATTAACCATGAACCTGCTTTACCTAAAATCGACTAAACCTCTTGCATTGTTTTTCTTGTCTATATTTATACACACGATGTCAAGGAGATCATCGCGCATGAATATTCTTTGAATAATCCAATGGCGACCTGAACGAATTCCATGTCGTAGGCTTTTCCATCCTCCATAGAAGTTTACACAATATACGGTTGTGTATTGTGTAATACCTAATCGTATTACCTCGATCAAATTTCTATTACAATGACCTGCTGAACAGAGAGTTTGCTTACTGACTCTGAAACTTGTTTTATTATTTGCATGACTCTGCAACAATAATAAAGTCATTGGCGAAAATGTCTTACGATGCCTTTTACTGTGTATATAGACGCACTCGACCGGTAACGAAGTAGGAAAGACAGAGTAGAACAGTTGGACATCATCATCGTGGTAGAATTTAGTAGTGACGATATAAATATTCTTTGGTGGTAAATAAATATTGAATCCTAACAATTAGCCAATTTGAACTTCAGTCTTTTTCACCCAACAAGGGAAAACTTGCAGCAATGGCTTTAGGAAGTATTTCTGAGAATTGGAAATTAGGTCAGAGTGAGACAGGTTGTCTTGACAGGTGGACCATACAGACTTCACTGAGAAATAAATTTATTGAAAGAATATCAAATAGGTTGACACACGATTTTTCTTAATATCACTGAATCACGATTGTCTATGGTATACTCGGTACCGTTCGATTTTATGGTACGATTAAAAAAGTAATAAGTCAGACGCACACTGAGAGGCACTGTGGACTACAGACCGTAGAAATAATTTCATGAAATCATTATCACTTGACAGTTCCCGGGCATATCGCTTAGTCCGAGGGCTAATGGATGTGTCGTAGAGAGAGAGGATAACAGTAACATCAGAACCGTATAGTAAAGAAATAATAGGAATTATTAGATACGATAGCGGTACACGGTGAACGCCATTTTTACCTTGATGAATCTATCCGTCACACGGCAACAGCCAAGCTGATTTTATACCAATTAACGTTAATTCTTATGATGAGGATACAAAGAGGGATGACTTACCCTCTCGAAAGAACACCCCGGAACACTATTTCACCCTAAAACTCGCATAAAAACTTTACAATTACACGACAAAAACCACCGAAAGATCCACCCAAGTTCCTTTCACACACTCGACCGGCGCGCAACTGACCGGAGTCACACGGCGTCGACCTACGCTAGGAGATTATAGTTCCTCAACACTAACGCCACGAGCGATCAAATTGTACGGATAAAAATCCACCGACACTGACAATTTTATTTAAAAAAACACTCAGTGGTCCTTGCAAACCGAATTATATATTTTCTGTCTCTTATTTTTCTCTGAACTAAACCTCCAGAGATACTGTAAAGACGTAGAAGTTTCTGGGGCCCCTGTACTTTACGACGATCAGTTCCACATTTAATCTTATTAATGTTTGTTAGATTTACTTGTCAAAATTTAGGGTATATTTGACGAATTTGTATAATAACTATAAATCAAATGATCTTAATACTTACTAAAACAATTGAATCCCACTCTGAATCATAATGATTTTTGAGAAAATCATTTTCAGAGAGACAAATCTTTTCGAACACAGTATACAATAAAGGTTTTAGATTTAAAAAATTCTAAAAATAATATTTAAATTAGATAGTTCAACAGCTTTGAGTCTTAATCGTAATTCTCATATCTATTTAGTAAAAATGTTCTATTATCTATACCAAACTGTTTTTGTCAAAGTTCGTCTACAACAACATTTGAAATTCTATAAGAAAATTCATATAGTTGAAACCTATTTAAGGACATTATATCATTTAATGTTGTTATCATATACGATGAATAATTCATATAAATACAGGAGCAGGGCCTGTGTTCATCTGTAGTCGGACCTGCATTTTTGTGTGTACATACCACCGGGCGTAGGAATACAAGATAGCTTATGACATCATCAGCCCCGTTTATACATTTTCTGGGCCGGGCACGCCCCATCTTTTCACATAATTTGTTACTTCTGACTTTATTCATCATTTTTGCTACGCGACATTCCCTATCTCATTGGATAATAGTAAAACAAGTTCAAAGGGCCAGGTATGGGATTATTAGGAAGAACGTACATACGTATATCTACGTAGATATTTTATTTCTAAAAGACATGCGCACCCGTAAATACTAGAAAACCAACTCCCTCTCAAATATTCTCAGCTGTTTAGAGGGTTACGGAACATAAACAAAATTACGAAATCTTAGAGCAGGAAATGAACCGGAAGTAATCTAGGAATATATAATGATAATTCATCGGGGATTCTCCTTTTTTTCTATGTCGTTTATTTAATTATAATCTCTTGGCTTGTTTTCTAGAACAGCAAGACTATTTATATATTAGTTTTTCACTGTATAAAAGCATATTTATTCTTTTATACCTAATAAGTCAATAAAACTACGAGTATAAAGTGTTAATACCGTACACATTCTTATTATGACGATCAATTCTTATAACAAGTTATACAAACTGCAGTCTATTACGTATAGTGATCTTTTAACGATACTGCCTTGATACTTATACGTATATATGTATATGGATTATGGGATGCTTGATGCGTTACGATCTGCGGTCCTGACAAGAATAATGCACTATGTCGCCATTGGGATATCTTGCAAATGCGCTGTAAAAGACATCTGATTAGTCATTTATTTTTTGGAATGGATGATGTCTCCCTTATGTTTATAGTTACCTTTGGTTGCCAAATCTTTTTTTACATACAGGACATATATTGAATTCTGTCATGAGGACACTTTGAGATTCATAATGCATACGTCGCTCTTGGACCTGCAGATGCTCTGCATACAGTAAACCTTTGAGAACTTGAGTACGCCGCTTTTCATTTAAATTATTTTGCAAGCTAGCTTCTAAAAAATGTCTTATTCTACCAATTGGAACACTATCCGGTAATACCTCTAGTGCCTTCAAGGGATTTATTTTAGATGCATGCTCTTCGAGCAGCTCCAATGCTGTTTCCAAATCTGGTTGTGCAGTTTTTTGAATTTTTGAACTGCATCCTAATTGCGTATTGATTATTCATCAGTTTTATATAAATACGTTATTTGCATAATTGTATGATACGTACCTGCCATTAAAACACCTTCATTATCTGGTTTTAACAATTGCTGTATTAGCGTCACGTATACTTCATCAACACCATCGTGTTGCTGCTTAACCTTGTCTGCATTTGTCTGATCTAAAAATATATAATGGTTAAATATTTATATCACTTTTGATTCTGTTGAAGCATCAGTAGTTGTAGAATATTTACTTTGAAATCTTGCATATACATTGTTACAATACTGAATTGCTCTGGGAATGTCATTTAATAAATTCATATAAATAGATATAGCTTGCTTATGACGTCCGAGACGACCAAGAATTATGGCACGTTCTTCAAAAAGAGAATCAAATGGAAAATGAGCTAAGACCGTTTCTGGTGTATAGTATTGTGACTTTTCCAAAAACTGTTGCAACTTTTGTCTAATGTGCTGAGCATTTTGTTTCTCAGCTGGTGTTGCATCTGCACTCATAGACGTTAAACACTTTTCTTTATATTGATGTACCAAAACATTGTGAAACAAAGGATTGGTATCCTCCCAGAGATGCACCACGTGTTCTAAATAAGTTATCACTAGATCTTTATGACAGCGAAGAAGATAGTCTAGAATCTTTGGTCTTTGTAGATGTTCTACTTCCTGAAAGAAATATATAAATGATATAATCTTGGAATATACATTTAAAAATAAATCAAGTACTTAATTTGAAGTTTATGGTTCTTGCCTGAACGTCTTCCATGAATATACGAAGGCCTTGCTCGGGATCCTGCTCCAGTACCCATCCCGCAAATTTTAGTATCAGATCTATGTGATCTTTGCCAAGATGCTGTAAATACTGAATCGTTCTTTCTGTGCCTCTAAGACTAGAATCACTTTCTCTCGCTTGTTTTTCCAATAATTCCAAAGCTTTTTTGTGTTGTCCTTTGGTTTGATATAAGATTATTAATTCTGGATACTTTTGATGCTTTAAAAGCGTCTTTTCAGCTTCTGGCAAGTGACAGTGATTCAGGCGTAGCAACGGTGCTACTAATGCATCATTAGTCTGGAAGTTTTAATTGTACAATATATTTATACATGGAAAGAATTATTACATATATTACATATAAATACCTGTAAATAACATTTGAGCAAAGTAGTATCAATGATTTTTAGAAGTTGTTCCGTTGCAACTGCAGTCATGTTTTTTGTCTTTTCACCTTGTACTAATTCCCTTTCCCCAATTTTTCCATTTTTATCTTTCTCCTTTGTTTTAGTGTCCCCCATTAGTTTATGCCTGACCTCAGTTAGAAACTCAATCAAAGCTAGTAAACCATTTTCAAGGTCTCTATCTTCAAGTTTTGGTAAACCTGTTATCGGCTCATTAATTTCATTTGCATTCGTTGACTGAGGTACTAGATCAGGAAATAATCTTATTACTTCATAGGGATCTGTACCCAGTTTAAGAAATTGTTCCATTGCCTCTTGGAACTTTTTGTTACAGAAAAGATGATGTGCATACAAGGTTTGGATATTGTATATCTTTTTTGATTTCTCCTCTTCTGTAATATCAGATAAACTCTACAAAAGAGATCATTTTTCAAGATGAGTGCTGATATGAAATTTAAGTTGTTAGAGTAGCAGTTAGTTTGAAGGGTTTACCGTTAGTTTTAAGGCAAGTTGAAATTGATTTTGTTCCAGAATCGTTCTGATCTGTTGAGCAACATCGACAGCCCTTATACACCAGACTTGACTCATTGATGCTATGTAAACTATGCCTTGTTTGCATCTGAATATTAATCTAGCTTTATTAAGATCAGGTATTGTCTGAATCTGTAAGCAACCTTCTAATGTATATACCTCCAACGTGTCGTGAACAATTCCAAGAAGGTATGGATCATCCCAAGCTGTAATGATATGGACAAACATTGAAATATAGGATTACTTAAATCTAATATTATTTACCATATACCTATGGCACTGGGTGAATCCGACCATTTGATAGAATTGTGCTGAATTAATTCTCCCTTGGTATTCATTATAATAGATTGTGAATCTTTGCCTAGAGCAAATGAAGAATCAGATAGCTTTGTAATACTGGGCTCTGGTGATTTTCCAGTTGGAAATAATTCTGTGCTTGTTCGATCAAAGTCCAACAGAGTGTACGATAATCCACGAAAACCTAATATTAATGTTTCTCCGCACCTTTTAATTTTATGCAGAAATAAATCTTTGTTTTCTTAAACTGCCATTAATCTGTATCAGCATAAGAATAAAAATGATATATTATACCATGATAATTCACGTGGAATGTCAGGGACTGTTAATTCATTACAAAAATCTTTAAACTGATTCTCTTTGCCTTTCCAATAATATAATTGTAGTTTGCGTTTTACTGCAACACACAAGCGGACGACAGTATTTTTTTCTCCTGTCAAACTTTGAGTCTGCTGCACATCTAAGGCAAACAGTGTTGCTCCACGTGTTTTCGGTAGCTGACACATTTGCTGAATATTTGGTGATGACAGATCGTGAACACATACTATACTATCTAAAATAAAGAATATTTGTTGTATCTTGTGCTACAAGCATTTCTTGTTTGTGCATATAGCAATACCTGTGAGAAGAATCAACAAATTGTAGTCTGGTACAACATCAACCTGTACAATTCTTTTTTTGCTAAAATTTTTGCTGTACCGTAACAGCTCCAACTTATGATTATCATCCAACTTTGGTGGAACATTATACATTAACAAATGACCTTCCCTTGTTCCAATAAGTAAGTTGTCATCTTTAAAAAAAAGCATTGAATTATATATAATAAGATTAATTAAAAATGAAGAAATGTTAGAATTACGCATTCAAGTGAATAATTATATACCATAAGCTGCCATAGATTCAATCTGGACAGACAATTTTAAAATAGTTATAGCTTCGTAAGCGTCGTGCATCTTGACGCGATGAATATACTAACATCTGCTAAAATTTATAAAATATTATCAAAATGTAAATACTCAAATTTTCACGTTTTGCAATTGCACAGATTTTGGACTGATTGGACTGATGCTTTGTTTCACTGCTTATAGCCCATTCACACTTGTCAAACGCGCGTTAGAACACAGACTGTCGACCAATGGTATAACACGTCCACAGGAATTCACGTTGTGTTATTAGTCGGGACTTGCGTTGAAACGCGCCTTTGACGAGTGTGACTTGGCCCGTCAGCCCTTATAGACCCAACTATGGCTTAATTTCCACCGTGCAGGGTTGAAATAGAATTATGCAGCCTCATTGGTTAATTCCATTCAACTCCTATACATGACTGGTTAACTCTATTTACTCTGCACGGTGAAAACTAATGTTTTGACTACGTTTACACGGTGGTCTTAAACCGGTTTAGCTAATACTGATCTAAAGGAATTGACCAATTCCAAATATTTTTACAAGTGAAAATGTCTATTATTTGTCTATTCCTTTAGATCAGTATTAACTGAACCGGTTTAAGACCGTCGTGTAAACGTGATCATAGATGCACGTTGATTGTAGATTTATATGTCATCCGTAAAGATACCGTAAGATTTACGCCAATGACAGTACGTCCACAGTATTTTACGCATATGGATGTACTTTGATTAGCCTATATGGTTATAATTGTAATGCGCGCGAAACCCTTATAGCTTAAATTCTTCATGCTATTGGCTGTTGATCAATTGTCATTTTCTGGAGAACCAATGGGACGTTTAGTTCTCCTAGATTGCGGATGTAATTGCTGTGTAAAGTTTATTTTAACATTAGACAAAACAAGATTATAGATCAAAGTAAACATTTTTCAAGCATCTATGATATTCATTTAAAGTATTTAAAAATTTTATCAGACTTAGCGTGTTCAATTGCTACGTAAATTATTCGTATTGAATTGAGGAATAGTATTCTGAGACTGTATACAAAGGAACTTTATTGAAGTGTTTATTCATTGTCTTTATTGAAAGTTAGTGTTTATTTATAACTTTTATATGGCAAACTAAATTGCAAAGTTGCTGAAGTTTACGAAAAATTGAATGAATCAAAGAGTGTTTATGTTTAAATAAAAGAAGCACTTAAGAGTTTAGTAACGACAATGAATGATCAGTGTGTTTATGGAAATGGAGAGGTATATTTCTCATTGTAGATCTTATATCTATGAATTATTAACATTCCTTTATTAAATTCTTGTTGCCCTCGTTACATATTTATTTTGTAGAATTTATAACAAATAAGTCAGTAAGAAATTGAAATGATTATAAAAGGTTATGTAAAATTTAAAATTGCATACGATATATTATTTCTATATAATTTTATATACCTTTCAGATGTTGTCTGCTGAAGAATCACCAGCAAAACAGAAATTGAAAGGATGGCTTAATAGAAGCCTAAAGATAAAAATGACTGACGGAAGAGTGTTGATCGGTGCATTTTTATGTACTGACCGTGATGCGAATGTTATATTAGGTACATGTTCAGAATTTCTTTCTGAAGAACACACAGTACCCAGAGTATTAGGCTCAGTAATGGTACCTGGTAGGCATATAGTATCTATCCATTTGGATGCTTAAATGAAAATATAAAATTTATATATAATACTGCAATAAATATAATTCAGAAAGTCTTGTACAGTGATTATGTGAATATTATATGTATTAAATAATAATAGTGTAGCATAACTGACAAATTCATGTCAGAGAAGAACAGAGTAAAAATGCATTTGGCTAACGTTAACCCTGGTTGCCTCCAAATTGGACCTTACCGAATGATGGATACGTCCAATCGGATTCTGCGGTTAGTTCCACATTACCTAAGATGCAATTTTTCCGATGTTACGAAAAAAGTCCTCCGAATGGGTTAAATGTGTTTGCTACAAAGTTACTTGTAAGCTAACCCATGTCCGAAAGTCGACTTTCGGGTGTCGAATATCTTTAGGATGTCTTTTTGACGGACATATGTAACACATTCAGATGACTTTTTCGAAACATCGAAAAAATTGCTACCTGGGATATCATACATAATCCATTGTACATTTTTCCCGCCATTTATTTATCCTGGACGGTTGATACTACTGTTTCTACTTTTTTTACACTCAACATGAATTATAGGATGAAAATTTCATTGAACAATTAAAAATCATACAAATAAATTAAAAGTATTACCCCATCCTGAGTGATTAACGTATTGTCAAATAGTGAATGAGTAGTAACGCGTTGCTATGACTGTATGTACACGAAATTTCATTCGATTCCGCGGGTTGTTGGCCATATTGCGCAATGAAAGACGCCAGCGTCCGTGCGCAAGAAGTCGGGTTGACTCGCAGCACGATGTATCGCTGAAAAAACCGGGGCTTCCCGTAAAGCACCTGATGTTTTCGTGAAAAAAGTGGTGATAAACGTTTCCTTCGGCAGAAGGAAGTGTTTCGAGTATATTTCCAAGGTAGGAGCCCAACCTGCGGGTGAGTAAAATGAAATATTCCTCAATTCCACCATCTACCGCACTATTCATCATCCAAACAAGATGGCTACGTGTTGGCCTTCTTGGCGGTTCTGTTTATTTCATTGAGTACCTTTTCGGCTTGTGATTACGTGAGACTGATTTGTAGTGCAAATATCAGTTTTTCGTGCCAAATATTCGTGCAGTGTTTGTACATTCAGGTCTGATACATTATCATTTTTTCGCAATGTTTTGTAAACACTACTGTAGAAGTAGTGCAGTTACTCGTATACATAGTTGAATTCTCATTTTTATCTGGAAACAAGGCGTTTTAGTCGTTTGGCTCCTTATATGGGCTCCATTCGCGTAGATTACGTTTACAGTTGGTTTACACGAATGGATAATCTTTTTATTGCTGTTATGATCACGTGATTTTTTACACAATACTAATATTTTCATCTACAGATTTTTAGTATTTTGTAGCAAATATCTTCTACAGAAAATTAAACCAATTTAACGATGATGTATGTCTTTAATGATAAATAATAGACTCATCATGTTTTGTAGCTTATATACATTATTTATATGGTGTTGAAATATTATCTTTTTAAATATGAACAAGATTGTTTTTGTTCCAACCAATTTAAATATAATTCTCCAACAACACATGTTCCTATATATGAAAGGAATATTAATAATCTATTATTAAATATTAAATAACTTAATAAAAATATTATAACAAAGATTTTGAGATTGTTCATCCATTTCAGAATAAATAAAATGTCCAGTTCGTACATTGTGGAGCCGCAAGAAAGTGGGTCCAAAAAGGATGATACTTTAATTATCGTTGTTAACGATGATGGAACAATTTCTGTTGATCAAGATACTCTGCAAAATTTAATAAGTAAGCACAAACTAACCTAATGGATATATTTGAATTTCTTTTTATAAATTCTAAATATTATATGCGATCTTTCAGTGAATCAGTCTAATGCAAATGTCAGTGTTGTGAGACTGGGTCAAACTGAGGGTGACACTGGAAATGGTGATATAACATTGACAGTTGACCCACCTACATTTAGCCAGCCAGAGTCAAGTACATCGACTAGCAATGCAGTAACAACAGATTCAAGTGGTCTGGTGGACCCATTTATGGAAATGGACCCAGAGCAATTGGAAAGGTTGGAAACAGCTTTGCAAAGTGAAGAAGCTAAACAAATCCTTGGAGAGAATGTTACTGCTATGCTTGGTTAGTTAGAATTTGAATATTTTATTATACTACATCAACTGTATCATGTAATAGAATATGTTTGAACAATGTGACAATCTCTTATTTCAGATATGCTGACAGTAGAGGAGCAGCAAAACTCTTTGAAACACAGCATAGAATTAGATCATTGCTACACCAGCTGCCTGTCCCCATCAGATCCCAAACCAAATGATCCATTACCTGTTGCTCATTCCCCTGATATTAATGATATGCAATTTATGCATACGACATCATCTCAACCACCTTTAGAATCTGTATCTACAACAGTCAAGCCTAAAACAATTACTAAAGTAGTAAGTATTATTAAATATATTGTAATAGAATTCTTCCTAAATATTAATGCAAAACAATTTTTTGAACAGGTTAAAGCACCAGGTAGGCCTCGAAAAGATGCCAAAACAAGTATATCACACATCGCAGGAACTCCCAAATCCACAGGGAATACAATACCGCGAAATATGTTAAATCTGGTGCAACAAGGATCTAATAAAGGTACATCTCATCCTTGTACTATGTATTTTCAAATTAATTTATTGACCCATACAATCATAACATCACAAGTTTAACTAAAATTGTAAGATTAAGAAACAATCCTGTGGCACTTCTGAGATTCCATTCTTTATTTCTTATATGATTACGTGTTATTGAAAGGTTACTTATTTACAGCAACGGCACGAACAAATGATGGAGCTGTCGACGAAGACGATTTGTCTGATTCTTCTGAGGAATCTTCTGAATTTGAGCAGCCATCTGACAATGACTCCGATTTTGGACCTCGTGGACCTAGACGAGGAGGAGGTTCTGGTTTAAGAGCAAGAGGTGGACGCAAAGGTCTCACCACCAGAGGTGGTAGTATGACTGCAACGCGTAGACGAGGTCCAAACAAGCATATGGATATAGAACAAGTGCGACGCTTGGACATGGAGATGGCTGCTGCCGTAGATGCTATGAAGAGTCCTGAAAAAGATGACAAGTCTGGTATGGCTTCCAAGCAACTATATTTGTAAATTTAATAAGAATTGCCGAATTAATTATGCTTCATGTTGCTTTGTTATATTTACAGAGAAATTCAGTCCGCTGAAGACCAAAAAACAACTAAAGACACTTAGCCGAAAAAAAGAAGATGCTTCCCTACACGGTGTAAACACCACAGAGAGTTCCGAAGTATATGAGAAACCTCTACAGACGACGAATCAAGTCAAGGCAAATTTAATTAATGCTAATATGATCAAAGGGGATATGATTCTCACTAAACCCGGCCAGGCAAAGAATAATCACAAGATGATGTTCCTTCAGAAACAAGTAGTAATGAAAGGAGGTGAAATAAAAAATGTTGCTGGAAAGAAGCAGTTAGTTGTTTCAAAAAACACGTTGAATCAGGTAAACTCAAAAATTACTACGACTATGAAAGATGGAAAATTAATGGCGGTATCAATGGCCTCAAAGACGAGTGCACAAGGAGCTCCAAAAATTGCATCACCTCAAATACCTACTCAACAACAACAACAACTGCAATCACAACAATTAGCACAGCAGCCGCAAAAGATCGTGGCTGCTACAGTGCCGGCTAAGATAAAGCCTGAACTGAAGAAGGAAAAGAAGAAGTCCGAGAGTTCTACTGAATCTTTGCCAAAGATCGATGTTGATCTGGTGAAGCTGGCTGAGCCAAAAACTCCTGACTGTAAGTAAAAATGAGCAATAATTTTTTTTTTAAATAAGCTATAATGTCCACAATTATTACAGCTGCTAAGAAACATCAGAAGAAAGAACACCGAAAGTCACCAGCTCACTTGGATGCTTTGGGACCGGCTCTGTTTTCAACTCCTGATATCATTCGACGTGTCGGTTCTGGTGGTGAATCTAAAGTCCCAGATAGTCCTCTGACCCCTACTACGCCAACTTCAAGTATTGGTTTTGTCTCTACTGCAAACTCATCGATAAATGTCTCTACGGCGCAGATGACTGCCATGTTGTCCGAACATAAAGTGGGAGTTGTTGGTTCTCTTGATGACTCTCTGTTATCAGATTCGCAAATGGAAACTGAAGATCATTCGGTTGGTCAAACAGGCAGTGATGAACAGAAATCAGAAATGAAGGCTCCGTTGGCTGAGGAGTTACAATCTTCTTTAGATCCTGGTACGTTGAAATAATATCTAAATGCTTGCACTTAGTCCAAAATAAAAAATATAGTTTTTCTCCTGCAAATACTGCTATTTATTTAATTTTATTTGAAATATCGCTGCATGTATTACGTTTATGTTAGCAAACTGTCTCATCTTTTCATTAGCTTCGAACACAACACCAGCCGAGGGTATTACACAACCCGCAGAACAGGCAGTTGTTCCAAATCATATTGTTTCTGAACAAGGTAAGTTTTTTTTATGATTTAGTTTTTTTTTTGTAGCGCGCAAAATCATTCTCTTTCAGTTTTTTTCTGACATAACATAATTATATCTTCGAAAAATATATCTTCGTTTCACCACCAACTCCACGAGCATGTATTTTATTTCAGGTGGAATTGAAGGCGAAGAACATCTCCTGGCCACATTAGAAATGGAGGCAAATAAACATGAAGAGGAATTGCTTGCAGAAGCATTACTTCTTCAAGAAGAACTTGGTGTAGATTTAGCTGACCATGTAAGTAACTGATACAATGTGATTTTTTAAATATTTGACACGCAACAATCTAATAAAAAAAAATCTTTGTGTACAGCCTTTGGTTGATCAAACTCCAACCGTGGCAGAGCCATTACTGCCAGCTCCGACGTTAGTCCCTCCAGCAATCATAACGCAGGATCAGGAACAGGTAAAGAAACAAGACATCTTATCAATCGCAGCTACACCATCAATGGCTGCAGAACCTGGCAAAAGGAGTACGAAAGATGAGAAGGAACCTATTCAGATTGTACGCGGTGGTCGTGTCATAACTCTACCCCCTATTGAAGCACCAGCAACACGCAGCAAGAGATTGCAGGCTAAGAATGAATCTCCACAAAAGAAGCCAGAAGTTCTTAAGAAGAATGACAAGTACACGTGAGTCTTATATATTATATATAAACAGTTATTAGCAATATTCATTGTGCTTTCTTCTATAATTTTTATTACAACGTCTTGCGTGTTTAGTAAGCAAATGCTGTTACACCACCAAGAATTGCAATTGCACCAGCAGCAATTACAAGCGGAGAAGGAGGAGATGGAATCAGAAATGGATGAAGACGACGAGGAAGAGGATAATTCCGATTCCGAAGATGATCCTGACAGACTATGGTGCATTTGCAAACGACCCCATAACAATCGTTTTATGATTTGTTGTGACGTTTGTGAGGACTGGTTTCACGGGAAGTGTGTACACGTCAGTAAGGCTATGGGTAAGGTTTAGTAATATTTGCAATCACTTGAAGTTTATTTGGAGCCAGAATAAAATTTCATTTAATTTGATAAACAGGGCAACAAATGGAAGAGAAGGGAATAGAGTGGGTTTGTCCTAATTGTACAAAGAAAAAAGCTGAAGAGACTAAAGCCAAGTCCGTTCCACAACCTGTGACTCCAAAACAACATAAAGCACCAGAACTATCTGTAAAACAATCTGTTGTGCAACAGAATTTATCATCGCCATCCACTCAGACAACATCGTACATTTCTGCCAGTTTGCCTTCCACGCAAAACTCTGCACCATTTGCTGGTGTGACTCAGTGTGTCGTTTGCAAAAAGGAAGCAAGAAATTCTAGTATTTACTGTTCAGATGCTTGCATCTTGACGCATGCACAGGAATCATTGACGAAGGATAAACCGGATAAGCCAGATAAGCCTCCTGTACCAGTGTCAACCGCAAAAACATTGAAGTTACCCACATCTTCTGACTCTCCAAAAACAAAATCTGATCCAAGAGTCATTGTTTTTGAAAGGAGAACTGGAAAAGTTTTAACTGGTTGGTGCAACTTATTTTTAAAGTTACCTGTAATTCCTTGTCCTTTGTAACTTTTAATATGCCAATTTGAAAATCTTTCAGGCTTAGATGCGCCAACGACGTCAAACTTGAAAACTTGGCTTAAGGAAAATCCTACATTTGAGGTGGTGCGACCGAATAACCTCAATACGCTACAAATAGGTGGCAAATCAGTAACGGCTATACAAACTCAAGGAATGACTAAAATTGTACGTTCATTGACAATATTAGAAAAAACATTTTGAATGTTTTGCGCGTGTACATAATTATTATAAACTATAAAAATGTGATTCTTTTACAGGGTAAATCGGTGTCACAAGCCGGCGGCAAAACACAGGGCAATCCTAAGATGGTTTATACAAAGGTGTTTGGTTCTAAACAAACTGTTTTAGCTCCCAGTCATAAGAAACTCTTAGTTACATCAGGTGCGCAGCAGCAACAAACAAACTCATCTCCACAGACGAAGACAGTTCAATCTAAACAGACACTGATCACGGCCTCCTTGAAACCAGTATCCGTGACAGCGAAGCAACAAACTAGTGGTAAAACGATGGTACAGCAATCAAGGTCACAGGCAGTGGCTTCCCCGAAGCCTACATTAAGCAAAAAGCAGGAACCTAAGGCCTCCACATCCCAACAAAAACTACCGATGAAATCGCCAGTAGCTAAGAAATCTGAGCCTGAACCTATAAGAATAAATATTCGAAAAACCTTAACCGAGTTGCTTTCGAGTAGAATAAAAGAAACACACGACCTGAAATTAACTGATGAAGAAATCGGTGAATTAGCTCTTAACATTGAACTTGAATTGTACAAGTTCTTTAAAGACACTGGTGCTAAGTATAAAGCAAAATATCGAAGTCTTGTCTTTAATATAAAGGATACGAAGAACTTGACATTATTTAGAAAAATAGCTGACAGGTCTCTCACTCCTGATGCAGTGGTAAGGTTAAGTCCTGACGAAATGGCAAGTCAAGAATTGGCTGAATGGCGTGAAAAGGAAACGAAGCATCAATTAGAAATGATAAAAAAGAATGAGTTGGATTTAATGGCACAAGCTAAATCAATTGTCGTGAAGACGCACAAAGGAGAGCAGATTATTGAGAACGATGGTGGTATAGATCACGTGGATCCAAAGACTCCGGTTCAGGACATTGTGACAGCATTGAATAGTGGTGAAAATATTACCTCCACCATAGAAGATGATAAGGACAAGGATGACAATTTAAAGTCAAAGGATGATATGAAGAAACTAAAGAATGGCGAGGATAAAAAGAAGAAGGATAAGGACCGCAATAAAGATAAACAGGAGAGGAGTCAAAGTAGGAGTAGAAGACATCGTAGTAGGGAAAGGGAACATAGCAAGACAAGAGAAAGAAGTAGGGACAGAAGATCAACAAGGAATAAAGAAAGTAAAAGAGACAAAGATAAAGATAGGGAACGGGATAAGGAACGTGAGAAAGAAAAAGATCGTGAAAGGGATAAGGACAAAGATAAGGAACGCGAGAAGAAGGATAAAGTAAAATATAAAAAAAGTAAAAGTAATACATCGTCTACACGTAGTAGGGCAGGTCATAGGGACAGTACTAATAAGGAGAAAGACAAGAAGGAGGACGATCGGAAGAAGGAAGCTGAGAAGAAGAAAGAACCAACTCCTCCGCCAGTTGATAAACCAATTGAAGATAGACTCTGGCGACATATTGAAGAAGAAACGACCACAAATACATTAGATGGTAATGAATCTGATGTATCCGATCGGGAACCCAGTTCTACTGTTAATATTAAAACCCCAGACATCAATGAGGAGCCGGAACGAGAAAAGGACCCTGAGCTCGAGAAGGACATACCAAGAGGTCCTCTGCAAACAGTCTGGCGAGGTTTTGTCAACATGGTGGATGTGGCAAAGTTCTTTATCACAGCCCAAGAAATAAGTGGCCACGCCCGTGACCTTATGGAGGATCTACCAGATACCGTAGATGTTGTTGGTAGGATAAGTCATGAGACTGTGTGGGATTATATTTCAAAAATGAAAAAGACAGGCTCTAAAGAGATTCTAGTTATTCGATTGACGGCAGCAAATGATGAGGAGAAAATACCATACATAACATTGTACAGTTATCTGAACAGTAGAAGCCGTCTAGGTGTAGTAGGAAATGTTTCAAAGAATATAAAGGACTTTTATATAATGCCATTCTCTAATCAGAGTTCCATACCGCAAGTCCTGCTACCATTAGATGGTCCAGGATTCGAGGAGCAGAGACCACATCTTCTATTGGGAATTATAGTACGTAATAAGCGAAAACGCGTCGCAGCCATTCCTCCTGTGGTACCAGCTAAAGTCAGCAAGAAGGAACCGGATCGCAGTTATACACCGCCACTGGTGAACATTCCTAAGGAAAAGAGTAGCACAACGCCTCCATCATCGCCTAAGGTTCATAAATCATCGACCCTCGATGTGATCAAGGAAAAGCAACCTGTGACGCAGATGACCTTGGAAACATTAAACAAAGCACAAGTGGGAATGTCCAGAAGTATTATAGATACTGCGACTATTTCTAAGATTGTACCGGAACTGTCATCTAAGTTAGACTTGACGTCATCGCCCAAGGCAACGTTAGAAGATGATGGAGATGAACCATACAGTCCGGGGGATATTGACGACGACAATGTCAATGAGGGGCTCCCAGTGGTTGTAGATCCTGCAGTCAATATATTGTCACCCACAAAGAATTCCACAGAGTTACAGAGAAAAATGGACGAACTTAATAGGCAGATTGAAGAACAGAAACAACAAATTCAAAATATCAGCTCCTCATTCCTCGGAGAGACTACTACTGCTACCCTGCCGGTGAGAATTTTATCAAGATACATTTTCCACACGTCAGACTGCCATTGTTTTTCTTACTCTTTTGCTGTAAATAAAATTTGTTTCGATTATCCTTCAATCACATCCAGCCTATCCTTGTCCATTTGAGCTGCCCAGATTTTTTACTTTCCGCATGGTTACTATCGCTCTTCGAGACTTCATACTTGGAAAACTTTACAGAATTAGAAAGAGAACATTTTATCAATTAAACGTTCCGAGGAGGACATTCTCAACATTATATTATATAAGTCAATATTTTTGTAACTTATAGAAATCAGGATTCCATGAATTCTTTGACTACAATATATATATAGCATCTTTATAGTCACAAAACGGAAGTCTGGTATTTATATCTGTTCAAAATGGAAATACTGTGATAATTGACTGTGATATATTCTATGTAATTTATAATAAAGAACAGAGCGTATATGAATTTTCCTTTAAGCTCTAGTTTACCAGAATTCTCCCAGAAATCAATCTCAATTATAACTTCTATATAGACTATAATCTAAGAGCAGCTCCATTTCCCTTCCACGTATTATATTATTCACAAAGTTAACATTTTCCTATAACATTCTAATATATTTTATTATTTTTCAGGGTTTGGGACTAGATCCGCCTGAGAGCAACGATGGTGATGAAGCCTACAGTCCGTCAGATACTCGTTCATTTACTCCACCACCTCCAGCTGGAATTTCCAAGTTTACTCAACCAATTCTCGATAAGGTCTCAGACATCACCATTCCACCAAATCTCCAGGAAATTCTAGCCAACGTGAAGAGGCAAGAAATTACTAAAGTGGATCCATATCTTCCATCAAAGCCTAGTGCAACCTTCCTAACTTCCGTGAAAAGCTCTATTTATCAGAAATCAGAAAAGTATCCATCAATATATCCGAAAACTCCGTCGGCAACAAGTAGACTATCCAGCGACAAGCAACAACAACCTTCGTTCGAGTCACAACCCACTGCCTCAAAGGAAAGTAAAAGCACCTTAAGATCATTGAGTGACCTAGATCTGATTAAGAAGGCCGAAGAAGAACTAGCTGCTGTAGCTGCAGCATCAACGATTACACCCGACCTAACGAAACCACCACCACCATTGCCATCACCTTCAGTAGCAGCAATTGTACCACCTGTAATCCATGTTCCTCCACCATCTGTATTAATCTCGACACCACCACCGACGATCACACCCCTGACGAAGACCTTTACCCCGATGGTTGATTCTGCAGAAAAAACTACAGCTTATCAGCCTAGCACGGTAGATCCCTTCAAAAAAGTCTTTGTTTCCGAACAACCAAAACCTCCTGGTCTCGAGGATGAAGAGTTTCCAGCGTTCCCGTCGACGCCACCGACACTAGAGTCTAGCCTAAAAACACCACCTTCGAAATTCGTACCTAAAAGTGGTATTGTGTTGAGTGTAAAGCGAAAAAACGATGATAATGTCGCAGCAGTACCGACTAAAACTGCAAGGACAAAATCAAGATGGGGCCAAGGACCTTCCGAGTGAAAATTATGGAACTCTTTGCTGTTTCTTTCTTTTCTCATAAGGATGAACATTGCTCTTATGATCGTTCAAGAAACGGGGTGAACTTTGTAATATTGCTTGTAATTTCTAGCTTAAATATTGGAGCTTTGGATGCTACTTCGGGGATCTCAATTAGGAACAATGACGGATTATTTCTTTAGGAAGAATCTTGGAGAATCCTACAAATTATTAAGATGGCGAAAGAGTGATAAGGTACCAGTGTTTTCAAAAACACAATTTTGAGATTCTTCGATGATAAATCGACGCGCGAAGATAATCCTCGCGGCCAAGGATTACTCAAAGGGACATTAATTTTAGATACTTCATTTAAATAATATAAGAACTGAATCTAATAGGACGTATCTTATCACACTGATAAGAAGGAACTATGACGTTCGATTAACACAAAATTTAAATATTTCAATACAACTTTTACATTTTCTTTTAGATCATAACAATCAGTCTTTGTTGCGTTCATATTTTTCATTCAAGACTAATAACAATATTGGGTGTGACAGTGAAGCAGGTCCAACCAGACATCCTTAATACAATGTATTAAAAATTGATTAGATTTTTTAAGAAGAATTCGATTACCAACGTGGAGATCATTTTACTCTTTTTTTAAGTTTTCTTTTTCTCATGTTGGTTATATCATTTAACGCGTTTCCTAAATTTCTCTTTAGGTGCGATAAGCGGATATACAGAGTACGCATTTGCTCCTAATAATAAATTACTGTTAATAACAGATAAGTATAATAGAAAGATCCTCTGTAAATCAGCATCCAAGCGCCGTATTACTGTAAATACCAAAGTGAGAGGCAGGAACGCAGAACACGCGTACGCAAACGAATACCGTATTATGTATAAGTGAAGATCTCATTGTTTGCGTTGTACATAGCCCAATAAAGACGTGTAAAATATTTTATGAGTAAAAAAATTAAAGGAACCAAAATTTTTCTGGCGTTATCGCATCTAAGAAGCGAGAGTAGGTGGAGTGAATCAGAATGCAATTGATCTTACATGTAACGAATGCTTTTTTTAGATGCAGGCTATGTAAATATTAAACGATATTTGTATTGGATGTTTATTAAAAAAAAAGAAAAAGAATCTGGCTGTATATTTCCAAACGGTACTCGTGCGCAAGGCGTGTTCAATATTCTTAATATCGTCTATTAATTTTATGTTCATCCAACAGGAGAGCTTTGTCATTTCTTTTGGGGAAAAAAAAACTAGAAAACTAAACCATAAAACCCACCTCCTTTCTCTCCTACGTTTTAGTAACTGTTAAGCACATGTATTCGTCTGCGAATGGAAAAAAATGGATATAAAGTACTAAAAGTAAGGCAACACAGACGAAATATTCATTATGCGGATATAATGATACTTATGTAATTGGAAGTATGTAAAGTTTATCGTTATAGCTTAGGACATGTGTATACAACTGTAATTCTAGAAAGAACGTCGAGAATGAATCTTTATGATGACAGACCAGTGATGGGTTTTTGTTTAAGACTATAATCATAAATTGTTTCTTCATTGCCACTTGTGTTTAAGTTATGATGACGTATTTGAATCATATTGAATTACAAAAAAATGCTTGTCTCCATTTTGAACGATTAACTGCATTGTACATTTTCTTAGGAATTACTAATTAATTAATATTTTCATATCGAATTATCACATGAGGCATAAATACATATGTGGTAAAGAAAATTCATTTATTTTTATGTTCATCCATTTTAATAACAATGCCATAATGTTATGTTACAATGAAGATATCGCTTTTGGAAAATTTCATTACTTTCTGTTAACGACAGGCATGTCAAGTCATAGTGTAAAATCGGAGGTGCAAATCATTAAGTTTTCTCATTAGTTAGCATATGATGTATCGTTATCAAATATTTTGTTGCTGTCTGCCATTTTTTGTATCATTTTTAATATAACCATTGTTTTGTATGACCAAGAAAGTTATAGTGTCACGCAGTGGCATTGCTGATGCAATAACCTCGAATTTGTAAATTTTTACAAAATTTAAATCGGTACTTTATCTCGTTCTTCGTAATAATTCTAGAAAAACATTGTACGGAAAATGTTTAATAAAATTGAACGGATGAATCTGAGAGACAAAAACTATAAATACACAGTAGAATTGCAAATTGTTAATATAATCTCTCTCACTTACCTTCTATTTATCTATCTTAATCATTCTGAATTGAAAACTAAATGCTGCTGGAAAAATCTAATTGGAATTTATCAAATTGTTACTTGCATCGGTGGTGTGTAATGCTCATTAATTTGGATGCTATTGCAATTTTATATTCGTTCGTAAATGACGAATTATGTGTTTCTCCAGCGATAGCTATGAAAATATTTGTTTATAATTAATTAATACATGAACGATTATCTTTTTCTCTTTTCTTTTTAATTCAAGCTATCCTGATTTAGATTCATTCTTCCCTCATAAAATTCTTCCGCATTCTCTTCGTTTTGTCTAGATGGATAGAGGGCGTTAATATTCATTTTAAGTAATAACTATTTTACATACGTACGTCGTCACATATTATGCAACAATAGTTTTCCGGTATGTTCGGTAGTCGGCGGAGTTAGGGGATAGAGATATATTCATACATAGTTTTCACTGTCGTTCCGTCTAATAACTCATCGTAATTAATCCCAGACTTTATTCACTTCATATTGTTGCGAACACTTCTATATAGAATTGAATAATTTTATTATTGATCCATCAAAACATATCCACAATTAATAATATGAATTCCTTAATGATTACAAAAGGAAACGAGCAATGCATTTGGTACATACACGTGTATATAATATATAACGAAATAAATATATATGCAAATTACAAGTTTATTAATAAATACATAATTTTAATTTTATCATAACGACATAATTCTTTTTTAAAATTGACAATTTACAAGTAATTAGAATTCGTACGAATTTGTATACCTATACAAGTTATTAGTTGATTATTATTCTTATCTTTGGGATTCTAATGTATTAAGCAACTTGACTATGCATTTATCTTAAAACGGTTTGGTGTTCTACTCTATGACCGCTTTATTATTTTTAAAAATATTCTTTACGAGAACCGTCATATCCGTATATAAACATTGACAAATATATTGTTTTTTGTTTTCTGTAGACTTATAATCACTAGCAGATTTGATTAAACGCTATTATACATAGTTTTAGTTTTTTTTGCTTTTAAATCATTTTAAATACGTTCTGTTGTATATTTAATTATGTGCAAAACGGATACATTGTTCAAAGGCAAAGTGACGGGTGATTTGGTACTATGATAGTTTTTATTTTATCATTTTCTGTATCAGTATAATATTGCTATATATCCTCAATAAAGTTGTGTTGAAATTTCATTTCAGTATTGTGATATTTAAATAGAAATTCAATAACGTGATGATAGATAATCGAAGGATTTATCGATTGTTTGTACAGTCCTAGACAAAATATATACCTGTATAGAATAACTGAAATTCTAAATCTAACTAGAACTCTTTTGTTTGTCTTAAATAATAAGAAATTGTTGCTTCGTAATGCTTAAAACTTTTACAAAATTGAAGATGATGTCATCGGAATGGTGAATAATGCTAATAAAAATATTTATATTTTTAGAGATTATTTTCATCGTGAAAAATGGCCATTGGTCGAATACTAGAGAAATACATAGGGATATTTTTCTCTTATATTTGGCTGCATTCCTTGAGGGTATTTGCCAGCGATTTCCGGTACTGCTTGCGTCCATTTTTCTTGACACGCGCAATGGAGAAGGAGCCATCTTGTTTGGGAGGCCGACGTGGCGGCCGGCTTGAGTTAAATTTCTTCATTCAAAATGGAGGAGGGACGTAAGTACAGCGTACTAAACACTCTACTATGTTTAATCTAATATATTTCTTTTTAACTTTTTGATCACAAGATATTTAATACTCTGTAAGAGTTTATGCTGTATTTCCAAAAATAGCATTCTCAACACTACTCTCCGTCCGATCATGGCAACTCAAATTTTTCATAGTACCTTGAAAGAGAACATGGATTTAATACTATTCCTATCAAATATTTTAATTTAATAGAAAACAATGATAATTTGGGATATTGTATTGTTTGTTCAGTTTTTGTACCTTGGTTAAGTAAATTGTTATGTGGCATCATACCATGTGCTTGTAAAGTATCTGATGATTTATATTATCCAATGTAATTCTGCAAGCATATTATTAGAAGTGCCACATATTGGCGTCCCATATATTAAAGTTCACCATCTATAGAATATCAGATAACTATATAATATAGAATATTTTGTATCTTTTTTGTTTAGATGTGTGGTGCCTGTTATTAATTGTACTAATAATGATGGCATGGTCGACGTCTAACCACCCGTCGACAGATTCTTATTTATCAGTGGCTGACAAAGCCAGATTCAAGAAAGTTATTGACCCTGGTTTTAAATTAGATGATCTATCGACAGCTTATTATGCTGTCATAGGATATCAACTGATTGAAGAACCCGTACCGAAGAGTGCTGTAAGATTTTAAATTATTTTATCGTTTAATTCTTAATATTACATATTTTACCAAATGATGAGAACCATGAATGCTGATTGTCAATGATTTTGATTAGTCTTACTGATGGTGACAATTACAGTAAAATTGATTAAGATTTTAAAAAACAATATACTCAAGCAGCAAATTTTTGTTTTTAGGAAATCTGCAAGTTTGTGCAGGATTCTGTAGGCGACGGCAGTGTTATTACACCAGAAAATGCATTTTATGCTGTTGGTATTTGGAAAGCTTTAGGAAGTTGTAAAGCTCTACCAAAAACTGCAATTGCTAAGGTCAATAAACATTATGTAATCTTTTACACATATTTTCACTAAGTTCAAATGATGTTTCAAAATAACTTTCGTTCTACTGCAAGAACCTTGAAGAAAACATTTATTACTGATTCTTATTCTTAGGTACCTATTTTGCTTCAATAAAAAAAAATACTTGATTCATTCTATGATAATTACAGGTATTAACTGCAGCAATTGAAAAGGATACGTCGGCCATTCCAGACTTGTATTTTGCAGTAAAAGCTTTAACGTCATTATCTGAAAAATTGTCAGAGTCAACTACAGGAAAATTGACAAAAACGCTACAAGCTGCTTTGAAGAAAGATGATAGCCTTTTGAAGTATGAAAAATAACTATTTGCTCTGATGATTTTATCCATAATATTTAAAGTAACGTGAAAATTAGTTTAATATTTCATTTTCAGCCTTGGTTATACTTTTAACATAGCGTCAGACCTTGGTCTAGCTGGTTTATTTGCGTTTGAACGCGTGGAAGATGCCGTGGTCCAGGCAGATGAAGTCGACGGCCGTTATTTGCAGTTCGAGGGCGGTCTTTCTGTAACTAGTAAGTTCTCCATAATATAAAATGCATTAAAGAAAAAATATGGATATTCATAATCAAGTATGATGTAGATAATACTTTCGTTCTACTGTAAGAATCTTGAAGAATTCTTTTAGACTGACTTTACTTTCATAAATAGTATGATTGAATTACGTTTATAGCAACAATTAATTACTCATTCTTCAATGTTTATAGGTCTTTTGATAAATGGAATCTTCAAGTTATCATCCTCTCTGAAGAAGACACCACCTGTAACAACAGGGCAGACCGTGAAACTGGCAAACTATCTTCTGTCACGTCGTTCTGTCCAAACACCCAAGGGGGTTGTTAGCCTCTTATCTTCCCTGACTACCTTGGCTAATAACGAATTCCATCATCCAATTTGTATCACCCTGGCTGATGGTGGCATCATTGTTTCTGCACAACAGCCTCTGATCAAGGTTAAGGTCTGCGATATTCTAGGAAGACCATTGTCAAAAACTCCTACTGTAGCAGTGAATACTGCGACTCGGATTGGCGATGATGCTGTAGTGATGAGCAAGAAGAATTTCCAAGCTTCTTCGGATAAGTAAGTACTGTTCGATGAGAATTGTATGTATGTATGTATATATATATACCCCGATATTTTGCTGAATCAGTTTTTTTAATTCCATATTGATTTCAGTTATACGCTTGGGGTAGATTAATTGTTAAATTATATACAATGGCCATATTCATATATGATAAGGGCTATTGAATTTAACATACATTACAGCTTCTCTAGTATCACTTGCGAACTGAGATAATCTTGTGATTTCTTTACAGAACATTGTTTACCGTGAATTTTATGGATATCAAACCAGAGCGTGGTTTCTACAACATATCCGTTTCAGCAGATTCTGTATCTAATATAGTCACCGTTAAAGTACTGTCGGAAGTCATCGTCGATTACCTTGAAATTGGAACTGGTGATGCTGATCAAACGACTCAACCAAAATTGACAAAGTAAATATTCTACAAGAAAAGCAATTCTTTTGCAGATATGTAAGTACTTTAAACAAAAACTTATTGAAAACACATCTATGTCCAGGGTTGTCTATCCCAATAAATTGGGTCAAAAGATTGAGGCTGACTCGCAACAAAAATTGGTTGTAAGATTCCTTCTGAAAGATGCAGCTAACAAAAAGCCAATTCGAGTTCACCAAGCTTTTGTGCGAATTTCGTCAGTTTCTGAATCAAAATCTGATAAACACGGACATGAAATTATTTTCGTGGCTGAACCCGATGCCTCTCACGTTTATAAGTTTGACATGGTAATTTTTCGATAATTATAAATATTGTACGATCTCTTTGAGCAAGAATATTTCTTTAATTTTTACTTGTAGCCTCTGGCGACAGCAGCCTCTACCTTTGGTTACCAAAGCGGTGATTACAACTTGGAGTTGGTAGTAGGAGATGCTGTATTAAGCAATTCCTTCCAGTGGACCGTAGCTGAAGTAAGCCTAAAATTCCCAGAACTACCTGCACCGGAACCATTCGTCCAAACAGGAAAGTCAGTTCCTTATAAACAGAAGCCTCTGATATATACACCGTTGCCAGAAATTAAGGTACAAATTATCATATAAGTAATTTAATTAAATAATTAAAAGCGCCAATGCTCGTTAGTGACAGATGACATCCAATTTGTCTGCCACTTCCATGTCATTGGCAAAGTAAAGGCCATCGTGCATATATATATATTTTTAGATCGTTTAATGATCTTAAAATGTCGCAATTTGACCGACACCTGTTTAAATAACTATGGAATTAGCTCTATGTAAAATTTAAAAATTAATGGTAATATTTTAACATTCCAGCATATGTTCCGTGAACCAGAAAAAAGGCCTCCAGTATTCGTGTCGAATCTATTCACTGGTCTATGTCTGCTACCTGTTTTGATACTGTTCATTCTATGGGCCAAACTAGGTGTGAATATTTCAAACTTCCCATTCTCTCTCAGCGCCGTTACTTTCCATCTTGGATTAGGCAGTAAGTAATTTGTATCATAAAGACAGATATCAATTTAATTACACTACGGGCCCAATGCTTGGCAGACGAAATTCTCTTGATCTCGTAGGCTTTCAATTGGGCAAACAGTAAAAATTGAATTTTTCACAGATGCAACATTGTAATTGTTGCATTTGCAGCCCGATATTCATGACAGCCTTATAACCCAAAGTCATGATTAGTGATCATTTTCGAAATCATGGGTAATCATCCATGTAACATCTTCTTTCTTTCAGGCATCTTTGTCCTTATGGGAATCTTCTGGCTGCAGCTGAATATGTTTGTGACCTTAAAATATCTTTTTGGTCTGAGCATTGTGACCTTCCTATCGGGCAACAAACTTCTCTCTTACATAGCTCACAGGAACAAGGGACGCTAATATCAGCACGATCATTTCTAATGTGTTCTAAATCATTTTGTCACCGTTATTTCAAGCAATTATCTTAAAGGACGAGGCGCTCAGTGAATAGCAACAGTTAACACAAGAAAGCGAACAGTAATCCGAGCCTTCGCTCGTCCAGTTTGTAAATAAAGAAGCGTGATGATAATATTGTTAATAATTAAATAGTACTATCAAAGTATTTAAAAGATCGTATACTATCATAGGGATAGTTTCTGTATGTACGCTTGCGCTTTGCGCCCACGAGTACTATTACGTTATAAGAGAATATTACTTAAGCAATTAAGTCGCGACACGGCTTGATTAAAATACCCAACGCTAAGTAGTAATTGTCAGAGGTTAAAATTATATCCACTATCCTTAGAATAGTCATAAAATAATAGCAAGTATCTATCTAGCTTCTTTATAGGCAAAAGTGACAAGGCGAGGGCAAATGAATATGATAATTTCTCATTCATTATCTATGACTGTCTACCTTCTTGATCACCACTGATCATAATTTACAATTTTTCTTATTAAATTCATAATTTCCCAGTAATGATAAAAAAAAACTATATAGGTTCGTTATTTTGCATTAATTCGTCACAAGATTATTACACTTATCAAGCACTTTAGAATACTATATTTGTGATAACTATACTTTAATTATATTGAAAATATTCTTATTATCAGTATAGTTATCGGCAATAGCTCTCCAAGTATAGCAGAATGCAAGACAGCGGATAAGTCCAATATGCGCTGTGAATGAGAATTACTACTACGAAACGTATAGTAACTAATTTAAGTCCACTCGACAAAGAGCGAGAAGGGTATAATAACTAAAAGGATCCTAAAGAATGATGGATCCAGTAAGCACTGCAAGTCCTATGATAAATGCATTTCTGGTAGTGTAGAAGGGGCGAAGAAAAGCTCGATTCGTGTGGGTTACACATTCCCGAGATAACACACCGGAAACCCACCCGGATTAAATAAGTTATTGATATATAAAAGTAGCTTTATGATTTTCTACCTGTACAGACTTGAAATAAATAATGGTACTACACTTTCATTATTTGTTCAATTATTTGTTCTGTCGCCAATGTAATATCTAGGGATTTTAGTTGTCGTTTATATCGATTGTGCGTTCAAGTATAAATTTCCATCTATTACTACCGGCTTCTTATTTACTTGAGGTAGCTTCGTTCTCTTTTCCCTACTTGGTGAAATCAAACTGCGACTGGCTATACAGTGTCGTAAACACTCACGCAAATGTCGAGATTCAAGTTTTAGTTTATCCCTTTCCATTCGTAATTCTGTTGTTGTTATCTGTGCCATACCTGCACGCCTCCAGAATTGTTCCAAATTCCGAATATTATCTATAACCTAAATAGTAAAATATAAAACCTCATAAACGTAAGTGCTTCTATCTTAATATTTTGCATAAGCATGAAAAGTTGTTGCTTACATTTGAGTGTCAGTTACGTTTAATTTACCTCACGACTTTTGTCCCAATCTAACGATACTAATTCCTTCTCAATATGATCGTCGAATACTACTTGAGCACTGAATGGTAATATCTTCTCATCCTGGGTTTCATATTTCCTACAAGTCTGAATCATTACCAGAAGATATTCGCCTTTTGTAATCAAACGCTGTAGATGTTGCATGGTACGATTATAATGACTTGTGATTATCGTCAATTGATTTTTATCTATGTTAGTTTCTAGAAACATCAATGCTAACAGATTTTATTAAGTTAGGTTAAGGTTGAGTATTATCTGCAGGCGGGTTCTTCAAGGTCTCAGGATACAACTTTTACACGGTTTTATGAGAATTAATTTTTTTACCCAAGAGAAAGCGATTCTTCGCCATCCAATAAGCAGAGTGAAAAAATGCATGTTCGCTCGCTATCTCAAAAACATCCTTATTTGCATTAGCTCGGAACGTGGTGATCTTTTCCTTGAGCTTCCTAATCGTCTCGAAGAGGATACCGGTTCGCACCACCTGCTTAGCAATGATCGTACGTTCCTCGTCGTCCTTAGTTTTAACACTAATATACATTTTACGACGATTGTCAGTACCTATATATAATAAAATAATATTTATGTTTATCGGTTATATTACAAAGAAGTACCCTTTACTTTTTTGATAATGTGTCAGAACACGTCGCAGACGGTGCCGAAGTTTAGCAATTTGTTTCTCTAAGACATTCCTTGCGATGCGCCTTGAATTATCATTGTCTTCTGCAAGTTCATTGACCTTGCCTGAACCACAAACAAAGTGTTCCAAAACTTTTTCCTCATAATACATATTTAAAAGTCAATAAATTATTTTTAAGGTTTTCACTTATAGTCATGCTCTTGATATTATTCAACAGCTCATCGAGACGGTGTTTCATGACTTTCATGATGTCTTGGAAAAACACCTCTTCTTCCTTATACTCATAACTGATCCTTTCATTCTCCACGTTCGCTGCATCGAGAATATCTTGAAGCTGATTTTGATACTTCATTTCTTCGTTTTGAAGTTTCACGCCATACAGTTTCATGAGTTTGTCTATATTTTCGATATGGGCTCTTTCGTTCGTTAAATATTGCTCCTCTGCCTCGTCCAGGGCGTCCATAAGAATACTGATACTGTAAATTCCATAAATATGAATAATATATGGAATAACGTATATCAGTAAGTAATGATACAGCACTTTTACAATGACTCACAAAATCTATGTGTTTTAAACGTTTATATTAGTGAATTGAGTAATACAAATGCCGACCTGTAGTTCTTAATGTCAAGGGTGCGGTCAAAGGTGTGCCAAGCGACTTCAAGGTTTTCTTTAATTACAGGCATCTTAGCGCGCATCGCCATCTCGCGCCATCTTCTTTTAAACCGTTTAATATTCAGAGCACCAAGTTCAACTTCTCGACGTAAATGTTCCCTTTTTAGAAACCGTTGACGTTCCTCTAATTGTTGCTGACGGTGTAGCCTCTTCTCGGCGGCCTTCTTCTTCTTCTTTAACAGTTTAATTGCATATTTAAGGAGAATCGAAAATATTTGAGGTGGTTGATTATTCAAACGTAGGAAGTGGGCTGGGAAGGAACTTCCTCCGCACTCTTTGCTTTAGTATCTATAAGCTGCCGTTGTAATGTGAATTGGCCGTCCACAGGCTCGAAACCGAATATTCTTAATTTTTTTCATTACGCTTTGAACGTACGTCGTTTCAGAATGAAAATTAATTTCCCTAGCAATATTATAAGACCTCGTGTATAAGAAGTAAGGTTATCCCTGAATTTTCTCAAAAATAACGTAAGCAAATGTCTTAAATTTTATACAATAAATGTATATCGTTTAAAGGAAAATTTCATAATTTTTCTGATCATTTTACCACAATACACCGACCTCCTTAAGGTTAGGTATATAATTTCTATAATTTCTAAATTTACTTAAAATTCCATTCAAAAAGATGACTCACTTTTGGCGGCATTTTTGATTCCCACCTATATATCGAGTACCAAAGTCCGTAAAAAGCCGATCTTCCAAAGAGTCCTATAAACGTAAAACGTTAAAATTACAGGTAAAGATAAATATATACAAACTGATTGGGAGCTTTAATATGTGTTTTGTTATTTTTACGATATATTAAAAATTGTACCTGAAAGACAGTTGCGTAATGACTAAGTTTTCAATGGAATCGAGTTGGCAGTTGAAACACGTATTTTTTATATCCACCTATATATATTAATAAACTACAGATATACATGTTCCTAGTGTCTTAAATCTTGTTCGATCAGGCGATAATCTTAGTCAATGACTTATCTCAAGTTTAAAGATTTCTTTCCGATATTAAATTAATTATGAGCAAATAATTCGACTTTTTAACCGCCCTTGACCACTTGTGCATATAGATTCATCAAAGTCCAACTTCTGCTGCTCGACACTCATGGTACTTTTACGTATGTATTATCATCGCAGTAAGGTCGAAGACACCTATAAATTTTATGGTCTTTTCATTTACATCCTCAGTCGCGCTTTAGCTTTTACGACAGTCGCACGATATATGTGTTTTCGTAGTCCTCTCATGATCCCTTGATAAAATAAACGAGAAATCAATACCGTCAGTGCTATTTTCTAATCATCAAAACATACGTCAAGTGATTTAATTATCCCGTTACTGTACTAATGATCGTTTGCAGATGCGAGGCTTAATTATGATTTTTCTTTTGACGCTAGTCAAAATTGCACTATGCGCAGAACTACAAGAATCAAAGGATACAAACGGCTTAAAGAACAATTATCAGGATAAAGTACTTCGTCCCAGGAGGCAGGTTCTTGTAGGAGGAATTATAGGTCCGCATGGCGCAATCGGTGGTGTTTTGACTCCTGGGTAAAAGAAAATTTTCAACTTACCGTGAGTAGTTTGAGATTGGAGTATCGAATGAATATTTTTGTTTCATTTCAGGGCTATAGGCGCTGATTACAATGGTGGTAAATATAGGAAGTATAAGGGTTACCGACCACGTTATCCTCCATATCCGCCATATTCTCCTTCCGGTGGTTATAGTCAAAATTATAATCAGTACAAAGACAAAGAGTACTATACTCGTGGCTCGGACTATGCTGATTATGATGACGTAGATTATGGCCATCGTAACGAAAATAATGATTACTATCACAAGTATGATAATCAAAACCAGTATTCTAATAATGGTAACCAGTATCATGGACCAAGCAGTCATGCTTCTGCTGCTGCGGGTGGATTTGTATTTCCTCATAAATATCAACACAGACCAAGCTATAGTAATAGTGGTAGCCATGCTTCTGCTGGTAGCGTTAGTTTTCCTGGCGGAAGTGCAAGTTTCGCTTCCGCTTCGTCTTCGTCATCCTCCGGTTCCTATGGTCTGTGGACAGCGAGAAAATGGTTAATATCATAATGTTCATGATGCATTGAAATTTGTATTTTTAGGTAATCTTTTTTTTTCTATTTTTCAGAAATACGTACTTCAACAGATTCTTAAACAACACGGTTAATTATTTATTGTTATTTGAGTGTATTTAATTTTGTACTGTTTGCAAAAAAAAATTAAAATGCTGGCATACAAAAATCTTATCTTTGTTTTTACTATTCGGTTTTTTTTTAATGTTTAAAAATATATAAACTAACAAATATTTCGTCACAATGTGGATATATAAAATGCCGATATGTCACCTCAGAATTTCAGAATTTATTTCGGAACCTTATGGTGTAACAGGATGTATCCAATAGGGTTTTGGGTAAACAGGTTTATTTGAAAATTTATGTTGTTTGACGTAAATTATATTACGACATTATCGTTTCATATGACGTTTTGTTAAAAATAGAAAACCAAATATATGGACTTCCTTGTTTCCTGAAACTAAAAATTCATTGGCGTACGTCATGACTAATCTTTTTATTACTGATTTACAAAGTTGTTGGCTCTACGAAAATACGTCTAAAAATAAATTAATCGTGCTGCACGAATTTAATTTCTAAATCAGGTAATTTCTATGTTTTATTATTTGGCGGGTTGTACGAAGAATCGCATTATATGAAAACAGCAGCCGCAATATCTTTGGCGGGTTGTAAGAAATCACGTTATACGGGAGTCGACTGTAGACGAGGGAGCATGTAAATTTTATGTAAATTATAATATATCCCCTGCAAAAAAAATTTTATAATTGACTGCATAATTTACGCAATACAAAAATAGGAAACTCGTAATGTTAATATGTTTCTTGTCGTTTATGAACTTTTTGCACAATCTAAGCGAATTCAATTTCTGAGCGCGAACATGCATCAACCCTGGGAAATACTTCCCTACTGTAATACGGTGCCATAATGTACCGCAATGATTTAAGTAACTAGCGAGCAAGGAAAAAAAAAACTGGAATTTTGCGTACATTTTTATGTAAATTGCGACAATTAAAGACTGAAAAATACCAGACGGCAGAAGGTCAAGCGACCACACGTGTGGATACATCTTTAATCTTGTATACCTTACAAAAATTAGAAAAACGTATATTACATGGGTCTTAAAAGTAATTAAAAAAATAATAGTTCTTGAGACACAATACAATTAATTTTAATTGTCAATAACGATTTCAAAATCTATATTGCATATATTTCATATTATTGAACACGTGTAACCAAAAAAATCAAACTCATTCACAACTAAATATCGCACACGTTGCAAGTTGTAAGAAAGTAGAAAAAAGCCAGTCATTCTCTAGTTATCAGAAACACAGAGTGATTAAAATTTGCACAAGGTCAAGGAGAATGAATATGTTACACGGAGTGGATGAACTTCAGAAAATACGTTAGGTACATAGCATATGGTAATTGAGCAATCATTACAATGACTAAACAATTCGTTTGAAGAAACATGCTAACTCATCAATGAATTCAATGTCATAATTTGAATAGAGGCGTCCAAAGAAGCGAGAGGCATAGCCAATATTTAATACGTTACATTGAATGGCAATAGCAAAAGGCGTTTGGAAAGGATTTCGTGCTGGATGATTCTGAAAAATTGGTTTATAGCAAAATGGAAGGGGTACGCGAAACTCTTCTATAAAAGTCAGTGGTACAATTCTCCAGCATCATATTTACATAACACTGACTTCGCAAGGTTTGTACTACCTCCACTGACGGTTTTTTGTTAATCACTAACGGTAGTGGATAAACAACAAATTTACAGATAGCTTGTAAGACTCAATAGAATTAATACTATATGCACCCGGGAGAAAAACATTTAGTTTATTTTCTGCACTTACTATCGTGTATGAGCCGTTTGGCGGATCATACCATCTTTTTCTAAGTGTCAATTTTTTAAAATCAATCGTGGAAATGGAATACGCCTTTTTAAAACAAATTTCATTGCGAACACGCTGTTTCTTTCGTTCCTACTTTTTGTCCAATATGTAAGACAATTTTAAAAATAGTTGATCTCGTATCGCACCAGGTGGCAGGTATCGCCGGTGCCGTTTTCGTAATGAGACTTTCGAAACGTCTAAGTCGAAACGTCAGTGACGAGGTGTTGTATAACGGACGAACACGCGCTCAATCATGACTCGAATTGAATAATGAGCGTGTTGAAGATTTCGATCAGGTTAAGTAAAGTTCGATTATCGGTTATACATTGTGAATCCATAATTTCAGGTTATGTTAGCTAAGACCGTCAACGGATTGGCTAATCATACTGAACGCCCTCTAGAACACAAAGCACGTAACACGTTAGAAGGAAATTTCACATATAGGTATAATGCCGTATAATGATGTTTAGAGTAAGTACTTCACGGTAACTTCAAAAATGACTAAACTCTAGGACGCATTTGATTTGCGAATAGGATATTTCAGTAATAAATTACCCGGGTAGTTATATTATTCATATAGTCTTTATTAAAAATGGTATCTACACTGCAACTTTGATGGATTGATTAGTATAAAACTTGTATTTTCAGATGCAGCTCCATTACGTGTTCCTGGCGGTAGTCCTGTTTGCCGTGGCTTATGCCTCGAACGAGTCAGGTGACCTTATCGCCGAGGAGTCCCACACGAACGTCCAAGAGCAAGTCCGTGATAAGAGAGCTCTTCTTCTTGGTGGTGCAGTGATAGGTGCTAAGATATTAGGCGCTAAAGTAATAGGCACTAAGGCTCTTGTTGGTGCTGGATTAGTGGGCGCCAAAGCCGTTGGAATTGGTGCACTAGGAGCAGGATTGTACAAGGGTGGCTAGTAAGTACAAATTGCATACTCTCTCATATTTCATGATATAAAATATTAAAAAATTATTATTATAAAAAGTGAATAAAATTATTATTACAATATTATAAATTGTTAATTAATAATAAGACAACTGTACGCGTGTTAATAAGTGAGTTGGGCACGTTAGAGGTCAGTAAAATTTGTATAAATATCCAGTTCAGTCATTAATGTTACCTAAGAAATCCTAAAGGCCAATAACTATGCAAACCGTCATCATATTGATAAATCATGAATAAATTTTGGTTTTTATTCGCGACACTCCTCCGCGAGAGACGTCTAATATTTCCTCTGTGAAATATCGATTTTATAAAACACTATATTCGTTAATTTATTATAATTTATTAATATATGAACACATGATAGTCTTGCAACGTCAGAATAATAATTATTGATATTTTTTAGCTACCGCGGTGGATATGGTTATGGTGGTGGATATGGTTATGGTGGTCATGGCGGTTATGGTGGATACCACAGTTACCCATCAGTAACCTATCGTCATTATCCAGCATATAGTAACCATTATTCTTATGGATGGAAGCCATCTTACTACAGCAGCTGGTAATTAAAAGAGGAAGGTAAACAAATGACGTAAAAGGACCAAATATCAGTACTGTAATGACAGTGCCACAAAGCTCTGTAAATCAGATTAAAAATAAATCTATTAAATAAGAAATATTATTATTTTATTAGTATCATTTTATTTTGCACACTCTATCCATATTATAAAGGTATATAGTATAGACTAGAGAGTAGCATCCTTGACTACTTGATAACCTAATTATATTATAGTTTAATGATTGCGTGCTTTCGAGCACGCATCGTCTTTCTTGTTACCTACGAAGAACTTTTACAAGAGACATGTGAGGTCGTTGAGTCTGGTGAAAACGGCTGCAAGGTCAGGAAGGAACCTCGAGATTCCCAGGTAATGTCGAGCATGCAAGAATAGATATTTCTCAGTTACTATATACATATTTATATATTGTCTTCTCTGTTTTCTTCAAGTTCTGCCACTGCACTACAATTGGATGATGAAGAGAAATTGGAATTTCGGCGCAATTGCTATAACACCGGAACTCGAGTTCGGTGCATTCATTTTGTAATTACAAAAATAGTTCAAGTTTGATAGAGGAAGACAAACGAAAAATGATGGGGAAAAAAAAGACACTGCAAGGCCATTCGATATTACATTGTAAGAAAATGACTAAACTTGGTCAAGCGTGTGCTGAGAGATTACCGACCGATATTTTACTATAAGACGTGATAATCATTTCATTAAATTAGTGTAACTTACGTATACCTAATATTATGCAATTGGCTTACTATATCATAATTCAAGGACATGCTCCAAGGATTTACACTTTCGGTAATGAAGATATTGGCTCAGCGATCATCATTTTGGACAGACTGAATGACATGTATTAATAACTTTCAATTTTTATGATGGTTTCATATTTTATTGTATTTAATATGGAAGAGCTGTTCTATCGTGCAACGATATGCATGCATCGACAACGTCATCAATGAACGCATTTTCGTAGAAGCCAAACCTTTATTTGGACTGACGATTTCGTCATTATTCAAGCATGGAATGACAATGCTAAGTCGTCTGCCAGACCGAAAGAAAACTTACCGCAAGACAGGTTATTAACGTTTATTTAACATGGAGAGTGCGTACGCACGTCGTGTCTTTCGCAACGCACGTGGCCATTATGCGATCGCCTACACGCCATGGACACGCACAAAATTTCACTAATTCTCAGTCACGAGATAGGTGTAGGATTTTTTTAGTAATTCAACGAAGTCCATTTTTAAAATACTTGGCAAATAAACTAGAGCCATTGATTGTATAAATGAATCATACATTGAGATGGTTGGTGCCCCTGAAAATATGTATGAGCTCCAATCATTGTCTAATTAAATATTTTCAAATACTTTCACTAGATACTTTTTGCATTATGTTTTCGTACTTTTTTTTCCCCAAAATTTCGTAATAGACTTTTTTACATACTTCTTCTGGAATTTCAGGAAGTGATACGTGCAGTATTAGAATTATAGGATTCTATGGGTAACCAATGGTGGTTGTATAAGACTTTCTTGACAGTACTGTCAAGAATTTGTGATTAAACTAATTGGAACACATCGCCATGCGTCGAATAACATGCGACAAGGAATAGAGTAGGGGTTGCCGCAATGTCTCGGCCCTGTTCTTTTTTTTTATGGGGTAGGGATGTCACCAAGGTATAAAGTCATACGTCTCATTGTTTGACGGCACAGTACAAGTTCAGCTTATACAAAACTGTACAAAATATCAAGGTGAGGAGTAACCGCAGAGAGTAATGCAAAAAGGGGTTGATCAGAAAGGTGTAATTTAAGAAAAAATATATATTCTAAGAGAAAGTGCAGCGTCAACTGAGGATTATATGCATCTTGTGCAAGACTGCATCTGGTGCAAGTTGACTGGATACATTAACACATTGTTGCAAATCATTCTAGTATTTATCAGTATATAGAGAATGACAAATGGCACAGTGTAACCTGGATACATGAAATTTTGTTAAAAAATATTTTTGATTTTTTTTTAATTTAAAAAATTTTTTAAATGTCCATATAACGAATTACTTTTGAATTGTACATAGATGCATTACTCCGTATTTGCGATTGCCGCTCTATGCTGTCTGGCTGTCTACGCCACGGCGGAAGATGCTACTCAACAACAACAGCAAGTACTTCCGGCGTTAGAATCATTGCCACAGGAAGGAGCTGAGCTAACAAGAGATAAGAGAACATTGTTCCTGAAGAAGAAGCTGCTTGGTGCTGGTCTTCTTGGTTTTGGTTTAGGAGTCGCTAAAGGGTATGAAAAGACACAAAAAGTTACTTAAAAATCTCATCAAGATTCATCTTATCTTTTTCTTCCTTCTTAATACTTCATTCAGCTACAAGTTTGGTAGCTACCATAGCTCTCCTGAGGTTCATCACGTGTACCTGTCTCCACCTCCACCACCAGTCAAGTACGTCGAGTACGTGGAGAAACCAGTGTTCGTCGAGAGAATCGTCGAGAAGCCAATTTACAAGTCAGCGCACGTAGAATATGAACCAGCCTGGTCTCAGCCAGATCCATCACCAGTTTATGGGTAGATAATGACAATGATATAATTAATTTCCTGTCATTGACTAGAACCAATCATTATAAACGAATAATTAATCAATGTATTATTATTACTTCTACAGACAGTGGTAAATTGTCTGAGCTCATCATTGAGGATCTAGGAGCTTCTTCGCTGCATCATCATCATCATCATCAGCAGCAACAACAAAATTGCCTCTTACGCCTAGCACGAGGCTTTAAATAGTTGTTACATAAAGGATGTACTGTTACCACTGTTGTTATGCATTTTGTAAAATAAAAAGCGCTTTATATTTAAATGACCTTTTTTAAGATGATTTTAATAATTCTATACTTTTCTTATTTTCATATATCCACTTAATAATTTCTCAACTAAATTTTGGCCCGGTACTGACTCGCGTAGTGGTTACTAAATGACTTCTTGTACTTCTTTAGACAAAAGCCTAGTGCAATGAACTTTGCCAGCTGATTTAGAATGAGAAACTCAAGGATTTCCCTGAAAGAAATACACTATACAAAATTTAAGCTAGCACACTGGAATTTGAGGTAACGCCTCCTTTTCATTTTACTGAATACGTAGTGATAAACTCTTTTAAAAATATGTATTTACATAAAAATAAGATATACGAATAAAGTAGACAAATTAGTCGATGTGGTCTGGAAGTGACCTTGTCATCATTATCAGTAAAGCGAATCGTGTACTATGTGATATGAATAAACTACACATTTCTTGTATGAGGATACAATGAATTGTCACGTAGAAATATGAAATATACATTGAACAATTTTTCCTAACCTTCACCGAAACGTGTTTATAAAGTTATCCGTAAAATTTTCATCTAGTAATCTTTGCCACTGTATTATTTTTGTCTGTTACGTTACTACCGAATAGGGAATTTCAGTAATTAATTTATACAAATCCCGATCGCGTGACTGTACATCGGACTACGCATCATCGTGGGAAGTCCTATAAAGCGATCATCACTCGTATCAACCACAAGGGTATTAGGATAATTTATTCGACGTCAAATCGATATTTTCTTCACGTGGGGAATTCCCGGATTGGTACAAGGCTGTAAAGATTTGCGACCGAAAATTATAAATGTAACCTTCACGACTGGACACAGCAGTGTTCAACCTTTCCTCTAATAGTATCTCTCAATATGGACAAAGTCCGGCCGGATCTGTGTGGCGAGGCTGTCGGGAAACCCGCTACATAAACACTTGCCATTCTGTGCATACATACTGTATGATCAGACTTGCTCGGTCGGAGAAACTGCCCACGCATTTAAGAGCCGGCTTACCTGTTTCGAGACCTTGCAGACGAAGACACGGAAATGCAACAGCCGATATACTTGAATGAATATTATGTTAAAATAAGAATTTTTTTTCAATAAATTCGACATATATTCTATGCAGGAAATTACGTGTATAATAATACTACCAGGTGGCTATGGCTTTTTCTGATAGTCTTAAAAATCTTTCAATAGTTACTCAAAATCAAAATTTAAAATAATTCTCATGGGTATTATTCTTTAAATTTGCCACGATGCCTAAATCTGGCTTATTCAATGGTTCACAGTCCGGCCCTGCCAGCAGACATCACGTACCACATTGTCTTCATTCAGAATGTGAAGAAGAAGAATACGGTATGTTTTTCTATCCCGAAGACGCCCATTCTGAGTGTACGAAGACGTGAAAAATGGAGGGAGGCAAATAGTCATTCTCGCATATCATCAAGTGGGAGATGCTTGAAACATATATAAGTAAAGGAGGTTCGTCCTAAGATCATCAGGTGTAGAGTGTCTAAGAAGAGTCGAAGACATTTGTCAGATAAAATTTAAAGGTTCGTGTTGTGACAAAACATAATGTATAATAATAAATCTCGCAAGAGACTAAAAGAAATTAAGTGGATATTTTCAGTGATAAAATTACAATAACATTTTTTTTCGTCAGATGTATAGTCAACTATTTGTCATCGCATTATTATCGACTGTCTTGGTACTGGCAGAGGATGCTATCCAAGAACAAAATACGTTGTTGAAGCTTGAGGCTAATTTGAATACGCCTTTGGATGAGGATGCTTCTGTATCCAGAGAAAAAAGAACTTTGCTCTTGAAGAAAAAGTTAGTTGGCGTCGGAGCCCTTGGACTTGGGGTTGGAATTGGCATAGGGGCACTTAAAGGGTATGATATTAAATTTGTGGTATGGTTTTTGATTTTTATTTTAAAAAACCGCAATCTGTAAACCTTTCTCACTCAAAGAATTAAATTCATTGATTGTCTAATTATATTCTCTAATTGAATTAATTAATTAAAAATTATTCAGAACGCATACCACTGTTCGGAATTGCATCTGTCGTCATTGTTATTCTCATACGGCGCCGTCCGGTCATGTAATCATTATAAATTCCATGTAATTGGTGCGGCAGGTTAAAGAAAGCAATGTGACTTTCTTAATGTAACCTCATAGTTATTCTCATCCAGTGATCAGATTATGCATCAATTTTATTCCACAATGAGATTCGGTAAGAAATCTCTGCTTCTGCAAAACCTCCAGAATAAAGAGGCATAAAAGTGTAATTGGAACCAGGTTATTGTCCAATGTATTGCAATAAAACTACAAATCCTGTATATACGGCAATTATCATACGAAGCAAAAGTTTTTCTTTTGACCTTTAAAAATTTATACTCAAATTACAAAACACGCAAGCAATTTATATGTTCCACGGCTTGATAATTTCATGTTACTGGTAATTACTATTAACTTGACGAATCAAAAAATTACTTTAAAATGCTTATGAGTCAACGCATTCTCTAAAACGACTTACAATTAGATCCAGTTTCACCAACACGAAGTAAAGTTTACCTGACCAATCGCAGGTCCGCGTTCAGTAGTTAAACCCCATTCACATGTGAACCGATGTTCACGAAACTGTCAGCTATCTGGGTGATTAAGAATACTAGAAAATCTTAATCTGCTGAACAACTATAAATCGTTTGTTTTCTATTTTGCAGATATGGTGGGTATGGTGGATACGGCGGTGGTTACGGCGGTGGTTATGGAGGTTATGGAGGTTATGGTAGTCATGGTGGTTATGGAGGTTATGGCGGCCACGGTGGTTATGGAGGTTATGGAAGACCCAGCTACATTGAGCGTCCTGTTTACGTTGACAAACCGTATTACGTAGAAAAGCCATATTATGTCGAGAGGCCTGTTTACTATCAACAACCTAGCTACGGTTATGGACAGCCCAGCTATGGTGGTTATAATAATGGTTACGGAAATAGTCAAGCCAGTAGTCAAGCGAGTAGCTGGAGTGCTGGTGGTAATTTTGGACCAATTTCTGCAGGTGTTTCTTCGAGTCAAGCTAGCGCTAGTGCCAGTTCCGGATGGAACGGAGGATACGGAGGGTAATTATATTTGAAATTAAGATTTTGAATCAATAAAAAAAATTGTCGATAGTAAATGTAATTTATTATTTATTTACAGATACAATTACTGACCACGTATTGATAAATGAGAATTAAGCTGACTCTAAGCATAGAGTAAAAATAGGCGACGTCATGATGATCATGACATTCATTATGTAACTTGACGTACCTCTGATACCGTATGGTTTAATTTTAAGTATTTTTTTGTACAAAATAAAATTTTACATCATCATATTTATGGGTTTTTTTTTCTGTCATTCTAAAACGAGAATCATCGAAATATACATAGTAATACTATATCAATATCAAATCAAACGTAACACGTAAATTCACCAAATATCCGGCAACCTGTGTAGCATGTGACCCAAATCGTATTGTAATTTCGATACAGTCATTGTGCATTTTTTTAGCACAAATAATTCGTAATGCACTACCGTCTAAAAAATTCCGGACAAAGCCTACAACTGCACTGAAACTTTTCGGCGCCAGTCTTTTCTGGGGCAACATTCGACCAAATCACGTTCACGATTTGACTATAGAAAAACGTATATCCCCCACTCCCACCTACGTTATGTTTTCAAAAAACGGAAAATATCGCGGTCTACCGTTGAACATGCTATCACTCCCTTCCGTAGAACAGGCTCTAATAGGGACGAAGCACGCAGTGTAAGGGCCCGAGTCATTTCCAAAGCAGAGGACCGGTCATTAGTAACAATGTCCAAAGTGAATAGGAGGCTTACTGCTTCGGAAATCCCAAAGGCGGTTCAATGAAACTCATGAGAAACAGATATCACCGACTAACGTCGAGGATCGCTTGCACAGAGCCGGCCTTGGGACGGAATTTCCACTAAGAAACTAATTTTACGGCGCGGAAATAGAACAAAGGAGACTTCATTGGGCTCAAATGGTGGATCAGTCAAGATTAAAAACTCTTCCGAAAACCTCGACGGAGTATATATACTCTAGGATTTATTAAGTCAACGTTGTATTTAAAAATCCAAATAACTTGATCAACGAACGCATAATTCAAATCTACAAAGCAAAGTACATCTTACAATTCCAAGCATCTATTTTCTTTATTCTTATCCATATCGACCAGAATTTTATAAAATTATTGCAACTGTTCGTCATCCTGGCTAAAAATAAGAGCAAAATAACACAGTAAATGGCAAATGTAAAGCGATCAGCAACGGCTGCCCATTTACGGAAATGGCTCGCAGGACAGTCATGAATTCAAGGTTTCGAGGACAATGGGACTACGCGTGATTGAGAACAGCCGAACAAAATTCTGTGTGAGTGTAAACACGTAACATTCGGCAGCTTATATAGAATTTCCACGGGTAACCTTAAGGCAGCGTAAGCACAGGTTATGGTAGGGGGTTATAAAATGAATTAAAGAAGTCATTTTATAAAAATATACAAAAAGCATTTTCTACGTGAACCGGTTCGTGGTCATTAGTAAGACATGTTTCATTTCAAGATAAATTGAAAAAATAATACCGTAGACTGCATGAAAAAACCGTCTCCAATTAGATGAGTGTGAATTATTTGTTTGTCCGGAATCTTCCCTTGCCCCTACCTCTGGCATTATACCTATATAAACTAGTCCCAGAGTTGCATGGACCGACAGAGAGTATTGGGAAGTGCTAAGAATTTGAAATCATTTATAAAAAATACCATGATGAAGTCAATCTTCGTATTGTCAGTGCTCTTCTATGTGACATTATGTTACGGCACGCCGATTCATCGTCATCGACGTTGTGAGTAGAAAAAAAAAATCAATTTATATGGTGTTAGGTGATATTAGTGAGATCATTAAAGAAATTTTGTTCGATCGTTCAAGCGAGCGAGGAAGCAATTCAACGCGGAGTACTTGATCCGTTGTGCGTGAGACGATCGGAAGGTAAAAATATTAAATAATGAAAAGAAATAGTTAATTAAGAATTGTACAATTTATATTGTTATATAATAAATAATTATTTGCTTTATTAAAATTCATTATTTCCTGTCACCCTGCTCAGATAAAATTATTCCGGAGGTTTCATTGGAAGCAGAAGCTGGAAGTAACGCCGAGGCACAAGCAAGTTCTGCAGTCGAAGAAGCAGCGTCGGGAGCGGAAAGTATTGCTAGCGCGGCAAGTGGCGCAGACAGCAATGGAATTGGCGGCGGAATAAGCCAAGCTGAGAGCAGTGCCGATAGTTACGCGCAGAACGGTGGAGGATACGGCGGAGGTAAAATAAAAATAAAAATTTGTTTTCACGGATACGATGAAAATTATTATCTTTTTCTCAGATAATCGGAACGGAAGTGGAGCCCAAAGTGGAGCATCTAGCAGAGGTGATTCGGGTGGCTCTGGCGTAGGTTCGCAATCACAGTCCCAATCTGACAGTTACAACCGCGGCGGTGGTTCGTTCAGTTCAGCCAGTGCCTCGTCCTCTTCTTATTCTAGACAAAATCAATAATATTCACCATAAAGAATTTATGAAACTGCAATGGAATTATTTAGCTGGAAATTATTGTTCATTTTTTTTGGGAGAATTATATTTCTAGAATTAGTAACGTGTTGCGAGTATATGCAATTCACTGATGATTCTTATGCAAAAAAAAATACAAAAAAAGACATATAGGTCAGTTTCTTGTGTCAGAAATGTTAATAAATTATAAGATCGATTATTAACACGTGTACAAAATTGTTTTCAGTAATATGCAATTCATGTTATCTTTACTTATTTCCGATTGCTTATCGAACTAAATTGCTTTTGTTTATTCTTGTTAGTTCGTGTAACTCCACGTGACGGAAATATTGTCAGAGACGGTAACTCCAGCTTCTAGAAAAATCTGCACGGGGAAAATGTATAATTAATAAATGGTATTTTGAATAATAAATTTTTATATGCTTTATCAATTACTTGGAACATTTTCAAAGAATTTATAAGGCTCGAAAATAAAAATATGTTTCCCAAACTATCTCCCATCCTAAGGGTATTGCGGAAAAGACTCGTCTGTTCGTTTCAAATGAATGCTCGGTACATACAAAATATATTGGAGGAGGTTTCGATTGGTTAGAAATGATTAAAATCGATTTGGAACCATAATCTGATTATATTAATGTACTTTTTACAATAAAATTGTATACATACAAAGAACGTCACTGAGTTAGGTCGATTTTTAAATATTTTGCAGATCATTTCAAATTATTTATCCCCACAAAAAATTAGCTGCCGACATGTATATTTAGGGGGTAAAATAGCCCTCTGGGAATGGGGGCTTTTTTGGTTATTTGCTTACATCTAAAAAATTAAAGTAGATAACGAAAAAATTCGAATGGCAACATTTTTTTTCCACGCTATACAAAAGTATGTGAGTGAAAAATTTTATAAAATTAATTATCGTAATTTTTTTAAAAAAAGGAAACTACGGAGAGGAACATCTGGACATTCTATATCTTTAAAAACTATCATTTGAAATATTAGAAACTATGTCGAAGCACACACATACGACAAAACCAAAAAGAAAAACGTGATCTCACATTTTCGAGAACTAAACACTGAAGAAAATCATCGGCCGTTTTCACAACCACAGAATGACTCGCTTAGGAAAATCAATTCTTTCGTTCAATGACCCCACAACGTAAAATAATAACAATGATAATAATAATGACAATGATAACCATGAAAGTTAATATCTTCTTAACAAGTGGTAAAATACCAAAGTTGAAAGGGAACTTTCACTTTCAAATTCCACTCCTTCTATGCCCCTGAGAGGAAAATCACCAGTTTTGGGACACCCTGTATAGAATTTCAATGGTAACGTCCATTTGTAGATGTTAGGGACATCCAGGCTCGCGTGATACCACATCCCATAAGATGTCCAGTCTGGGACGACCGTAGCCCATTGCATAGTGCCGTAGATATGAACCGGAAGAATGGGGCTCTGTATCCTGCTCCTGGCGGCATTCTCAACTTGGCTTCGGTGGAAAAATAGCATTCGGTGAATGAATTTACACGGAATAAGAAGAGATTACGATTTTGTCCTGCCCCTTGATTTGACAATTGTTTATGGTTGTATCTCTTACGAGGAACAAAATAGTGTACGATTTTATGTGAGAACTAAACTTAAGGGCACAAGTAGGATGCATATGCAGTCAATCGTTATAAGCGGAATCGTAATAATCGGACTCCACCATATATGTTTTCAGGTTCTGTTCTTTAACTGGCTTTGATTCTGATGTCATTTATTTCCATGAAACTCATGCATTTAGATAATTTTTCTGATCGACATATCAGATTCCTTATTTTCAAATTTTATCGAAATATATCAAGTATTATAGGTCAAAAAATAAGCAGGAGTATGTTAAAAGAAACTCTCTTATTCTCTTTCTCACACTTATAGGCGTTCTCTTTCGTTTTCCGAGGTCGTGTTTCGGAATGGACTTTTTTTAGGGAATGCGTGATTCTCCCTCTGCTGCAAATTTCATCAGAAGATCCAGGGGTCACTTGCTGTCTCAACGACACTTCGCCTCTGATCGAACCTGTTTTTCTCTCAGCTGTTTTCCGTACGTGGCAATCAGAGCGTCGTGTATGTATTTTATATTGTTGTATTTTATTTAACTATTCTATACTCGGTTCGATATAATTCCTATTACATATGACAAACTGAGCAGTATCTTACAGAAGTACGAATGGTCAATAGTAGTCAATAATATCGTTGGATGTCGTAAAAAAGTCACAAAACATTATAATTCATCATTTATTTCCCAAAATCCGTCTCAATAAAGGATTAGATAGTTTTATGAAGTATTTAACCTCTTGCACCATTTTGACGAGTCTGACTCGTGATGAAAATTTTAAGCCAAACATGGATGTCACGAGTCTGACTCGTTGTTCAGTTCCAGACCAAACATGAATATCACGAGTCTTACTCGTGGTCTTAGTTTTGGATCCAATTATATTATTATAAATAATCAGAATTTGTTTTCATCTTATGTAATAATTAAAGTATTTTTTAAAAGTTTTTTATTCAAATTCATTTGAATTTCACAAGAGTTCCATCGCGTGAAGTAAATACGGTCGTAAGAATAGGTATCAAGTTTCGGCTCGCCCGCTCCACCGCTCGCCGTTCACCGCGACGATCGAGGCAGCCGCGTTGGGCCTGACTTTTGCAAGGGGTTAAAGTTGTCAATCTCTTTTTACATCTTCTGTTACATCGTCTTGTGCATCTTCTAGTGTATCCTTAGTAAAAAAAAACACAGTAATTACAGTAGAGAGACATTAGTAACTTTCATAATATATTTATGAGAATCATTAGCCTATGTTAAGAAGCAATTTTTTATGTTGGCACCACGCGTACATGTCTATGTATACATAGGACGGCGTCTGTTTACTTTTCTCCCTTCCTCAGAGGGTGTACCAAAAACGAATATGGTCCTTTCGCTTTATAGAGCATTTAAATGCGTAAGTTAGACCATCCACTGACTAAATATAATCTTAGTTACTTACAGCATTGAGTGCTGCCTTAGCAGTCTTAAGAAGTGGATAACGGCCGTGGCGACAAGTTCCCCTGAAGTCATCATTTTCTATGTTCCTTAACATTATGCCAGCGAGTTTATGCTTCCTAGCGTATCTTATTTTTTCCGTAAAACTTCTTTGGTCGTCGTGTCCTATCCACTGGTCGTCAGAGTAACTAAAAGACACAACCTGTTCGGTAGACCAAACAGTAGTATAGTTTCGAGTTTTTTGTTGTTTGCAGAACTCGTTGTAACCTTTAATCAAAAGTATGTTCTCATAATCGCACAAATAGATACAGTATATTAAAATACTACAATATTGCTATTAAATAATTTTACTTACCCATCAAACCAGGTTGGCGTGTATAGGGTCCGGGACGTCCTGGACCAGCTGACGGACTTCCGGGACTAGTCTTTGAAGTATCGGCCAATGTGAATGTTATTCCATAAAGAGGCAATCCAAGTACCAATTTAGAAGCAGGAGCGCCACTGTTCAGCCAGAAACCGATGCACGCTCGCTATGAAATATTCATATATTTTTAGATCTTTTGACAATTAAATGCCGGCAGTACATTATTGCTACACTTACTACATTGGCCTGCAATAAGGTAGCATTATTTGCTTGATATTTGGCAGGAGCCAACGCTGCGTGATGTCCTACAGCGACAGAGTTAAATGGAGTAATCAAGTCAAAAGTCATGACATTAATATAATCCAAGATTCTGTAAAAAAATATGTATAGAAAAATGAATTAATTATTGACAAATAAAAGCAGTGAATCCTTTACTTGGCTAGTGCTGGAATGTTGTAAATCCGAGATGCAATATATTTGGGACCTGCAACTGCAGCAGTTAGGAGATATCCTTTCTTTACAAATCCCGCCTTCAGTACTTTCGCAAGTTCAACTAAGTTCCTCCTGTCGGATTCCGGTACTGCGATACAACGCGAGTCAAGTTAATGAAGAATGAAATACGTTTATAAGCACTCGAGGTATTTCGAGTGCGAAGATGCGTATACTGCAAGTGCCCAAGTAATATTTCCGAAAGTATAAAGCTGTATCTGCCGTTAAACGATTTTAGAAGCATTAAACTCTGTGATTCATAAGATATATTAAATTTTAAATTTGTACATAATTTTCTGTCTTCGATTATTTTCCTTCAAAAATCCATTCTTAGAAACCGTCACGGTTCTAATACGTGATTGAACTTATTCTGGCATACATTTAAAATGTGTTCTCATGAAAAATTTCGATGACTTAATTTTTTAAAGCGCGAAGCTTAATCTTTTATATCCGTTCGGTCCATTACATATTTTATATTTCATATTTCAAATGATCAACATCAGAACACTGAAATTAAAAGGCGAACCAGAGCTATTTCCATATGTCTCTGCAATAATGTTTCATTCTTTAAAGTGACAATCATTAAAAGTACTTGAGCCGTCGGTTCATGTTACAAACTTCATACTGGTCGGATATTGTTTACTTTCTGCACTTTCAACATAAAATCATAAATAATACCATCAGGTGGATTCGGAATGGCATTCCAATCATACGCCCAATCAAAATCAACTCCATCTAAAGTATGCTCTTCCAGAAAAGCAATAGCGTGTCTAACAAATCTCGCACGTATAGTGACATTGTTCACGACATGACTGAAGTTCTTGCTACCTGCATTCCATTCACCTATGGCAATGAGTAATTTAGGTGCTGGTTTTGTCTTCTTCAGAGCAACAAACTGCTCAAAATCATCTAAATGATTCAAAAGAATTAATTAATTAGATAATTTACACGTTCAAAATTAATATTGAGATTTGATTATACTTGTAAATTCTATTTATGATTATAATAATTATCCATACCATTTTTATGATTTTTAGATAAATTGTTCCGCTGATTCCGGATGTAGATATCCCCCTCTCTGGTGACACCGATAAATGAATAAATATAATGCGTGCATAATTGGGGTATGACGTCGGAGACTTGGAATTCGTCTTTTCCGTAATGACGCGGACGGCTTCCGAAATAGCACAGCATTACTCTTCCCAAGGCTGGACCCAAGAGGGTCGTCATTATGCAGACGATCACGAACAAATTCATGATTGTCTAGTAGGTGATCAATTTAATACAGTACGGAGTAAAAGAATAATTGATTGATCAATCTTGAATAGCACAGTATATTAAATATTGAATAGTCTTCCCGTTCACTAAGTACTTCGTACCTTTTTTGGATATAGTAAACGCTCAGCTACTGGCCAACCTGCTGATTTCCCTGCTTTACGGCGTCGTACGGAATATGTCCATTTAGTGCGCTCGGTGCATGAATATATATAAGTATCTTAAACAAATACGTTAATACGTCCCGTGCTACGTTGGGCGTATACGCCTTTATACAAATAAGAGATGTTATAAGCCAATATAAAAATATTATTTTTAGATAGCTTCATTATATTTAGCGTTTGTTTTGATAATATTGATACGTTTTATTGCGTAGCTATTATCATTTGTCAAACATGACGACAAGTTTGAGCCTGCCTAAAATTCCAAATATCCCATATAGCAATTCCATATAAATTTCATATACATTATATGGATCGTTTATTTTGAAAGTGGTGTAAGTCCATTTTTGAAGAAAATGAGATATCACGTAATTCCTGCTTAATTTAATGTAAATTTTTTATGTATAACTAGTCCGTGTTTAATTTCTTAAAAAATTCCCATGTTTTGTACAATTTAAAATTGGTCGGCAAATGAAATTGCATAATCATCGATTATGAAAGTGGTGCAAGTCCAATTGACAGAGGTAGGTGGCTTAGCAGATGTTTTCCGAACGGTAGCCTGTTATTTTACATTTGTTTTATATTACGTGTCATATTGCGATAAAAAAAAAACAGATAAGAAAAAACACTAATGGAGAACAGGTAAATTGGTTGCAAGTATGTTGGATGAGGTTTCTCAAAAGTGCACCATACACTATTTTATACAAAACATCGATGAAGGACAAAGAATTTAAAACTACAAATTTATTACCTACACGTCCTAGAAGACCGCTAAATTTTGAAAAAATCGCCCTGGCGCCTTTGTACCAAGATGCCAGGCCTATTACTTATGAAAAATATAAAGGCATCAATCAGTCATTACCTTATATACCTCCGGTGCATCATGCATATCTCGAAACACTGCCACAAGCAGAGCGTAAGTAAATACTATCAATATCTGGAATTTTATCAATGTAATTAGCGTCTAAAATGAAAAATACTACTTCTTCTTTATGTCGTGTCAAAATTTGTAAACAATATTGGATTAATATGAAGTATATTTTAAGTGATATTTGATTTTTCAAAAT